GCTGTTTAGGCTGAGGTGATGGTAGAACTGGAGCTGCATCGGCCTTGGCCTTCGCCTTGGGCGCTGCCTTCTCCTTGGGAGTAGCTTTAGGCTTCGCTTTTGGATTTGCATCCGGTGCAGCGGCAGTTGGGTTCGGAGCAGGAGCTGAAGGTTTGCCGCCGCCTGCAAAGTCTCTCGCATACTTCTCTCTGGCTGCCACATGCTTGTCCTCTCTGATTCTGGAGATGTGCCTTTCGATGACATCCAACAGGTAGCGATAATTTCGTCTTTGGTCTCCTTCCATCCATGACTCGTACTGCTTGATGTCGAACATCATAAGACTCGAATTTCGAATCTTTTTGTATAGAGCGTCACGAAGCCAATCATCAGGAGGTACGTCATCCGGCATCATGTTTGATACCATCTCCATCCATTTCTCGTAGAACACTTCTAGGTTCGAGTCACCGAGATACTTCATCGATACGATGTGTTCCATGGTGAAGGATGTTTCTCGTTGACCTGGGGTTCTGAAGTGCTCCAGAATCATAGCCAAGATTTCCCGTCCCATGACATAGGTTCCTCTTCGGCTATGACTTTGTGTTCTCAATCTCAATTTGATCGCTACATGACGAGCAACATCACCGGCTTGGGCTATCACGTTTGACAATGCAATTGACAACTTGGCGTCGATGGACTGATACCGTTGCCCCCCACTGTCATTCAACAGCTCGATGTCAGGATTTGGTCGAATAGCCGGCTGTAGCCATGCTTCCCATGCGGCTTTATCCCCGTCATTTGCCGAAAGAACAACACTCTTGATGAGATCTGATTGCCAAACCCCAAGATTCTGTTGCTTTGGCCATGGGCTAACATAGACTTTGTCAGCCTCTCGTCTTGACATTCTCGGTACTTCTTCCGCAGTGTAAGCCGCTGTGGAGACATCATCTGCTGAATCGCGTTGTGATCCTCGAACTGAAGGCAAACCAGGAGGTTCAGGAGGTGGTCCTGGACCGTTGGGCCCGAAAGGGTCCGGAGGTCCATCAGGGTCAGGCGGACCGCCCCATCCACTCGGTGGCTTGTAATAGTCCCTCTCAGTTCCGCCAGCGATCTTGTTGTCAACCTCTTTCAGCAGATCAGCGATTCTTTTGCTTGATTGAGAATGCTGTTGTTGTTGAGGAGGTACAGCATGCCCACGATAGGAATGAGCCACATTTGTCTCATAAGTCAACTCCTTGTCGATCTGCGAAACCCAAGATTTCAGAATAGCGTTTTCACAGTTAGCCTCACTCACGTCATTCTCCAGTTTGTCGATGACCAGTCTGGATGCGAGATCGGAGTTGGGAATACCTGCCGAATAGGGAAGTGTGTCAGGACTGATCCTGGCCATAGATGTTTCAGAATCCTTGAGACTTTTTCTCAGTTCATCTAAGTGACGTTTCATGTCAACAATCTCAGAATTCTTGATGCCAATCTTTTCATCCCTATCCTGGATTTCCCCCATGAACATGCATGATCTCTCATATTGTTGAACACCACTCGCCAATTTCAATTTTCGCTCACTCCCTAGTTCAGATCTTAGAGTTCGGACCTCAGCATTGGTGAGGGACGATGCCCCTACATCCGCAACTTCAGCCAATCTTTCTTTCAATAACATGTTTTCTTGTAAACATTCATGAATTTCATGATCTAGATCCTGAACCCTAATTTGAGCAATTTTGGCTTGACTACGTAGATCTTCAACAAGCATCTCATCGGGGCCACGACCGTCGGTCGTAGTACCCTGAGTCAACGATCTCCGCAACTTCGTGTTCTGCAACTTGATCTCATCCTTTAACTCGCAGTTCATCTCCTGCTCATTGGTGTAGAGCTCTTCATAATGCTCGGCCCTCGCGATCGAATTCAAGCTGGCCTGTGATTCAAGCCTCAGGTGTGATATCGCTTCGGCCTCTTGGTTCCTGTATGATGCAATTCTTTTGACGGTATCATGTTCGGTGTTTCGATGCTTCAGATCACTTTCTAATTTGGCCTGATTTGCCTCGAAAACCTTCTTCCTAGATTCTCTAGTGATCTCGTCAATACTGCTTTCATACAGCTCGGCTTGTTTACGAGACTGAACCAACGCTTCATTCAATAGTTGATTCCGTTCAGATAGTTCGTGAACTGCAATCGACTGTTGTTGGCTAATCACTTCAAGTTGATTGCTAGAGAAGGACGCCATTTCGGATCGATTACGATATTCCATGATTGAGTTCTGGAAATCGGTTTGCATTTCTTGACCTTCATTGTATAGTCGATTGGCAATATCGGTGGTTAAGACATTAGTTTGGTGAAGTTGTTGAAGTCTTGCCTCCGTATTACCCAATAGTCCTTGAAGGTGATGTACTTCATCCTTGTACTCCTCCTGGATCTCCATACCACGTTGATGGATCCGTCGTGCACCATGTTCCATTAGGGCACCTCGGCGTTCAAGGTCTTGGATGCGTATTGTTGCACCTTCGTCTTCCTGAGATGCTACCATTAGTTCTGCTTGATATTCTGCAACCTCATTTGCGGAACATGACAATCTATGATTGAGTGCATTGACCTCATCAAATACATTCTGATTGTGTTCCCGAAGATACTCAGTGAATCTGATCTCGATGTCATGAATCAGTTGATCCCTGGATGCAGCGTATGCTTCCATGTTGTTCAGCTGATTACGTAGGGATTGACATTGTGCCCGTAGTTCCTCTATCATGGCAATAGGTTCACTAGCCACAGAAGTATCCGTTGATCTCCTCTTAACACGACTATCCCCGGTCCTCTCACCAATTCGGTCGGTCACGGCCCTGGTGGATCTGTCCCTTGGAGTAGTACGTCCTCGAGATGGTCGATGCCCTTGGCGGACAACATCACTCCGAGCACTGTTTCGAGAAGATCTAGGTGTACTTTGGGTGGATATTCTTCGTCTGTTTGATGTGACTTGCCATCCGGACTGTGTAGTTCGGGTAGAGCGTATCCCGCCACTGTCTGCCGTGTCGCCAGGGGAAGATTGATTGACCTCCTCGACCGGCATAGCAGCGTTCTCATTGAAGGTAAACTGCGTGGTGCGCGAATCTCCGCTGCCGCCTTGCATCTTTGCGATGATGAGCTGATTGGTCCTTTGCGTCCTCAATCAATTGCTCAGACGGCCCGGCTACCAGCACGCAGGTACCACTCTCCCGGCGGGAGAAGTGAGCCCTACGGCTGATAACCTGTGAACAAATTGATCCTTGTTCTGGATTATCCCTTTTGTCTGTAGTACCAGTAATGCTGATAGCGCCGGGCAATCTCAGTGCATGGCATGCGGACAGCGTTCTTATTTTCCTCGCGCAGGACTTGAGCCAATATCATTGGCGGTCCATGCATGACTGTACACATGTTCATCATGTGCAGCTACACTGTTACCTCGTTCCCCTTCGCAAAAAATCTATTCGAATTTCCCGGTTGTTTCCCCAATTTTTTGAATTCATGAAAACTTGACCAAACAACGCTGATCTGCAAAAACACGGTTTCTTTACAATTAATGGATGCATGTGATGGTGTATGCAACCATTCAACACATATGATCATCTGGTTGGTGGCTTTAACCATCTTGAAAAATATGAGTTCGTCAGTTCGGATGATGGCATTCCCAATATATGGAAAGTCATAAAAGTCATGTTCCAAACCCCCAACCAGTGATTATTAACCATCATTAACCATCATTAACCATCACTAACCATCATTTACCATCATTTACCATCATTAACCATCATTACCCCATACTAAACCAATGTTCCAAACCACCAACCAGGCTATTTTAGGGATATATCCCATTGGCACACGCCAAAAAAGCAGCGAAGATCATGGAGAGATGACCATCTCCCCTGGGGGTTCCATTCACCTGAGACCCGGACCGTGCTGGACCTCAAGCAACGCGTACGGCCCATCGATATATCGCCAACGGATGTTATCATGTTATGTATACAGTACCCATCGCTAGTGAGCACGTATCTACACGCACATATGTATATATATATATGACTATATGACTATATATATGACTATATATATATATGATATATGTATATCCGTTTTCCTTTTAAGATGAATAAGGACAATATACATATATCATCATATATCGTACGAGTATATTCTTCATATACTCATGCGCACACACACACACGCTGGTGAAGCCTTGCCTGGAAATCTGGATGTCAACATGTGTCAACCACTTCAACGCACATGTGCTCCGAAAACGGCATCTGAAAATGGGTTTTACCAGGGATTATAATAGGGAAAATGATGATAATCCATTAGAATTTGGGGTGCATCATTTTCAGACTAACCCCTCATCTTGAATCAATTGCAATCAATTGCTGGTGGGTGAGCCACCCATCGAAAAAAAAAACAAAGTCACTTGGCTCATCATGGCTCATCATTCCAGAGTTGAACTTTAAAAGCATATTTTTTTTTACAACCCGCACAAGTTTCTGCGAGTGAGACCGCTACCCCCCCCCGTGTTGGGGGGCGTCGGCTGGGGGAAGGGGGATTGGTGTAGCGGATTTCCGCCACCAGATCGTGAAACGAGGGCGGGGGCCCATCGACGGTGTCGAGGGCGGGGAGAAGGGGATCGAGGAAGGACGCCGCGAATGCGCGCTGGGTGGCGATGCCGAGGAGGGCGGCCCAAAGCATAATTTGAAACCACCAAATGGTGGATGATATTCTCATGATAGTCCAGTTGTTGGCCCCAAATCTGTGATTTTGCTGCCCCTGGGAGTCTGGCACTTTGTCTGGCTCGTAAAACCAATGCACCTCCGGCCAAAAAACATGCAAAAAAATCAAGGAGGTGTCTGTCCACATCATCCAGCCACAAAAAGAGGTCATGTTTGAGTTTTGTATGATCTTTCAACCAAAGTTTGAACATTGATGGAGTTGCCAAAGAATAGGGTCCACCACTTTTTTCGAAAAACCATGAAAAACCATGAGCAACCAAGATATTTACAGCACGGCAAACATTTTCACACCAAGCCAGACGGGGCTTCCAGTGGGGTGACTTGCGCCTGAAGCACCAGCACAGTTCGCCTCGGCCAAGATATGGGTCTGTCTAAAAATACAGCAAGACCCTGAGGTTTGCCCGGACTCGCAACAAGCGTCCGGGCAAGTCAAGGTGACGATGACGATGACGATGACGATGATGATGATTTTGATATGAAACCCTATATAAGAAACCCTCATGACTGTATGCTTAATTGTTCCATGGGGCCCGGGGAATTTGATATCTTATTGGAACTACCATAAGAAACCCCAATGACTGTATGGTTAATTCCATATGATACGTAGAAGCGACATGTTCTGGTTATCTGATAATGTAGAAGCAACTTGTTCTGGTTAACACCCTAGCAACATAATTGAACATAAAATCCTTCCCGTTGTTTGACGTCGTACAGAATTCCCTAGTATTCACGCTATTGTGGGCTTGGGCAAACCGCGGGGTCTGCGTGTAAAAATTGATAAAAATAGGCTCATCATTTGTCCCTTTATATATTGAACGCTCCATCTCTCATGGAAAGGGGGGACGGGTTCATAGCCCGAAAAAACCACGGTGTTCTGTTCATTTCTCTGAGCTAGGTAATCACTCCAACGATAATCCAGGATAATCCCAATTTTGCCAGTGATTTTTGAAGCTCTTCTAATAATCAATTACCCCTCCCCTAGAGAAATACTGCTTTAGTGCCGGACCCACCGCCCCAGGTTGGTCCAGTCAGTCCAGTCTCTCCAAGCAGCACCGAAACCGAGAAACTGTGTGCTTCCATCTTGCTTCACCACAATCAGCACCTGCTGAGGCCAGCCGATGTGCCGGATGTGCCCAGAAAAGTCATTTAAGATTTCTTCCAAAAGTTATTTGCCACTATTGAATTGCAAGTAACTTTTTTAAAATCTTTTTTTCGGGATTACTATAGTTACTATACTTTTGAAGCATCTGACTTTTCTACCTGTTTGGAGTGTGTTTGAATGTTTGGGCACCAAGAGCGGAAAATCTAAAGATGGACCCGTCCTCCAAAGGTACACTATGCGGGCTGATGATTTCCCGCTTTTGAAGCAATAACTTCTACGGTCGCCAAGGGCTCAAACATTGGCATACTTCAGGCCATGAAAATCGGCGGATTGGGAGAACAACCGCGTCAACATATTTTTGTTGTAAAGCCCATATGATGGTGTCAGTCCATATGTTGGAAACGACGACAATTAGGCGGGTTTGTGATGGTTTGTGTGTGAAAGCTGAATCCACCCAGAAAATCTCAAGGACTGAGTTGTCCCTGGCTCAATGGTGGATAATCATGGATAATCACCTCAAATATGGTACCATGACTCCTCGAGCTTTCATTGTTTCATTCCTTCATAATCTTCATAGATATCCTCTCTTGCTGTCATTCAAGTTTGCTTTCCGGCTTCAGTCCCAACCTATTTTGCTGCAAGCAAAATGCTGTGGCTCGTGAGCCAGGCACTCTGTGATCCCCACCCGGGCTCTTTGACGTCGTACAACGGCACGGAAAATAACCAAAATTGGCTATCGGTGTGACACTTAGCTTGGAAGTGTCTGCCTGAATCATGGCGATCACTTCCAGCGAACCTTATTCGGCCAACTCGTGCACCAGTTGATACTGTTCAGGAGTCATGTTCCGCGGCACGTCGCTTCCGAGCCACTGTTCTGGATCTCCCTGAGCCTCGCATCATCGCCTTGATCCACCACATGCCCGGTCATTGTCTCCCAGCCCACGTTCGGAACTGCCGGAGTCCTAGGAGCACCTGTGATCCCCACCGTGCTGCCCAAGCTGTGATCTTCGACTGAGAGTGTTTTTGGACTCATCTTGGAATCTTTCATAGTTTCCAGTCAAAACAAAACTGAGATACTTAACCAGACCATGCCGTGTTTTTTCCCGTAGTTTCCAGTTGCATATTTGCTGGAAGTTAAGTATCTCAACCGGGCTTAAACTCATCTTCCTGCATAAAAACATGTCCCGCGCCTGTCCCTGTTGAAGCCTCCGTGCGAAGCCGGGAACCAGTTCCTCCTGGTTTTCGGGTGATTTTTTTTTTTTTTTTTTTTCGGGGGCTTTTTTTTGAGAAACTAACTGCTAACCCATTCAAAATATATAACGGTGGATCTGCAGGTGAAATCATGACAGCGATGTTAGTTGGGGACCGACTCCAGTTGGGATACTGCGGCGCTCATTGCCATCACAGGAATGGCCAAAATTTTACTGAACATGGCAAATCCCTTTTTCGAACCTATCCCACTCAAAAAATCGACCCTAGAAATCCTGGTTTTGTATACTTTGGTGGATCCGATGCATCATTGTCGGTATCGAATGTCAGTCACACCGCTGTCTGGTGGCTGGTGATGTCTGCAATTTGCCTGGTGATGTCTCCCCTGGCAAAAAAGGGCCAAAAGACCGAGACCCAAATGTTACCCTTTGGTAAACAAACAGTTCGCTATTGAAAATGGTCATTTGTAATGAGTTTCCAATTAATAGCATGGTGATTTTCCTTAGTTTTTTGTTAACGTTTACCAGAGGGTAGAAAGCGAAGAACCCCAAAAACCATCCAAAAACCATCCAAAACCTGGGACAAATGTTTGAAATCCTGGGATCCAAAACAGATCGGATACGGACATCGAATCGTCGATGGGTCTTCCGAAGACAGCCCTCCGGCTATTTGTTACATAGCTATGGGTGCTATGGAAAATCCCATCATATTTATAGAGGAATTTCTGGTTCGCTATGTAAAAAAGAACCAGAGGGGCTATACGTACAAATGATGCGGCTTTTCATATGGGTTTTCCATATCCATAGTCTTATGTGTGCCATGATTGTTGGACAACGTAGGTATGAATACAAAAGAACATGTTAGAATCGGGGATCTTCCCATGCTCGTCCCTTCACAGATCCGGAACAGCCGCATCCTCGTCGATGTAGACTGCAACGCCTGGTGCTCTCGACAAAAACCGGTCAACTGGGAGCAGAAATCTAAGATACCCTCCGGGAATCAACCACTAGCAATGAACAAAAACTCCTTTCTTCAAAGGATTTATATAGTAGGTACAAGGACTGTAGTTTTTTTCCATGCGCATATTGGATTGTGAGATGGTAAAGAAAATTCATGTTTGCGGGGTGTAAGGCTTTCCCCTTCCGCTTTTGTCAAATATCATCCAGAACCCCTTGTGCAATTGCTTGGGAGTGTGGGGAGGGGGAGCTTGTGAAATGTCATGAGTCGATGCCCAACATTGCTGGTGAAGTTTCAAAACGCTTGAAACAACTGCGAACCGAAACCATCATCGTAACATGGCAAGCTGAAGTGATTGCAACTACATATGCAATCAATAGTACATATCTATACTGTTTGTCTTTTTTCTTCAAACCCCAGCTGGAATGGCATCAGGAAACGACGAATGGGCAGCAGCAAGCCCCAACCAGCAACCATCATGTCGTGCGCCCCTACTGAGCTAAAACATGGGCCCCTGATGATTCTCCGGAAGCTGCCCTTGGGGGTTTGGTTCTGCGGCTCGAACATGTAGTTCACGAGCCCAGCAGGACGATATTGTGAGGTGATATGGGGTGATTCTTGAAGCTTCCATGCTATTGTTCACGGGTGTAAGTGGTTCAAGATCTAGTAAACTTATGTAAACTTAGTGTAACGCTAATGAGTTCATTCACAACTTGATTCGTTCCTATGTCGGAAAGGGCCCAAACCCTAAAATATGCGAAGTAGTTTTCATAAACCCGTGGGATGCAATTCCAATGAAAGGTGTTCCAGTCCAGGTGAGTTTTCCAAGTGGAAGGAACATTTATCCGAATTTATCCCCGGGCCCTCCGGCAATCAAATATGGCTTGCTGGAAATGCACTATTGATGATTTTCCCTTGAAAACCTTCGTTCATAGGGGATTTTCCATTGCCATGTTTGATTCCCGGAGGGTAGAGACATGAAGGAAAACATGGGATGCCACGACCAAGAAAAACAGCCTGCTGAGTTGCTCCAAGAATGGGGAAACCCATTCAAAAACAACAGCGAACAACAACTTTACTGGGGGAAATGGTCTTCTAAACCATTAGATCTTGAGTTCTCGATTCTTTCAAGTCTGTGTTGAGGTTTTTATAGGACACATTTTTTTACCATTAAATCTTGGGGTTTTCCCTGGTTTTTTGGACCTCCCGGCGCCTGCCCGTCTTTGCAACATCGTCAGGCTCAACACTTTCGGCTCTGCATGCAGCTGCAATAGACCATGCCTCGCCGTTGGGGCCATGGAGCCATGGATGTCATGGGGATGGGGGAAGACATATGAAGACCTGGTTGGTGGTATACCTACCCCTCTGGAAAATATGACGAATCGTCAGTTGGGATTATGACCTTCCCAATATATGGAAAAATACCATGTCCAAACCACCAACCAGTATGAAGACATGTGCGGTTTTGAACCATGAACTACGGAAAAAAAACTGGGGTGATGATGAACATTGGTAAACGTAGCTTTGCTGGATAGACGCCCTGAGCTGTCAGGCAAACTCTGTGGATCGTTCGAGGGCTCTCGTAACAACACCTCAGCGGGGAAATCCATGGACGAAGTGGACATTCAAATGGGGAAAACATGGAACTACCCTCTGGTAAACTAACATAAATATGAAAAATCACAATTTTCAATGGGTAAATCCACTATAATAGCTATGTTTGTTTACCAGAGGGTAAATGGGTACTTTTTCAATCAGGCCATGTTTGATTACCAAACACCAAACGATTTGGATTGAGACTGCCGGTATGGCCTCCCAAATTGGGTGCCCGATTGGTTTTCAAAAGGATGGGTAATCTTGGGCACTCAAATTTACGAAAATTTTTGGGACGGCCAAGTCTTGTCAAGCAAAACGCAACTGTGTCTCTGTTAGCTGCTTTGGCCTGCCTATCATGAGCTTACTCTGAGCAAAAAAATGGAAGTCCCAGCAACAAATTCGAGGTTCGATGGCAGGACTGGTGGTTGAAAAGACCCCTTCAAACCACTGAGGATGATCATCGCAGATGGAGAAAAACCAAAACCGCCCCACATGTTTGGCTCCAAGTAACATCACGAAGAAACGACTATTTCCTGATCTTGATGGATATTCTTCGCTTTAGCAAACCTCTTTTTTCCGGATGAAATCCCTTCCAGAAAATGGATTATCCCATTCACATAACGATCGGCACCCCGTACGCCACAAAGCGCTGCACCTCCGTTTTGATGAAACTATATCCCAAAGGCCTCAAGGCCGGAGGGCAATGGCATCTTGGGGCAGCAAAATTGGACACTCTGTCGTAGACCAAAATATGAAGTACTGTAGACTACAGCCTGTCAAATGATCAAACTACCAATTCGTAAAATGAAATTATGTACTTTACCCTGAGGGGTCCCATTGCGAGTTGGCCGGGGTCAAATGACCCACGGTGACCACGGACCATTATCATCAGCAGGTCCGACACGCAACATTTGGGTGCAGCCATCATATGCCCAATATGTGATATGGGAGAAGCAACCCTACAATATAATTTATATATCAATATATTCATCAAAAAACATCATTAGGTCCAAAAAATCAGGAACCTGCAAATTTCCATCGCCAGTTTCATGGGGAAACCACTTGCGTTTTTCTGGCGAAGAAACGCTGGCATTTCCCGGTGCTCCAGCGGCAATGCCTGGCGAGCCACCAATGGCTTTATAGCCAACCCATGCGAACATCGTAGAACAATTTTCTGTGGTAACCCTGCCAAACAATAGAGCAATCATTTACATTGACTTACCACATCTTACCACTATTCACATGCGAACTTACTTTTCTATCTTTTGGAAACTTGCGATAAGATGGTTTTTCTGCCAAATACCATGTTCCTCAAGTTGCTCCTCTTTCTTTTGCCTGTTCACCCACCGTTCAGTGCCCGAAGTTTTCTCGACCCTGGAACTGTCTTGCGCACGGCGGCTGGCATCCATAGTGCCCATCCAGCTGGGATGAAGCTTAGCAGCGACGATATCAAACTGTGAGGAATCATGGGTTACTGTGGGAAATTCATGCGGCTGACTGGAAACTATACGGAAACATTTTTTTTTGGACGACACACACGCACACACACACATATATATATATATATACACATACATATTATAATATATATATATATGTATGCGTGAAAGCATAAAGAATTTCCACCCACGAGCCACGTCACTTTTGGTATAGATGTGGGGGTTTCCTAAAATATGGGTACCCCATGGTACCCCCAGTTATCAACCATTTATGTTTTGGATTTCAACAAAAATCATCCAGTATATATTTGGTATCCCCATTTATGGAAACCTCCATTTTCCTATGGTTTGCCTATGGTTTTCCCATGGTTTACCTATGGATCATCCAACATCATCCCAGTGCATTCCTATGGTCAGCGGCACACCCGCAGCTACATTGAGCCGGGTGACGCAAGTGGGGTTGCTTTCACTGTACACCCCCGAAATGATGGCACCAATTTCAGAACATGAGTCATCTACAGTGGGGATATGATATACATGCATCTATATATATATATATATATGAGAGGCCAGCGCTCTCAGCGCCCACAAATCTCGTAAAAAATGCTATGTTTTGAGCATTTTCTGACATGTGTGTCCAAGTCTGTAAGCGACATGTTCTCATTGCTGCAGGTTGTCTATCAACGGTTCTATGTCATTTAGCCAGTGAATATCAGAAAGAAAATTCAATTTTGCCCTGTTGCGCCATGCTCAAATGATAGGGGTGTGTTTGCTTCTATGTTGCAGGTTTTTATAGCAAGCATGAACAAGAGGAAACAGCACTTTTGATTGACAGAAGATTTCATTTTGTCCCCAAGCAGCATTGCATCTTCCTGACAGAGCTCCCTACAGAAAGAGATATGGAATGTTTTGCAAGGGTAAGCATATTGTTCCTTTGAAAAATATTGTGTTATTAAACCCTAGTACAGCATCAACTCAGATTCTAAGGGCCACAGCATGCTTCTCATAAGTCATCGTTGAAAATTTGAAAGAATGTGGCATTTCTTGAGGAAATTGTGGCATGCCTCTATGCAACATTCTTCTATAGAGGGAATAACATTCCTTTGAGAAAGTGTAAAGCAAGACCCTGAGATGTGCATAGCATTCCTTTAGAACAAGTGCGTTCTGTCTTCCATATATTTTAATGAATATATGTAATTTCTTCCATAGAGGTAGTAGTCCTTTTAGAGAAGGGTAGTATTTCCTTAAGATAAACTATGCATATACATTAGTGTTTTCAGAAAAGCGGCATTCCTATCAGACAATACTTGATGGTTTCATGAAATCTTGATTTTAAACAACGGTATTATGCCATATTACTTCGAAAAAATATTATTCATTTGGAAAATATAATATGATTTTCAAATAACATAATTCATTGTATGATATTATTAATTATATATATACAATTACCCACAATCTTCCTTTCAAAAGTATGTAGCATCTCTTTGAGAAGTAGCCTTCAAGACACACAGCAGTCCTAGTGACAGAGTATCGCTGAGTATGGTGTGATTTACAGTAAGTTGTTGTACAAAAGGGAACCCTTTCATATATACAACAATCCATTTGAAAGAGGGTGATGTGTCTGTAATAAAGCGCAATGCATGGAATTGCCATTTGAAGAAGTATAGTGTTCCTTGCAGGAAATATAGCATTATTTTGAAAGGGTATTCTTCAATAAGCAGTTGCTCTTTCAGAGACCACAGTGCAGCATGCCTTTATGCAAGTTTCCTTGAAAAGGATGCAATATATTGTATTTGTTCATTCCTTTGAAAAGAGGGTGGTATTTCTTGCTCAGAAGAACATTACACAAACATAGCCACCACCTCCAGAAAATCGGAAATTAGGCCTTGCTGTTCAGGAAATATGGAGAAAACATTTTCAAGGTAAAACCACCCCTATAGCCAGGCGGTACAATAAGCAAAACCACCAAAAAAACACAAAAACCGAAAAAAACAAAAAAAACAAAAAAACCAAAGATCCAGCAACTATGAGCCCCCCAACCTTTCTCTGGAATCTTTGTTTTTTTTGTTTTTTTCGGTTTTTTTTGTTTTTTCGGTTTTCAGTTATGGAGTTTAATTTTGTGTAGGGAATTTTGTTCTTGGGGTTTGCCTGTGGGAGATGCAATGTTGAAGTGACAAGTGCAGCCATATTTTTTTCTGGATGGGTAGATTCATGGAGAAAAGTGGCAAAAGGAGACTGCCCAAAACGTGGGCGCTCACAACGCTGCTTTCAGGAGAGGCCAGCGCTCAAGGATCTAGAATCATAAAACCCACCAAAATTGGGTGCCATCAGTCAGTCAACGGATGACTGTCTCTGGAGCATCTAATACTCTGGGGATGGGATTACAATTTTCCATCTTCCGTTTCTACGATATTCCCGTATCATATCATATTTCCATTGCAGGCTACACTTGATAGACCTTTTTGATATTTTTTGATACTTGTTTCCAGCTACCCTCTGAAAAACAAACATAGCTATTGAACATCCCGATCTTTAATCGTTAAATCAACCATAAATCACCATTTTCAATAGCTATGTTAGTTTACCAGAGGGTATCACTCATTAAGTCTTTCTTTTTTATCACTAATTCATCTACGTTACACCGCTCGGTTTGTTTTCACCAATGCCCTTTCTGGTGCCAACACTTCCGGGACGCCCCTCACCTGCCGCGGAAGGCTTGTGGCCGCAGCCGATGGGGGAGATCCCCGAGCTATACACCGACCCAACAACAAACCATTTGAGGTTGAAATCTCTCTGTATTGGGAGATACATCTACGGAATATATTTAGGGACAGAATAGGATATAACATGATATAACTAAGCATGGCTTCCATAGAAAGCCAACCGATGGCTTCCACGGCTTTTAACTCACAAGAAAAACGCATGTCATACTGGATCATACGCCAATTGAGGCAGCTTTATTCTGCGGTCATGCCCAATTTAGACAATTGCCGGTCTTTATGAAGTTGGCACATTTCCCAGTCCACAAAATATCACAAAATATACGACAATTCCCGGAATTGGGTGATATAAACATCCAGAAACATAATGAACCATCCCAAAGTGCTTGTTGACCGTTGGGTTCAAGACATTAGTTCAAATCTTCGCACATCTCAGAGCCGAAAACGCTCTTCTTGCAGCCCGTTGTGCCTCTGCCGCAGCGGTTGGCAGGATGGACAAAACATGCGATAAGTGACATCAAACTGCAGGAAACAGTGGAACAAATGAGCGCCGGAAAAACACTGTTCTTGGATGTCTTTAGCATGGGGTAGACTCTAGATTCTACAGATAGAGGCCGATCTTCATCATAACTCACCCAAAAACGTGGCCGTTTGGGAGCCGGTAGTCAAACATAGCCATAGCAATGGAAAATCCCTTCTAGAGAAATGGAGGTTTATAGCTGGAAAAACCCATCGAACAAAATGGTTGATGAATTCCAGAAAGCCAGGGTTTGTTTATCCCGATCCAATTCCCATCAAACGTGCTGTCTAACCAGCATGGTCATTCTCATGGAGTACAGCTGGAACAAGTATCGAGGCCGAAGATACATTTCGGATATTTTGGGTCAAATTTCCAAGTAAGTGATAATTTCATGGGAAGACTTCTGTTTTGTCCTGGAATTGGTTTCAGGGAAAACTCGCTAGGCCGCTCGGTTTATTTATCCTTACCAATTCCACGAAACAATTCTTTGATATTTTGTAGGCTTCCTGAAACAAATTGATCCAGTCAATGACGTATCTTATCTTCCAAATCCTTCTGTTTGTTGGTTCAATCCATTTCAAGCCCTATTTTCTTGTTTCAATCCATCGATTCAATGGGTTGAATCGAACACAAAAATATGGAGAACACGCGTCACTCACTTCTGGCACTTTTCGGATAGGAATACTATATGATGATAAACACCATTGGGTTCTGTCTGGCTGAACAATTCACTACTTGCGGCTGATGATTCCCCTAATCCCAACGCACCATCAAATTCATCCATCATTCCAGTGACGTCACGACGTGAGGTCACTATAATTCATCCAGTTATATGTTATTATAATATATGTATATATATATGATAATTCGTCCAGGTTGCAATTCATCACTGGTTGGTGGTTAAAAAACCATTTTGAAAAATGATGGACTTCGCCAATGGGTTTCGGGTTCCATTCATATGATGGAACATCAAATTCATGTTTGAAACCACCAAGCAGATATAACCAGATCACGATCCGATAAGGTCCGATCCTTTTGACCTCCAAATTTCTGGGCTGCCAAGGCGCAACAGAGGGCGATGGTCGTATCTTTGCCGCAGCAGTAGGTGTCAGGAGTGCACATCCTGAGTGTTTTTGTGAGTAAAAAACCATAAGCAACCCAAAATTTCAAAACAACATGGGAAAACTATGGGAAAACTATGGGAAAACCATGTTTTGGAACATCCACTAGGAATTCAGCCCTTGTCCACCTTATGGTTGTTTCCATGTTCAGGAAAACTATGAAAAAACGGCGATTTGATCATCCCCAATAGGCTAGAAAATGGGGAACATCTTGGAAAGCACCATACAAAAGTCACGTCATTTTAAAAATATTTTTATCCCCATGACAACCCAAATAAACACATTCATACATATTCATGATCATATCTGATCATTGAAAATCCAACCTCAAAATCAATCAAAATCTAAATCAATCATTGAAGATCAACAAAGTGATTGTACCATCAATGATGGTACCATTTGAAAATCAATCAAAATCAATCAAAATCATTGTACCATCTATTTCTGGTTGGTGGTATGCCTGCCCCTCTGAAAATATGAGTTCGTCAGTTGGGATCATTATTCATAAAATTCATATTCCAAACCACCAACCAGTCATTGTACCATCTACCCTCCAGTAAATTAACATAGACCCTGGCAGCCATCGGGCTTGGAAGATGAGTTTCCATTAAAAATTGGTGATTTTCAGGGTCCAACTGTTAATTTACTGGAGGGTAACTGGTTTCAACAGTACTTAAGTTACCACCGACTTACTAACTAGGACTTACTAACCAGTCATTGTACCATCTATTTGTTCTCACCAAAAACGGCCCGCAACCAGCGTTTTCTAAGCCATCGCCCAGCGTCAGTGGGAAATCTTCGGAGTCGCGGCAACAGGTGGCGCCTTTGGAGAGACAGGTGCCTCCGCAGCACGAGTCGCCGTCCATGCAGCACTCCTGGACCGCTGGAGCAACCACCATTGAAGTCATGGGAATATCTATGGTTAATGATGGTTATTGATGGTTAATGATGGTTAATGATGGTGGTTAATGGTGTTTAAAAATTGGGAATATCATGGGATATCTATGTTTAATGGTGGTTAATGATGGTTAATGCTGATGAATGGTGGTGATGCATGGCTAATAGTGAATTGATGGTGATTAACCTTCTGGTAATTTGTTAGCCATTGAACATGTCCATTTATTTATAGTTGATTTACCTATTCCAAATGGTGATTTTCCATAGCTATGTTAGTTTACCAGATGGTAACCATTAATTATCAGAGATTTGAATTGAAACATATCAGCGAATTTCCGTTGATCAGATTCCAGTGAACCAGTGATATACCAAGTACATAGATTATCCATCTAAACCTGTATGTCTGAGATTATAAGAGTATCAAATATAATATCACCAATGATATTTCTAGAGATGACCCATTATACCATTTCAATTGGAAATAAGAAAACAATTCATTATATTTCATTATTACCCATCATCCATCAGACATCCATCAGAGATAATCCATCATAAAACATTCATTAAAAACATCATTAAATATCACACTATCCATTACACATCAATGAAAATCATCCATTATTACCCATCAGAGATATCTGTAGAGATATCACAAAAAGTATGTGATCACTTTCCATGATGGTGAGTAATGGTGTTTCATAGTGATTATATAATGGTGACTAATGGTGATATCATTAAATATCAAACATTAATATCCCTATTATTTAATCATTACTATCTCTGATTTAATATCACTATTACTCACCTGTATATATATATAATCATTCATATACTTCACAGTAAAAATATCCCTAAGATATCACTAAGATATCACAAACATATCCCTAAGATACTGTATCACCAAGATATCATGAACGATATCCCTAAGATATCCCTAAGATACTGATACTGGTTGGTGGTTTTAACCATCTTGAAAAATACCAGTCAATGGGAAGGATGATCATGATTATCCCATACATTATGGAAAATAAAAAATGTTTGAAACCACCAACCAGGATAACGTTTCCATAACTTTCCCATCTTTCCCATCGCCTTGCCGCCGCAGCACACGGAGCCCTCAGTGCATTCCATGGCGCAGCCGGAATGAAGGCGTTGCACGGCAACGGCGTCGGCCTCCGCCATGCCGCGCGTCGCCGCGGCACCGCTGAGGCCATGGCCCGGCGCCTCTGCCATGGGCCGTGCTGTGGGGCCATGGGGTGCAAAATGCTGAAAAAAACATGGGAAAAAACGGGTGAAAATACAACAACATGGTGAAAAACATGGGAAACATGGTGAAAAAATGGACATGATGAAAAAACATAGATTGAGAACAAGCAAGAAAATGGGAGAAAGATATTGGTAGCAGGGAAGATTTAAGGATTTAGAGAGGTAAAACCATGGGGAACAAAGAAGTTTTAAATCCAACACACTGAGTCCAGGTAGACATATTTCTGTCGCTTAGGGCATATTGGGTAAGGTATACCCAGATTGCATGTTGTTTAGCGAAATCATGCGAACGCCCAAGTGTTTGATTTTTCTATGCCCACTTCATCAACCATTAACACAAATCCCAACCAATCGTTCATCCTTTCATTCATAATTTGTGATGGTTAAATCAAAACAAATGCTTAAATTCATCATTTTTCGTCGTTCAATTCCAATCTTTTCACGCTTAAATCACCATTTTGTCAGGTTTACCCCGCCACCAGGCGGAAAAGACCCCGTCCCACCTGGGACAAGAGCGCCAGGGCCGCCAGGGTGACCACCTGGCAGTGCCAGCGGAAGGTGGAGAGTTCCCATGTCTGGGTGATTTTCCCGATTTTTGATGATTATTAATGGTACCCCCTCCAATTAAACACAGCCTAGGGGTTTATTAATCCGGGGTTGACATTAGTTATCAACCATTATTAATATGGATTATTACATATTATTACTAACAACGGATTATCATCAATCATCATTATCCATTAGTTGTTACTTGATTATTAACCTGGTTGGTGGTATACCTACCCCTCTGAAAAATATGAGTCAGTTGGGATGATGACATTCCCAACTGAATGGACAAATTAAATTCATGTTCCAAACCAGCAACCAGTCCAATATCATCCCAGGAACTGTAGGAAAGATAGGGATGTAACATATATGAATATATATTATATATATATATGATATATGTATAAATGAGCTTTGAATGGGAACATTGAACTAAATGGAGAATTTTTTTCCAGCAAGCCATGTTTTACTTCCAAAGGGTAACCATGAACATCACTGGTTTTACATGCGAAACCCGTGTAACTACAGGGAAACGGATGGATTCCTGCACATTTTCCCTTGCTACCCATTGATCCTGAATAGAATTTCTAGCTTCGATATCCAAACTGACGCTTAGAAAACCACAGGGACTTTGAACCGTTCCCAGGTCAACTCGGGCAGGGTGGCAAAAAAAGCACAACTGGCAACGAAGAACTGGATGCAACTGGCCATGATCATGAGAAGATTCAAGACACACTTTCCACAAACCAGTTACCCGGCTGTATGCCGACAATCACACATGAGCATCCAAACATCTCCAATGACTCTCTGTTTCAATGCAGTAGTTTATCAAGATTACCATAGAAAATAAACTGCAAAACCCTTCAGGACTTTGGAAAAACAGCAGCCCGAGCCATTTATCGGATCAACATCTGGGACCGACTCACCCAACATCACAAGAAACACGACATTCACGTCAGGCCACAGTCATCACGGTACACATGGGCCAAACGCGGGGTGCTGGTCTGGGACTCTCCTTGCGGTCAAGTTCGATGTACAACAAAATGATGCAAATTGCCTACACACACATACACACATACATACATGCATGCATACATACATACATTACATTACATTAGATTACATTACATTACATAACATAACATTACATTACATACATATACATATATATATATATATATATGTATGTGGGGATTAACCATCAAAAATGGAAATAGTGGGGGTTAATAACATTTATTTCTGTTAATCTGTTTTTTCCAATATGTTTTTACAGATGCAGATAAACTCTTAAATAAACAATTATGCAATTGGTCTAGATATCCAGATTTGGTGTATATATATATAATATCTGATATATCGACGTGCAATTTTGTGGATTTAGGCACACCCACTTTGGTTTTTGCCTGGCAAATGCACTGCAAAGCACCCATCATGATCATCATCTTTCCAAGCCGGTTGACCAACAGTGCTAGCTGGAAGCTCTATCGGTAGGCATAACTAGAACTAACTCCTTCGACCCAAGCATTTTTCTGGACTGTTCTTGTCATGAATTTCCCCGAAAAACTCGGGAAACATATGATTCTGTGTATATATAATTATATATATATATATAACACACTTCCCCCCAAAAAAAAACTAGAACAAAGTCAAATTAATTACCATACATTACCACTCTTTTAGAACCGGATTTGATTTTCCAGTCACCAAACGGGGACCAACCAAATTTTCCCCCAGTGGATTGATTGTGCACTGAATGCCAAGCAATGCCCCAATGGGGAAAACGTATGGGAAAACGTATGGTATGGGAAAATTGTTATAGTGCAATATGTGATGTATCATTATTTAAGAATATTTATAGTTAATATGCTATGTACCATTTACATGTACCATTTACATGTACCATTTACACAGAATCTTGCAGGATTACACAGAATTCTATCTATCACCCCATCGGATAACAATCATTTCATGATAGTCCCATGATAATTATGATAGTTGTGATTGTTTGCTATGCCTATATATGTAACATGATGTAATTCTTACCATCCGATAATTTAACATAGCTATTGAAAATGGTCCATTTAATATATAGTTTACCTACTAAAGATGGTGATTTTCCATAGCAATGTTAGTTTACCAGAGGGTATTTGGATTGATTAGTTGGGACAGGACTTTTTCGCTCCTCAATGCCATCTTCCTCCGCCAACAACGTGTGTGGTGCAGCCATGGCAGATGTGCGGCCGGGAGTGTTGAGCCTGTTGAGCCTTGTGTCTTCACGGCGGGATGTTTTTCACGGGATCAACATGGTGACCAGTGGATGCCAATGAGGTAGCCAAACGTGTTTCTGAAAAAAATCATTTTAGGTTTCTCAAAGTACCAATATCCGAAAAATCACGAAGTTGATTGATATTTTATGGAATATTTGGGATTTATTCACGCATCGACCGGTCTTAGTCACGTTTTTTTTTGGGGGTGGCCATTGGTGGCCCCACCCTGTGAGTACCCCTGTGTCACCACCGGATCAAGGAGGAACATCCTGGTGGCGATGTGATGCTCAATCTTCCATAGTTAGCATCACAAACTAATATTACCATCTGGTTATTTGACATAGCCATGGAAAATGGCCCATTTATAGATGGTTTACCTATTAGGAATGGTGATTTTCCATGGCGGCTATGTTAAATAACCAAATGGTAATTAATATTTCATGGAGAAAACGATGAGACTCACCTCACAGATTAGTGACACTATGATGTGGTCACTCAATTCGAAACCATAAGCATATCAGTCGAACATAATTGAAACATGTATCATCTACATTCATCTACAACATCCAGCGCACTCCGAGTTTCACCCTGCAGACCTGCAATTCAGCCCGCGTCATGCCCTCGGCACCATAGTGAGGGAAGCTGTTGGGAGATGGGAGATGGGAGGGTCGAAACTCCAAGGGTTTTAAGTGGTGTTTGTTTCATTTTCGTACAGTAATTTCAAGATATCTCAAGTACTATTTTTGAAGTAAAGAAACTGATTTATTTGATTTCTATGATATTTTTTGAAGGAAAGAATCAACATAATCAACCATGGAAGAGATGTGGGCTGTTTGTTTCAACTTATTTCAACTGTGTTGACACATGTTGGTCAAGAAGGGAATTCGTCCCAAGTATCTTTGACATGAAACCACCGAGTGGAGATGATGTGTCACCAAACATACTAGTTACATCAGCCACAAAAACTAACATAAACTAACATACCTTCCATTTCGAGATGATCCTCCCATGAAAAAACCACCATAAAACAATTAAAACCCATGAATATTTTCCCATAAACACCACCATTCATAGAGATTGTACAGCCATGTTTGATTCTCGAATGGTACCTCCAGTAAAATCGGTAGCTTTGGCTACAAAAGAAGCCAATTACTTGCATGGTTTACCTGCGAAGAAACTGGGGATGTTCTGCACCCCCATCCCCACTATCTGAATCCTCAGCATGCCTCAGCTTGGAGACATCGAAGTTCGCAAAAGGCCTGGCGAATGAACATCAGCTTGATGATATTACAGGAGTTGTCAAGTCTCAATCTGGGCTGTTGTGCGGCTTGTGTACTCTGTCACTAGATGTTTCAAAACACAAGAAAGGGATAGCTTTTCTACATGCATTTGGAAGAATTTCAGCCAAGACCCTATGGATTTTTGACATCCTTTTTTGGGTGCCTATGTAATCTCAGTTGGTGGTCAAGCTGGAGACCCGCCCAAAGTTGGGATTCTCCCATCCTTGCTGATGTAAACACCCAGAGTTGATATACTCTCATTCTGGATGGGTGAAGTTCGCGCATATGTAATGTAATGTAATGCAAAGTATAAGATACAGTATAAGCTTTAAATATTGCTTGATAAATGGCATCATTGTATATCATTGTCTGTGGTTCCGCCATTTTTTGTTTCTCAAACCTGTTGACATCCTTCCAAAGGGTGTGCCCTTTGGCAATTTGGCAACTCATGACCAAAGGATTGGTTGAGCAGCCTTTCTGGGACAGCTGGGACAGCTGGTTTGCTCCAAAAATTAACGTAAAATGAACATAGCTATGGAAAAAACCAACGGCTTTCCTAGGACATGATTCATAAATGATTCAAAAATCGTGACATTTCCACAGCTAGGTGACATTTGCTGGCGCGTCAATCCCATTATCTCCTGGGCCATTAATATCAATTATATTTGCTGATGCCCCTAGTTTTGATTGTGTAAGCCATAATTTCTTCAATCAGCATGCTCCCTCAGTTTTGCAACAGATATCCAACTCATCAATTTCTCGGAATCTGGTTGACCCAGCATGTCACCCCGACTACAAAAACCACCACTTTCCTAATAAACTCCCTGGAGCACATGTCCCGGGAATAACATCCCATCTTACTTCCAATCAAAGATGGCTGGAAATTCCGGCAGCAATAGTTCGATGATGTTCTCCCAGCAGCCTTCCCAGCTATAAGCCTCCATTTACAGAGATTATCACATATTTTACTATATTTTTCCTATGATTTTCCCACATGTTCCTATGAAAACGTCCATTTTTTGGATGATTTTGCTATGACGGCGTCACTGACGGCGTCACCCACCGAACGCGGCGCGCTTAGCCCGCCTCTTCCGGAGGCGTCCATGCCAAGCTTCGACGCGGCCCGGTAACCTGTCCGGGATCCAATGATCTTAGGTCCAAAATGGTCCAGCCAGCCATGGGTTTTTCATTGTTCTAACTTGAGAATGGTGTAGCATCACGAATCTTCGGGTCAGATGATTCAGATGGTCAAGAAAATCATAAGTGTCTGTTCGAATTTTTGGTGACACACATATGTTTTTCGGCCCATTCAAATATCCGAAAAATATCATAAATTGAGATGAAACCACATGCTGAGGATAGGTTTTCATATATAAACGCGGCCTTTTTGCATGTGGTTGCTCGTAACCTCCAACATCCTCCAACATGGTGTCGATGATTTTCGGAGATGGGGTTTGACCAGAAAAATATTCTGCGTTGCATCTTTCAAATATCACTCACAAACATCTACAATTGAATTGGATATGCCTATATTGTATGTGTATATGTATCTATAATGTATATATGTACGTGCATATGCACATGTATGATCATGTATGTATAAATTCATGGACGCATGTTACAGTTACACACACACATGTTGTGATCCCCCGTCCTTGCCTCCCGAGCTGCTAAGGCTGCAGCCTGCGAAGGCTGTGGAGGGCTGTGCGCAGAACATGGGAAGGTCACCAAGACCAGAGCTGAATCACCAAACATGGGGATATGCAGTATGAAACTCGAAAGGAGTATAAAGAGGTGAAGTGTGTGTATCTATGTATCTATGTATCTATGTATCCATGTATCTATCTATCCATCCATCCATCTAACTATCTAATTATCTAATTATCTATCTCTATCTCTATCTCTATCTCTATCTCTATCTCTATCTATCTATCTATCCATCTATCTATCTATCTATCTATCTATCTATCTATTTATCTCTATCTATTTATCTCTATCTATTTATCTCTCTCTCTCTATCTATCTATCTATCTATCTATTTATCTCTATCTATTTATCTCTATCTATCTATCTATCTATCTATCTAGCTGTCTAGTTTTCTAGCTATCTATCTATCTATCTCTCTCTCTCTCTATCTCTCTCTCTCTCTTTCATCTGTCTATCTGTCTAGCTGTCTACCTGTCTATCTATCTATCTATCCATCTATCTATCTATCTATGGATCGATCGACCGATCGATCTATCTATATCTTTATATCTATCTAGTCTAATCTACTGTAATCTAATCTAATCTAATCTATGTAATCTATATAATCTAATCTATCTATGGACAGAATCAAAAGTGTAACGTGAAATGAGGGATAGTAGTAGTAAGTCATAATGTCCTTTTCTTAAAAGTAGAGGCCCAACTGTGTAATTCATCATGCTACCCATTGATTTGGACAAAAAAACAATCACAGGGGTGAGACCATGGTTTAGCATGGCTTTGTCCACAGTATGTGGGAACTCAAGGGAGGTCTCCAAGGGAAAAAAAGATCGAATCGCAGTTGGTGAGAGGTTCCACCAGTGATTCATCTGGTTTCAATGGATGGTTCGATAGGCCCTCATCATGTGATTGGTAAACTCAATTCGTAGCTCCTTGGTCCTTGGTCATAGGGAATATGAAAATATATAGCTCCTTAGCTCCTGAAACACCGAAAAGATATAATGAGCAGAGAGAGATACAAATGCGGGATATAGAACTACCCGTAGCCGAACGCTTCCCCAGCATTCCGCATTTAAAAATAGGGCAGTAGGATCCAGTTGGGGGATGGTTTTCACAACAAAAAACTCCATTTCTCGGAAAATAATTTGGGGATGGTCACGGATGGTCTACGAAATTTGACTTTACCACATTCTTTCAGATAGGGCCCATTTCAAATCATCCAAATCTTCAAGACTTTTGCAGACCTTTAAGCGGCTTTTCTTTGATGCGCTATCGAGTTTTATGTTTTTTGCTGGTTTTGTTTCCAACATTCTTTGAAACCTCCACGCAGTGGCTGCAGCGGGCTGGGTTAGCCATAAACCTAGGGATTCGCCTTGCACCCCTTGCGGTACAACAAGAAGTACTGGCAGTCGGCCGGGCAAAAGACCTAGGGACAGTCGGTCATCGGTCACACAAGGAGATTTTAGTAAGGGAGGAATTGCAGTCAAGAATCCACAACGGCCAAAAATCAGGATATCATTCATGGGATGATGAAATATTGAAAAGATATTAGTATGATTTAATATGAAAGCATGGGATGAGAACAAAATTCCGGAGATTTTTCAGTGAAGCAACTTCTACAGAGTTTTTCGGAAGCCCATGGCTTGGCGCGGTTTTTCCCGAGGAAAAACGCAAGACCTGGCAGACCTGGCTCAGCCAGTCATGGTAGGATGATGGGAACAGAAAATCTTTGAGAATTCCATGGCCCTGTTACGATTTCTAGGCCAAAGAGGTATAGCTATAGCTACAAAAACCCTCCAAAAAATTAACAATAATTAACATATATAGACCCTGGCAGATGGGGGCAGATGAGTTTCCACTAAGAAAAGTTCAATTTCAGGGTTGTTCAATTTAGAGGCTACCCTCTGGTAAATTAACAGTTGGACCCTGATTTCATCACCCATTTTCAATGGAAACTCATCTTCCAACCCCGATGACTGGAGGATAATTCACCGAGCCAAGCATCCCCTGAGGTTCACGGCCAGATCTTCGGCTCTTCGGCATTTTTTGGGGGTCTGAGTCAAGCCCTTTTTTTGCCCTGTGCCTATTATGGGATTATAAGCTGGGTTATAACATGTTATTAATTACTAGCCATTGGAATGATTTATACAATTTTAATGTTTCCACATGTTCCACACGTTTCCACCATCATAAGATCAAGAAAACTGGCGGGTCCATCACCATATCGTGGCAAAATCTCGCTGTACAAACCTATGGCCCTTGGCCTTGGCGGTGTATGGACCAAGTCCAATCGCATCGCCTGTGGGTAGCCCAACGGATTTCAATGACCCCTCTGTGAAGAGTATATCTTTTACAGAGCTGAATTCAGATGAGATTTATGGATCATTTATGGATCATTTGGGCTTGTCCGACACGAAAAAACAGGTGTCACTTTCACAATCTTTCACAGAGGTGTCCCCATATTCACCGTTGCGGTGGGGTCCCACAGGCTCGAACGAGTGGTTGGTGGTTCGGATCATGTTCGGACACTGGTAGTGAGAACCTGACAGCAGCTGATCATGATCAGCAATTCTCACTTCATATACTTAAAAGATCTTAAATGAGTGATGTAACATGTTTTCTCACCACCAACCAATTGATACTGTACAGATTCGTACAGATAGGAATTTCAGTGATTCAATATATTTGATAAACTTAAAGAGTCTTAAAGGTCTGTGCATGGTCTATGCTGGTGCTATGGGCATCAGCCTTCACAACGGCTTGCTGCCACAGGCCACCATAACACCCCGAATTCATGGCTGCCGCCGGTTAGGTCGTTGCACAAGCCTAAGATGTACAACGGACCGTTGGAGAAAACGATCATCGCCAGAATGGTGTGAAACTGGGCCAGTGCAGTAGGCAACAAATGGGCCCAAAATGGCAATTTGCCAAAGTCTTCCGGACCTCGAAGGAGGGTGAAGGACGAATGGAATGTCTGGGAATATTTGGGGTTGGGTAACTGGGAGAAAGATTGAAATTTGATAAATCTTAACCAACAATCCATATCCAGTCGATGGATTTGCCCAACATATTCTGGACCTTGGGTCAAATGGCAGTTTTGAAAACAACAATCCTGCTTAAGGTGTTGTGCTGTTCGCGTAAGATCAAAATCAATGTTCTGGTAGCTCGTAACCAGACCTAGTTGTCAGATTATTTTTTGAACTTTGAACAATGACTTCATAGGTGGGTCTGACATTGATTACTACGTATATATATATATATATATGATTCATGAATACTCATTGATCATCGCTTAGCAGTCTTTCTCTTAAGAAAAAAGGCCCCAAAACGAATCAACCGATGTTGAACAGGGTGGCCGCCTGGTGGGAACTGACGACTCTCTGTTTGGATGTTAACGTTGATTTTTCCAATGGGATTACCCTCCAAATGAACATATGGAAAACCAATGTTTCCCAAGAAACTGATCTAAATATGCAGATGCATTTTGAATACTTAGAATATATAGAATATACTAATTTGTATGTAGGCAATAAACAAATGGGGGATTTTTCGATATTTTTCGTATCCGTGTCAACTTGCTTAATTTATTTGCTGGAGGGTAGATGTTGTCAATCAGGACACCTCCCGTTTACTATTTCTGGTGGATTTTCAAAGAGCGAGGTTTCCTTCAGAATGTATACCAGGAAATTCAACAGAAATCGCTGCATACATGTATGTAGAGACGCATCATTGTCACTATCTATTCTGTAGTCATGTAATGATACGCATCCATGCATAAATGCATGCACGGATGTACGTCTGTAGCTATGCCATGCATGCACGTAACTACACGAATAATAAGCCAGTTTCCCTTCTCCTCTATATAGTAATCAATACACTTGTTAACCTCCAATGTCCAAAGATGACAAGTTAACTTCCAGCTTCGAATCGAATCGCGCTTCCACAGCTCCAGTCGGAGATGTCCAAGGTGCCATAAATGAAATCGTCCACCACTCTCACCTTCCACTGAATGGTCGGGAGAAACTCGCTGGAACACACCTAAGGCTGCCAGGCTGGATTCCCAGGCAGCACTTGAATCCATAATTTCTGAGGTACATACATTATTATTATAATTATTATTGTTGTTGTAGTAGTAGTAGTTGTAGTATATATATATATAATTATCCGCCGACCCCTGCCTAGCCTTGGCCTAGGCGGGGCGGCGCCCGGGATCACCGTAGGTGTGCGGCATGGCCTTGTGCCTCAAAACCTCCGCAGCAGCTTTCGAAGGCGTGCCGCTTGCTTGGACATGGTACCTCCCTAGGCCCCACAAGCTGTTTCTATTGGGCTTCGAAACTGCTATGAGGCACGTTTTGGGCAGGCCTCAAAAGCCTCAAAACCTCCGCAGCAGCTTTCGAAGGCCTTATAACCTCACAACCCTCCGCAGCAGCTTTCGAAGGCGTGCCGCTTGCTTGGCCATGGTACCTCCCTAGGCCCCACAAGCTGTTTCTATTGGGCTTCGAAACTGCTATGTGGCACGTTTTGGGCAGGCCTTAAAAGCCTCAAAACCTCCGCAGCAGCTTTCGAAGGCCTTATAACCTCACAACCCTCCGCAGCAGCTTTCGAAGGCGTGCCGCTTGCTTGGCCATGGTGCCTCCCTAGGCCCCACAAGCTGTTTCTATTGGGCTTCGAAACTGCTATGCACTTTTGGGCATAAAAGCCTCAAAACCTCCGCAGCAGCTTTCGAAGGCCTTATCACAACCCTCCGCAGCAGCTTTCGAAGGCGTGCCGCTTGCTTGGCCATGGTACCTCCCTAGGCCCCACAGCTGTTTCTATTGGGCTTCGAAACTGCTATGAGGCACGTTTTGGGCAGGCCTCAAAAGCTTCAAAACCTCCGCAGCAGCTTTCCAAGGCCTTATAACCTCACAGTTTCGAAGGCAAGGCCCCACAAGCTGTTTCTCTTGGGCTTCGAAACTGCTATGACGTTTCAAGCCTCCTCAAAACCTCCGCAGCAGCTTTCGAAGCCTTATAACCTCACAACCCTCCGCAGCAGCTTTCGAAGGCGTGCCGCTTGCTTGGCCATGGTACCTCCCTAGGCCCCACAAGCTGTTTCTCTTGGGCTTCGAAACTGCTATGAGGCACGTTTTGGGCAAGCCTTGAAAGCCTCAAAACCTCCGCAGCAGCTTTCGAAGGCCTTATAACCTCACAGCCGCAGCTTTCGAAGGCGTGCCGCTTGCTCGGCCATGGTACCTCCCTAGGCCCCACAAGCTGTTTCTATTGGGCTTCGAAACTACTAGTATGTGGCACGTTTTGGGCAGGCCTTGAAAGCCTCAAAACCTCCGCAGCAGCTTTCGAAGGCCTTAGAAACCTCACAACCCTCCGCAGCACCTTTCGAAGGCGTGCCGCTTGCTTGGCCATGGTACCTCCCTAGGCCTCACAAGCTGTTTCTATTAGGCTTCGAAACTGCTATGTGGCACGTTTTGGGCAGGCCTTAAAAGCCTCAAAACCTCCGCAGCAGCTTTCGAAGGCCTTGGAACCTCACAACCCTCCGCAGCAGCTTTCGAAGGCGTCCCGCTTGCTTGGCCGTGGTACCTCCCTAGGCCCCACAAGCTGTTTCTCTTGGGCTTCGAAACTGCTATGTGGCAGGCCTCAAAAGCCCCTGCCGCTTGCTTGGCCATGGTACCTCCCTAGGCCCCACAAGCTGTTTCTCTTGGGCTTCGAAACTGCTATGTGGCACATTTTGGGCAGGCCTTGAAAGCCTCAAAACCTCCGCAGCAGCTTTCGAAGGCCTTAGAACCTCACAACCCTCCGCAGCAGCTTTCGAAGGCGTGCCGCTTGCTTGGACATGGTACCTCCCTAGGCCCCACAAGCTGTTTCTATTGGGCTTCGAAACTGCTATGTGGCACGTTGTCGGCCGGCCTTACAAGCCTCAAATGATCAAAATGCTCCGCAGCAGCTTCCGAAGCGGCTCCGTGCCTGCTTTGCCATTCAGCTTTACGACCGTGCACGTCTACCTCTTCAATTCTGAACTCAAAGACTCAGAACTAGACTAGCAGCATTCCAAAGCATGTCCCAACCACATTCGAACAGTGCCCAAAACATCCCAAAACCCTGTCATTCCGCTTTTGGAGATCTTATTTGAGCTACCTCGTAGAGGCGTAAAAACCCTTCGTGCACGTAAAAAAACAGTTCAGGAGAGTAACCGATATCCCAGAATGGTTATCATTAATAATTAATCCTCAGCCTGTAGTATAAAGATACTTACAGTACCAAGGGGCTGCAGGTGCATGCATACATTCAACTTACTTTGGTACTCGGTCGCTGTGCTCCTTTCTTTCCACTGCCAAGCGCCCCCATACAGGCATATACATGCTATAGCATAGGGCCCTCACATGATAGCCGCATTGGTTCATCACTCGCTTCGTGTGGTTTATGGTAGGTATAACTGTCTATAACGTGATTATATACCGACTTATAACTAAAGAGCCCCATCTTCTATTCGTGTTGAAACAGCACAGAATCACTAGAAAATGACTTTGGGACAAATGACAAATATGGAAACATCTAGGATAACATCGGATAACCATGGCCTCAAAATGGGGGTCGGCGGCACCAGGGCGTTAGCCCATTTATATTTATACATGTATACAGATCGATCATATATACTATATATGTATACATTGTTTGTTGTTGATTGATTGGGTAGGTTAATGACACCCTTTTGATAATCTACAAGCAAGAGTTTATCAGAAAAACACAGCACTTAGAGATTTAGAGTGTCACTCATGTCAGGGACTACTGTAATCAAATTTGACAGCAAGTCTACAAGTCTAATGTGATGGAGGATAATTCCACGATAGGAATCAACAGCAAAAAACTCATGAACCAAGCAGAAACACACATGTGGAGTACACACTCCGGAAACCAGAAGTTATCAATGTAATCCATAACATGTGGAAGAACTATTCATTCGAACTTACTATCATATCTATGGGTTTTCCAAGGTCTACAGCTAATAGCAGCTAATACATATCATTGCCAACCTTAGATACACTGCAAAACAATTTTATTTCATAGATGGTTGGTAGTTATAGCAAAAGGTTCAGCTATTAAACCATATTAAACCACATTAAACCACATTAAACCATATTTTCCACCCATCCAAAGTTCACCTCCCCCAAAAAAATCCCTTAACAAAACCCTCCTGCGACCGCCGTCACCGGTCTGGATGGTGGTGCTGGTGACACCGACAGCGACACGTCGGTGGACGGCAGCACTGAAGCTAATCGTCGCGCCAGCCTGGTGGATTAGCTAACCAGCATGAAAACGGTGCATAGCTATGTAAATATCATGGGAAAACATAGGAAATTCCACTATAGCTATATGTTAATGTTGATAATGAATAATGATATAATAGTTAACAGTTACACTCTGGTAAACAAACAAAAATATGGAAAATCACCATTTCTAATAGGTAAATCATCTGTAAATGGGCCATTTTCAATAGCTATCTGAAAAATTACCGGAAAGTAAGAGTTGAGACTAGAATAGGTTCTAGAACATTAATTAACATGTGATTGACGTTGATAGTTGCCATAAGCTAGTTGATATATCCACATATGGGGTTTGGTTCTTAAGTCATGTTGGATCCCCAAATCATAGGTTTCAATACTTTTTGTGACATCCATGACTGGGATGATTTGGGGTATCCCCATGACTTGGAAAACCTCCATATGATAGGGGGACTTAACGACTTAATGTAATTTAATGGATTCAGGACTTAAGGGCATTTAAACCAAACACCATGGTTTTACCGTTGAATGTTGGGCCTTCAGATGAGAAAAAAAAAACGTGAAATATTCCGTTATCCAATTCAGGGGATGAAGTATACTATAATGAATATCAGTATGGTAAGAAATCGCATAAGCATTAAAATGACAAGCATTGCACAAGTGAGCATAATAATCTATGATACACTTCTAATATATATATAAATATACAGTAAAATCAATGCTGTATGAACATTTATAATAATATTGTTCCGGGGTCATTGCATACATATCATTACATATCCTTATCCAAACATGTCACACATACAGTACATGGGAAATATATGGATACTGTTGAGTGTCTGCAAGAAATATTTGTGTAAAACATGGGTTAATACTCCAAAACTATAACGCACACATTCATCATTTGGCTTTTCGACGGCAATGGGTCATCGGATGGAGAATGATCCCAGGTGGGGTATCGCATTGTTTGGCCTATGGCTACACTTTCGTATGAAGATAGAGGAACAAATCTGTGGCAAAGAAGAGGAACGGAAGAGGAACAAACAATTGAAACTAAGAGGAAAGGAAAAGAAAGGAAGAGGAAAAGAATAGAGAAACGCGAGAGAGAAAAGGGGAAAAAAGGAATGGGTACCCTCTGGTAAACTAACATAACTATGGAAGATCGCCATTTTTAATGGGTAAATCAACTACAAATGGCCATTTCCAATAGCAAACTGTTAAATTACCAGAGGGTATATCTGTGGTCCATGGCTGATTTTTGAAGAAATGGATATCGAAGGTATCGGGGTCCTTGGCTCATTTCGCCTCTTGCAGCAGATTTGCCGCGCAAAGGTGATCCACTTCACTAAGGTAGCTTCATGAGCAAGTGGTTGCAACCGACAGAAGCATCACCAACAAACATGCCATGAAAAACGAACATAGTGAGGATTTTTTACATGATTAAAATCATTATATAAACCAGCAAAACTACTGGATTTCAAGAATCCCTGGTTTCACGGTCATCATCGGTCATCCATGTCCGGCTCAAGAGGTGACCAGGTGCCAAACCAGCCCTTCAGTCTTTTTCAGCCAAACGCACCGCACATGGTTCTGATTTTTTGGGCGGGAACAACTGGAACAACAAATCACATGATTATCATGATTTATAATTATAACATTTGGTGATTTGTTGTTCCCCAGAATTGAGACCATGTTGATGTATTTTTAGTCTATTAAAATCTCATGTTCCCCATTGGAACTGGCCATAACCCATCGATCCGACAGACCATCCATGGCGGACACGCCTTCCCCGGGAGATTTTCTCCACCTCTGAGGCGGTGAGTGAAGAACTGCTGGGCGATAAGTTCACGTTGAGGTGCCACAACGCGCAGCTCAGGAGGTCCTCAAAGAGATCCGGAAAAGGTCATGCCGCATACAGAAATCAGATAATCACTGATCCCCAAAAAAACAGGGAATCTGATTTTGAGAGAGTTGACCATAAATAAAAAATAAATAAATAAACAAACATATTATTTGCTATGAAATGCTATAAATATATGCTATGACTCAGTAACTGTTACAAGAGTATCTGTTTCTATGAACGAGTTAATCGCATCCCAGGATCATGATATACAATGATAATATATATATATATATATAACTATATATATAATTATATTTATATATATATAATTATATATATATATTTGTGCGTGTGTGTATTCGTTTTTGCGGGACCACGTTAAAAAAAATAAGACTGGGTTCTTTGAGAGAGTCTACAAATAAACGGATTGGAACTGGATTTGAAGTTTTATACAGCAAGCTAAAATCATATTTCTATAGCTGTTTGGATAAGTGGAGTAACGTTTGGAGTTTATTTTTCATGCTTGTGGGGCTCGTTTTTTGCAAGGTCCTCCACCACTTCTGCCAGTAGGACCCCCAGCAAGAGCAGCATCCTTGGGGACTCCAATGGTAAGGCCGTGCCAATGCAAAGCCGAGCCAAGAGCAGGGCGCCAATGGCGCCGAAACGCGGATAACCCATGCAATAGCCGGATTCACGCAGCAACTTGCTGCAGTTGTTGGGTTTCCATCCTGAGGAAAATAGGTATCTTTCGAAAAAAATGGAAAGTCGAGCGAATTTGGGGCCTTATATATATATATATTAATTAATTAATTATATATATCATTCAAGTATTTATATGATTTTATATGTATTTATGATATAGTAATATGTCAATTAAAATTCAACTACTGTAGTTATAAATGTGCCAATATAGTAATTCTGGTGATTATCATCCAATACCAACATTGTCAATAAATGTCAATGAACCCCATCTAGCATTCCAGCCCCCGCAAAAACGAACAAGGCAACAAGGCCTGAACCAGGGGTTCAGTTTGTTCCTGGGGTACCGTACATTCTGATATCAACCAATTCCATCAGTCAGGAATGGAACAGTTTGAAATGACCAGCATCAGCACTGGTACCGGCTCAGAATGATTATCCATGATTATCCTATGGCATGCTATGGCTTTCTCGGAAAAAAACTATAAGTTTTAAATCCGGAAAAAAAACATAAAAACGTCGTTGATTTATCAGCGTCGCAGCGTCGTTGGCAGGAGACCAAGTGCAAACACCTGTCCATGAAACCAATTCGCAGCAGGACGTTCCACAGCACGCCGCTGACGATGGGAATCAAAATGCTGGGGCTTGGGTTCCTTGGGAGCAACGCGGACACATCACCAAATATACGCCTATACGCCATCCCTATGCCATCCCTTTCCATGAAGTCAGAAGTCACTAGTGTTTAGTATTGTTCAATACATGTTGATACCAAGTTAGATTCTAGGTTCTTATAACACTGATTTTAAAAATATTGTTCAATACCACCCTGGAAACGCTTTTTTTCAATACTGAATTCGATATAATTCGATGGGGCCATTTGGGGATATTAAGGGATGATATCTATTGGCTTTTATCGGACGTAGTTTCTCCAAGCGGGTGACTGATAAATACAACAAGCAAGTCATGAAGAAATATGACAAAATATCAACACACCTTACTGGCACTCGTAGGGTTCGTGGGGTTTCGAAGCTTCACATGGACCGGATCGGATTTGATTCGAAGCTTCTCGAAGCCATCAACATATAGAAGGGTCAAGCGAGCCCCTTCTGCCAAGGCGTGCAGGTTGCAGATCGCTATGGACACCTCAGGCAAAAGGGCCAATGTGTGATGCAGGGAAAACAGCAGAAAACAACAACAATTGGAGTGCGCAAGCTCCATCCCGAATCTCCAGGATGGTGAAAATGGCAGGGATGAGGACGTCGTATCCCACGACGAAAATGGCTTAGGTGATTACACATTTGGGTGAAAAAGCCACTTAACCTCTGGTAAACGTTGACATAACTATGGAAAATCACCATGCTATTAATGGGCAAATCAACTACTTATTTCTATGGCCATTTTCAATAGCTTGTTGTATGCTTACCAGAGGGTAATCACCATTAATATTTACCATTAATGACCATTACTCACCATTAACCACCATTAACCATAGATATTCTCCATTTTAAACAACATTAACCATAGAAGGTTCCCGTTATTTCTGATGTCGCAGTGAGGTCGTCGTTATCCCGTCGCTCTGAAAAGACAAGTCACGATCACACCTTGATTGGTTCCGGCGTAGCTCTCACGCACCTAACTTGTTCATCACCCCCTTGGCTTGATGAACCAATATTTAGTGGTACTTAGCTGACTTTTAAATGGTCATAAATGGAGAATCTATACTGATATCTATATCTATATCTGTATATATATATATTGAGCATCTATACTCATATCTATACTATCTATACTTGAAACCATTCATTGCTTGCTTTCTACTATAAGGGCTGCTGTTTCTGCATGTTTTCCCTTCCCGGGATATCAAAGCAACATGGGAAGTGTTTGCGGGAAGCAGCCACGGCAGTGGGTTAAATCAAAGTAGCTATACTGTACGCGAATTATATAAGTTCACACAAGTTCAATAAACCTATATAAAGCTACTTAGCCTAGCCAATTTATTGGTATATAATTATATCACCTACTCATTGTCGGTATCATTAGGATGAACCAGGAAGTAGAACATGACTTGCTCAAACAGTCTCAGTAATTGGTTGGTGGCTGAGACGTTTACCCAAGAGAAACATGAGTCGTTTTGGAAAAAGGGCGTAACTTCACTGACAAACGTGTAGTAGCCTTCGCAACTCCAAACAAATGATTAAACACATGCAGAAAAGTAATGAATCATACTGATACTAAAACACTGATAAATTACGTTTCTGTCGTTTTTGGGGTTGCTAAATTCTACTCAGTCAAGGTTACTATGCTTTCTATACTACAACATGTAGCCTTTTCTCACTCTGATCTTTGTAGGGCTTACTATGAGAGATAGTCCCTGGTATCCAGGCACAGGGTCAAGAAAAGGGACTGAACAAACCCACTCAGATCCAGTCACAACCAGCAACATTGGCATTTCAAATCATTTCACCCTGAACATATTGGGATTTACATGGATTTACCATGATTTACAGTAGCCATCATCATGAACAATCATGAACATATAAGAGAGAAATCCCATCAACAAACAGGAAGTTAGATAAGTCAGCATGTTGAAATAAGTAATATAAGCATGGGCAACATAAATTCATACAAATTCCACATTTGACATCCTCCAATCTTTGAACATCAATAATTCCCACATTTTCTGGATGTAACATGATGTAACCAGGGCACTTTCCGCTTGGTCAAAAACTTCAGTATGAAAATCTTGGCCACCAGTATGGTACCCAGAAACCTCTGCGTCAGGGCGGGTTTGACCAAAACATGGGGCCATGGGGTTTGGTGAAAAAGAACACCCTGACGAATGGATGGATGAAATACCAAAAACGTCATCTACTTATTTTTTTGGCTCAGTTCGGTTTAAACATAAAGTTTATATCGAATTTGGATCAAGTCCATCAACTTTGAAAAAGGAGCACCCCAAAAAGATTAAGTTCCGCGGACTTTGCTCCATGCTACTACCAACAAATTGAACCCCACAACTTTAAAAGCAAAGAATGCTTCTGCTGTGTTTTGGGCTCCGGTCGTACGTGCGCACGACCATGGACGCATTCCTGAATGGCATGGCCATTTGTGCATTTTCCTTCACGCCGATCGGGTGGGTGTGCTAATAACGTTCGAGGGTGCTCTTGTCGTTTGATCTATGGGGATAAACTGAGCAACTCAGTGCAAGCAGACTTTTATTCCTCCATGCACTTGGACATGCGCCCAAAAACTTCATGGTTAAGAATGACAGCGGCTGTTTGAAGGGCCAAAAAATCAACGCGCGAAAAAACTCGAAGAATTACTTTACTTCGTGTGATCCCCACCATGACATTTATACATTTTCTTACTGGCAAATCTTCTGGCATTCTATCTGACATATCTTCTGACATTCTATTTGGCATTCTATCTGGCATATCTTCTGGCATATGATCTGGCATATCTTCTGGCATATCTTCTGGCATTCTATCTGGCAAATCTTCTGGCATTCTATCTGGCATATCTTCTGGCATTCTATCTGACATATCTTCTGGCATTCTATCTGGCATTCTATCTGGCATATCTTCTGGCATATATTCTGACATATCTTCTGGCATTCTATCTGGCATTCTATCTGGCATATCTTCTGGCATATCTATCTGGCATATCTTCTGGCATATCTTCTCATGGCATTCTATCTGGCAAATCTTCTGGCATTCTATCTGGCAATTCTGGCATTCTATCTGGCATATCTTCTGGCATTCTATCTGGCATATCTTCTGGCATATCTTCTGGCATATCTTCTGACATTCTTTCTGACATTCTTTCTAACTTTCTTCTGCACATTCTTTGTCCCATATCTTCCTACATGAGGTCCGGCAGGGAACACTTGGCGTGGATACTCGCGGTTGAGGTCCGGCAGGGAACACACTGGGCGTGGATGGTCGTGGTTGAGGTCCGGCAGGGAACACTGGGCGGAGGATGGTCGTGGTTGAGGTCCGGCAGGGAACATTGGGCGTGGATGGTCGTGGTTGAGGTCCGGCAGGGAACACTGGGCGTGGATGGTCGTGGTTGAGGTCCGGCAGAGAACACTGTGGATCGCGGGTCGCAGTTGGACGAGGACGACGAGGACGACGAGGAGGACGAGGAGGAGGAGGAGAGGAGGACGAGGCAGGAGGAGGCGGAGGAGGAGGAGGAGGAGAAGGAGGAGAAGGAGGAGGAGGAGGCAACTGACATAAAATCTAACAACCCTCACCTGGCAGGTGGGGAAAAAAGGTGTGGCACAAAACTAACTTCAAAACATTAAACACACACACACACATATATATATATTATGTTATATGATATATGTTTCATTGTAGGGACAACTTCATAGATACATAGTTTTGAAACATTACAGCAAGCAGCTGTTTGAATCATCAAAGCTCGAAGAAAAAGGAAGTATATAGTTGCAAACATTGATTCAAACAACTGACTTCAAACAACTCTGTTTCGATGTAACCTGGTTGAGATGATCAACCTTAAAACACATTGATTTCGCTGTGGTCCTTGATGGCTGAAACTGTGGTGACATGCTGTTTTTCTTTTTGAACGAACTTCGAAAACTATGGGGCGCCATTCCACAAAACAAGACACACACACAACAAAAAAACAAACAAGAAATACCGTTTAACAAAAAACGAGAAAACAGATTGAGCAACTTGGCTGCAATGGATCCGCATTGTTACGTCGGACCGGACCATGATCTTTTATGATATTTTATGTACTTCTCTTGAAGGATTCTACGACCGCTGGCTGTGGTGGGGTTTGGCGCAGCTGTTTTCAGATTCCTACTTTGATCTGAGAACCATCCATCTCCCAAATCTGGATATGTGTTTGTCTCCATGCGGCAATTTGTTGTGGATAATCATGGGTAATCAATGGATAATCGTGGATAATCATCATATCTGTTGGTTGATAAAGCCTCCCCCCGGATGGTACAATCAATCCTCAAATGGGAGGTGTCGTGCTGGGTTTATTGCGTTCATGAATGGTCTATGCTACCCATGGCCAAATTGCTCTCCCGGAAGATCCAGGATGGTCATGGCGTGGCCAGGTGCCAGGTGGCTCATAGATGCTGAGTACCAATGGCATCAGGATACCAATCCACACCCCTGCGATACGTCTCCTGGTGCCAGGCTGATGCCAGGGCAGAAACGTTTTTCGAATCTTTGACATGTTCTTTGCCATGTCTATTTGGGATCTAAGCATATCGAGATGTTAATGATCTAAGCATCCCATTCAATTTTTCACAATCTACACAGATAGTTAGATAACCCAATTACCTTAGATCCATTCATTAACTAAGCATCCCATTAATTATCTAAGCAGAATCTACACGTAACCATTCAACCGTGACGTTGGAAATCACCCGTTTCTGAGACACGACCTGCCAACAGTTACCAGATTTACCAGGTCATGTCAGGTAAAAGGATATGGAAAAATCACGCAGGGCATCCCTATGGGTATAATTACTATAGTTATAATGGGGATACTATCGCAAACATATATAGATATAATATAGATATAATATGATAAATAATGGGAAACTAATAGTATTATATCTGAATTATAGTTCATTATTATGCCATCCAAACTGAAGCGGAAAAAACACATGGAAACTTAGGTGCTCATTTTCCCGCAACATCATGCACCAGTATGATATGGCCATGGAAATTCCTGGACCGTTTTCTTGGTGCTTACTGATCTTACTGTATATAATTGTGAGCCATGGAACACATTAGAATCATTAGAACACCACAAAAATATCTTATACTTGTAACATCACCATGAAACACTATGAAATCCCATTAAACATCATTAAACACTATTGACGCACCATAAAATCACCATTAAACCACATGAATTAAAGTTGAACCACACATTCAGCTCCACCTTTTGGTGGAGGAAAAAGGCCCAGTGGCAATGTGATGTAGCCAGCGACCACTGCGGCAAAGCCAAAGATTGGGAAGAACACCTTGGGTTAACCCAATCCATTGATGGCAGAAACCCAGTCCAACTATGAAACTATGAAGACAAAAGAGGCTAGAATGCAAGGAATTTACTAAAAAAAAATACTGGTTGGTGGTGCAATAACCGTCTTGAAAAATATGAAAGTCAGTGGGAAGGATTATCCCATATATTATGGAAAATGAAAAATGTTTGAAACCACCAGTCAGAGTACATCAAATGATAGTATCGTAGATGATTCAAGACTGTGTAATCTTTTTGGGGGTGTGAGGGACAGTTTTTTGGTGCAGCCCCTCTGGTTTTCAACAAATCATGGGTCGACCCACCTTTTGCAACAACGGCCAACCCATGACACCAACGAATGTGACAAAATTGAATACATCCCACCAAAAATCATCAAAAACTATCTGGCTAATCTTAAGGATACCCTGCACAGAGCTCAATTTTCAGCCATTTGGTATATTTCGAATATTTCTATCTATTTCTCCGTTGACGGAAAGACCATCAAACTCAATCAAACTCACCTACTCAAGGTTTAGTCAGCAAATTTATATCAATTTATATAAATTTATGACTTCATCAAGGCCCTTCATCTTCAGTCTTACAGGTCCCTCTCTACTATGTGTCACTCGTCAACTGAATCCTGGGACATGGCCTGGCCAAGGGCCTTTAAGGGATTCCAAGGGACACAGGAAGGCGCAGTCATCAAGGCATAATGTTTGGAGAGCACGGCAGGACCCAAGCGGGACACCAGCAGAATGCCCGTTGGGAGACTCAAGACGTTGCCCAGGACGAAGACTGGAAACATACCGAAATGATCGCCGTCCCTGCCATGGGCAATTTGCCGTTCTCCCCCGCAAAAAGTGTCATCGACATATTTCAGGAAATGGAAAACCATGCAACAAAAATGAACATATCGAACATATCACACACACTTGCTCAGAAACATCTTATCGAATTACTGATGTGGAATGCATCGTACGTGCAAAAAACACTCCAGTAAACCTGACAGGAAGTGGTGAATGACAGGCGTGAGAAACAGTGTAGAAGAATTCTGCCGCTGAAACTGTAACAACGTAGTGGACAGCGTGTTCAACAGTTAAAAACTATCTGCAGGTACACAGCTGGGCGTCCCCAGTTGCTTCCCCTTCAGTGACATAGCTTCGTTGGGCAAGGTAGTCACTGAAGGCCTTGCCCCCCTGCTTTTGTTGGAAAATCAAATGAAAAAGCCAAAAAGGCAAAGTCAAATTGGAAAACCATTGAAGCACATCATCAAGCAAGTTAGAAGTTTTACATCTTTTCAGATGGTCCACACACACACACCCCCTCCCGCAGGAGGGTGGGACAATAAGGTCCCGACAATGAGATGAAAATGAAGAGGAAGGGAAATGAAGATGAGGTGAAGATGACAATGAGATGAAAGTTACTTAACCAGGACGCAAAGAGGGGAACGCAAAAGAAGAGGGAAAGAGCAAACACCAACACATGAAACCTAGCCCAGAACGGGCAACCCTGGAAAGGCAAGGGAAAAGAAAAGCGGAGGCCGACGGAAAACGGAACAAGACCAGCGGAGGAGGGGGAGGACAGAAGCGCCTGAACCAACCTGACACGGCGAAAACCTACAACAACCTCAGCACGCAACGGGCCAAACCTACCTGGAGAGAGGAGAACGCAAGAACACATGAAAAAGGGACCCATGGGGAACTAGTTAATGACATGATGCATCCACAACGCATGCAAAATTCGTGATAAGGCTCAAAGGCCCTCGGCTTTCAAGTCACAACCCTCTGGACGGCTTACGTGTTCAACCCCTGAATTAGGTGCACAATTTCAACCTCACCGAGAAACCAAAAAAGGAAGTGGCCAAACCTGGAAAGCATGTCCTGTAGCCTTCACATGGTAACATGTCATGTGAAAATGTCGAGCTCCGTACTCTCTTGGGCATCATTGAAAAACGGATGTTGTCGCGGCTTCCAGCTACGCAGAGCATGGTGAAAATGGAAAAGGCGATGCCCAGTACTGCGGCAAGCAGTTTCAACACTCACTCGACCGACAGAGTGAAACCTGAAAAGTGAACGGCTGTTTCACTTTACTTAGACGAATTACTAATTCAAAAGTGTAAATTCAGAGATCGTTTTACTGTCAATTGTTAGCCTAGAAAGGCTTTCCCCGAAGGGCTCATACCACCTTGTCGGAGTTCGGCATGAGTGACACACTTGCTCAGAAACATCTTATCGAATTACTGATGTGGAATGCATCGTACGTGCAAAAAACACTCCAGTAAACCTGACAGGAAATGGTGAATGACAGGCGTGAGAAACAGTGTAGAAGAATTCTGCCGCTGAAACTGTAACAACGTAGTGGACAGCGTGTTCAACAGTTAAAAACTATCTGCAGGTACACAACTGGGCGTCCCCAGTTGCTTCCCCTTCAGTGACATAGCTTCGTTGGGCAAGGTAGTCACTGAAGGCCTTGCCCCCCTGCTTTTGTTCGAAAATCAAATGAAAAAGCCAAAAAGGCAAAGTCAAATTGGAAAACCATTGAAGCACATCATCAAGCAAGTTAGAAGTTTTACATCTTTTAAGATGGACCACACACACACACACGCACACGATGATAAACCCAAAAAACGCCACATTTAACGCATGCCTTTCACACGTTTAACCGTTAAAACCGTTAGCATTCTTCGACTCTTTGCCGTGCCGTCTTCGCCTCACCGGAACACAGATCAGCAGGGTCCAGATCGTCGCCCAGGAGACGTTCAGCGCCAGTGGCACGCCGCAGCACCGCAGCAGCCGACGCAGTCGACCTCGCTCCGCGCTGTCTGGCCAGGCATCCGACAGAGCTTGCTCGGGCCTCAAGGCCCACATCGCGTAGTTCCGCACCTGAAGCCATGCAATGCGTGCGTCAAACAATGCCATGTTTACCACCCATGACTGGGAGTGGTAAACATATATACCAGCTGTAAAAATGGTGACTGGGGGACGGTTCATGAGATTGTTTTACCCACATTTTTTTTTTTGCTTGGAAAAATGTACGGCGTATATCCAAGAATCCCGGGGGCATCTGAGCCGCGGCTCAGTGTGGCTCCAGGAAGAAAGGAAATGAAAGGAAGAAATGAAGCACTCCCCCGAGATTCCCGATTTTTTTCTGGATTTCCCATATCCCCAAAAGATCCCAAAAGAATGAAGAACTTAGAAGTCTAATTAATCCCAAGGCTCCCAAAACTTTCCCATAGATTCCCCAAAGCCCAAAGCCAACAAAAAACATTGGAAATTGAGGTCCCATAGATTTTCCAATTTTTCCATAGATTGCTTCCATATTTCCCAACTTAAAACAAAACAAAGTTGGCTTCCGAAGTCATCTCGCGGCACCAAGGGGGCTGACACCACAAAGATTGGCAGATAGAACATGAAGGCCCAGCCGGCGACGCGCAGCAGCAGCTGAGGCCCAAATTCTAGAGGCAAACCAGGCAGCCCGAGTTCAGAGAAACTGAAGGCTAACAAGCCCATAAACATAAAGATGCTGGCAAGCAGGGAACTCAACAATGTCCTGAGGGAGGAAAGTGGCATGAATATCTATGGTGCGTTTGTTGCCATGGAAACTGTGTCGTTGAAGTCTGTAATTTGTATATAAATGCTGGCAGCACTTGCATTCAAACAGAAGAACAATTTAAACAATCACCCCGAGCTTTCATGGTACCTTTTCTACCTTTTGGAGTGGCGTTCAGACCCTCTCACCACCATTTGGAGTGATGTCGAAGCGAACAAAAATGGATGAAGTAAGCAGCACATGTCAGCTGTTTGATCGAACCCATATTAAAGTTCGGTGGTTGTTCCATTCCATTTGGGTGGTTCAACAACGCACCATTACATGGGACCGATCCAATGGAGGTCCTGTAGCTTTAAATATGTCATATTTTGGGGGATATCCCCTCCACATAGCCCGGAAAGGACCTGAGATATTCATGGTAGGTGCAAAAAAAAATCGTTTCCTTCAAAGGGCTACTTTTGTTTGGCAAATATGGGGGGTCGCTATCATCAATTACCCACAGCATCTCCACAGTTTTCGTCCGTCAGCGTTTATAAAGGGGGTTTTAGGCCACAACCAGCTGACTTGCATTGGTACCATCCAAATGTTTATTTATTGCATCCCTATACCATCCTTATTATAGGTATTGATTCTGGGTAAATTCAAAACAACGTTTCAAAACCCAGTGCCATAAACCATCCTCGATGTCTTAAATTCAAAACCGGTAGTTTTCATAACATGGGGCCCCCCCAACCACCAAAAAAACGACTGATTCACCATCTTGGCGCCAGGATTGCGGCACGATTAGATGTCAGATCCGTATACTATAATGTGTAGTATATATCTCTTTATAAATAGTGTTACTGGTATTGCTACTACACTATTGCTATTGTTATCACAATACTTCTGATTATTATCATGATGACGTTATTATGATTGTTACTTGCTGATATCTCTATATACTCGTATATTGCTACTATATAGACTCTTGCTTAGTATTATAAATATGTTTGATTAGTATTATAATATTACTATATATCATCATTTTTTTTGGCTTACTGCAACGTACTCTGGGAATCCCCTTGGACGTTTTTTTAGGCGCCAAGTTTCCAGCGTGCAGACGGTAAGCACAGCTTTGCTTCGCCCACCCCCGAGGTGTTGCTGTCGCCGTCCACATCAAGCTCCGCCGGGCTTTCCTGGCAGGGGTGGGCTGCTCCCTTTGGCCTCTGGCATACAAAAAACATCAAAAAACCATGGAACATCACCATTTTTCGTGGGTAAATCAACTATTTCTATTCCCAAATTTCGACTGGGCCATTTTCTATGTCGCAGTTTAGAGGGTAGCCACCAAAAAGATGGGACGATGGCCATTTTCCCGTCTGAATGACCCAAATGATTTGGGGCGATGCACCTTGAAATGTGCTGATGATGAAAAGCCTAAGCTTCTTGAAGTGGGATGTCGTATAATATCATAACATCATAGATGATTAATAGTACCCATCAATTATTGGTTAATAGCAATATAATATGGTTGGTGAGCATCCATGGATGATAATATAAAGTCCATTATAATCCCATTGGTTATCATAATATCATCTGGTTGGTGGTTGACCTACCCCTCTGAAAAATATGAACGTCAAATGGGATTATTGTTCCCAACTGAATGGAAAGTCATAAAATTCATGTTCCAAACCACCAACCAGATATAACCAAATAATATGATATATAATATAGTAACGTAGCTCGTATTCCTCGTCTGTAGGAATAGCCTTAACCTGTTCTAACCGTCCAGTTGTGCAGTGAGGAATGATGGGGGTACCGAGTCATTGTGGGTCAAAACCCAATGGACAAAACCCGGTGGATGGGGCGAAATCCAAATCCCCAGTTGAAAACGGTGGTAGACTCGGTAGACATCCCATTATTTATATGGTTTCAACAAGTTTCAACATGTTTCAAGCATGCTTTTGGTGATGCAGGATTTCGCTGGCCCATCCACAGTATCTCAATTTATTGCATTGGAGAAGTTACTGAGAGCCATCTGTCTGGAAAAGCTGGAAAAGCGCGTCCGAGATGTCTCAACATGGGTTGAATATCAGCACAACTGATGTGTTTCCCGCAAAACTTAAACGATTTTTCACAATTTCTTGTAGGGATGTTGGGGAACAGTTAAGTTTCTAAGTGCGAAATTAATACATCAAATTTGGTGAATAGCCATGTATTCACCAACATTATTACTGTACATCGGTCCATATCTGGGTCCGGTCTCGCGAAAAAAAAAAACCTTGTGACGGGGAGATCTATTTCCGTGATCCCCGGAAGCTGCCCGAAGCCCAAAATTCAGGGAACCAGATCCGAAACGGTATTGAGAAATGGATCTTTTGTTAGCAATTGACATGAAAAATCGCTGAACAATTTTCTGCATATCGTTTTCTACTTTTGAATACAATGGGTATGGGTCAAAATTGGCTACCCAAAATCATTGGATGGTCGGCCGATCTCAGGTCCTACAAGTCGACAACGGCTCGGCTGCAACATGATGATTTTGCTGATAATGAAACTATCTAACAATAATTAGTTTATTGTTATACGGATAACATACTGTAATAGACACACACACACAGATTTATTGAATTATTTATTGATGTACTAATTTTATTGATAACATAATAGAAACATAAAATGATAACAGCAAAATGAAGCACATAACATAATAATGCCAATGGTTCCGTGAGCCTGGATCAAAACGTCATGGTGCTTGGCGAAGCTCTTTTTGACTGCGCTAGCGATCCCGCCCTCTTTGAGCTGGAAACATGTCGGCCAGCAGCTTATGGTTATCCCCATGTCATGCCAACATGATTGCTTTCATGCCACACTTCATCAGTATGACACTGGTTTGATTTTTCTTTGGTTGACATGGGGGTTTTCCATGCTGCACTGTCTATGTCATGTTCGGCTGATCGTGAATCTGTCAGCACAACCACGGGAGCTTGTGCCCACTTTCTGAAGGAGTCTCGTAGGCTATGGCTGCGTTTTGTCAACGCATCGGCTCTTTGTTGTTCCGTGGGAACCCATCGTAGACCCCTGCAGGATTGGCGCAATGCCGCCACGTCAATCTCCACGCGCTTCTCCTGGAAGGTGGTGCTAAGCCTGTGGATAGCATCCCACAAACTTCTGGCATCTGTCACTGGGATCACCTCGTACATTGGTGTGGCTGTCGTTGCCTTGTATCCACCAGAGGTCATCTCACTGAAGGTGCAAGCCAGAAAGTTGCCCACATCGAAGGCACGGTCCAAGGATGCTGCCTCGGCAGCCAGTGTGCTGCGTAGCACTCGCTGATGCCTGTAGGATTTCCACTCCAGCATAGAGGCTCGCTGGGGTGTTTCCAAGCACTGCTTCGTGGTGGCTAACACCACAAGTCCACCTTGGCTTTTGTTGCCAGGGGCGTTTGCCCATCCAGAATCGCCATAGGCCACGAAGATCAGCTCGGAGAGCGGAATGGGATTCACAGTGAAATAGGCCTCGGCAGTGGCTCTGACATACTTGAGGACCCGGTTAATCTCCTTGAGATCGCCCACCGTCAGCTCACGTGGAGGTTTCTGCAGAAGCGAAACATCAGCAGCTAGGTCGCCACGTGTAGTTCCAGCCAACCATTGTAGGCTCCCAATGCCTGACCTGAACTCCGTGATCAGCTCAGGGTGGTCAGACAGCAATTCCTCATCCGCATGCTTGATGCGCGTCAGTTGCACATCGGCCACATAGTGCTCCTGGTCAATGCGGAAGGAGCCATCTTCCATGCGCCTAAGGCGACGCCCTGTGAACACAAAGTCATCCTTCTCCCACTCGGATCCCCACTCGAAGGACTGCTTGACGACCTCCAGGTGGTGCTCATAGCCGTTGAGGCAGCAGCAAATGATGTCATCGACATGAATGCCCAAAACGGCCGTCACAGTTTCACCTTCAATCTGAAGGAAGCAGCAAGGATCCAATGAATGCTGCACCCAGTTCTTGTCCAGCAAAACGTGAAGGACGTGCAAAAACCATCTCCTCGGTGCATTGGCTTGTCCATATACTGGGGCACTGAGGGCGTAGAGCAAAAGAGGGTGCCGCCATTCAGGAACTGAATCAAGTGCAATTGGATCTTGAGGTGGCTTCATGTAGATCTGAGTTGGCCTCTCTGTGTCGGCCTCTCCCTGCAAAAACGCTGACTTGCAATCACCATTCCATAGTGACACTCCATGAGAGGCTGCCCACTGCACGATTAAAATGAAGGTGCTCTTGGCCAAAACCGGCGCATCTCTGCTCAGCAACGGCAGGTGTGGGTCCAGGAATCCCAGAACCACAATGCGGCTCTTCGGCTTGAACCACTTGCCACCATCTTTCGGCTTCCAGCGATAGCAGATGCGCGATCGCAAGATCAGCTTCTCGTCAATCTCACCAGGTTGAGGGTAGACAGCTTTGCAGCTGGACCATTTCAGCCATTCACTCCACTCCTCCTGGTTGGACTTGATGAATTTGGGCCTGTCTTCTGCTGAAATTGTTCGCCAAGGCATCTCTTTCTTGAGCGCTTGTTTGGCAGCTCTGCCCATACCGGCAGTCTCATCCGTCTCGTTCTCCTCCTCACTGGACTCAGGGCCGGTGAAGGTCTGGGTCTCGGTGAACTGCACGCTGAAGCTGTCAGGCCTTGGATCTGCAGTCCATGAAGTCTCTTCCCAGGAAGGCCGCTGATTGTGCTCAAAGTCTGCAGCATCCTTGTTGACCTCAGGGTCCATGGTTGCAAACTTCTTGTTGGCAATGTCCGTGACGTAGGAGTAGTACACCTTGGAGAAATCATCTTGTTGAAAAAGAGGTTGTAGCTCAGGTGGTGAGCCATCCCATCCAACAAGGTTGATGAGGTGCCGGCCATGTCGCCGTAGCCAGTGTCGTTCTCGACGACCAAGCGGATACCTCCGCATGCCCACTTTTCGGCAGCCAGGTTTGATGCCTGCCTTCATCTGGTGCTTGATGAAGAGGGTCTTTGTCGTTGCCGGCGATGCTTTCAAGTTCTCATCCAATGTGTCCAGGGCGATGTTGATGTCCTGGAAAACTTCTTGCCAGTGCCAGTCTGATTCATCATCCACTTTTGTGGCTACACTCCATGCGCAGCTGTGATCTTGTCGTGCTCCGTCAGGAAGTTGTTGAAAAGCCTGCCCAACATCCAGCACGTAGGATTCATGCTCGTAGATCTCATCCATCACATCTCTGGCAGGGAGCGTAGTTTCCTGTACTCCAGCTCGAGGGAATTCAGACCATTGTTTGGTCTTGGGGACATACGCAAAGTCTTGCAATTGCTGAAGTGCATGGCGCTCTTCAACTTCGTCAAACCAATTTGTCACTTAACGAGAATCGGTGACAAAGGAGCGCGAGTTGCACCTCACACACTGTGCAAATTCCAAATCATGTTGTTGATCTGCACAACCGCATTCTCCGCAAAAAACTGCAAGTACTCCAGCTTGTTGTGATTCTCCAGCAGGAAGTCCAGCAGCGGCAGATGGTTGTGCATCACTCATAGTGGGTTGGTCGCGTCCTGGAGGAAGACCAGATTGTTCAGCATCACGCTTGACACCACGTTGAGTCTCACTAGTCGACTCAATTGATGGCCTGTGACCAACCGCCTGGTCAGGGCTGAAGCTAGTCACCAAGCGTTCCACAGGTTTGCCATCTTGGGTGATGTCGCGCTTGGAAACCTTGGCCCAAGGTACTCGGTCTTCAAGCTTCTTCCAGATGGCATCTTGCATAGACCACGTTGATCTGAACTTGTAGTGCTCAGGGTCATGCTGTGGTCCAGGTACTGGAATGCTACTGGCATTCTCGGTGACCACAGTGGGTCGGCCATCAGGGTCCAAAAACCAGCCGGTTTCCACATTCTGAGTCTCAGGTTGTGGAGGTGGCGTTGAAGGCGCGGCAGCAAGTCTTGGCACCTTTGGTGTCTTTGGCACAGGTGTTGGTGAATCTGCCAGCATCTTCAGCCTTCTGGTTCTTGGTGTTGTTGGCAAGCTCACAGCCGGTGCAGGAAGGGCAGCAGGCTCTGCGGCCGCATCTTGAAGAGGAAGTACAGGTAGTAGGAGAGGCGGAACTTCTTCTGCTTGAGGTTGTGGTTCACCAGCTGCATCCAAGATCAAGCGATCTTCATGTTCTTGAGGGGCTGGACCTCCTTGATCATGAGCTCCAGCAAATTTCTTGCTCAGATCTTCTTCTGCAGATCTCAGCATCTTCAAATCTTCCATCGATGGTGTCCACAACTCCTCGCCTTCAACTCCTCGAAGTTGTTCACGGGCCACCTGCACCAAGCGTCCACGGTTGTTGCGGACCCAAATTGACCCTGTTGGTGAAGGGTCGATGCCAATGACAATTCCTTGGCGATACCCTTCAGCTGTGCCCTCACCATCCAACTGGCTTTTCTGTCTGTAGTAAGCCACACGAGCCCCAACTTCGACAGGACCCCTCCAAGGTCTGGACTTCCGCAGCACTGCTTTGCGTAGGGCTTCTGAGTGCTCAAACTGCAAATACTGCAGCATGGCTTGAAGTCGTTGTTCTTCAATTCTGCGAAGCCTCTCGCTGTCACTGATTACCTGCTTGGCTTCAATGGCATCAGGCTCACTCAAAAGTGCTGTTGGAACCTTGGGAGCCCGGCCATATACCCATTGACATGGTGAGGCGCCAGATCTTCTGGCCATCGTGTTCTTGGCAAAGCAGGCCATGTTTGCAATCTGCTGCATCTCATCAGCGGTCGTCACCGCAAACTGGCTGATCAATCGTTTCATGATGTGCTTTGCAGCTTGCCCATGCCTCTCTGCCTTGCCAATCTGGTAGTGTGCGTCAGGCGGCACAAACCTGACTCTGATGCCCGCTTGGGCGCACATGACCTCAAAGTCCCAGCCACGCATTGCACCCTCGGCGTCCAGCAACATCTCGTCTGGAAAGCCGAAGTACTTGAACCATCCTCTGGATAGCACTTGTGCAACTTCTTCAGATGTTCGGTTGGTTAGGAGGTCCATGACATGGTAGGTGGTGCCATCGTCCACCTGGCTGAGGAAGGTGTGCAAATGGCTGGTCACGTCTCTGACAAAAACCAGATCCAGCATCAGTCGGTCTCCAAAACGTCGAGCCTGGAAAACCTTTGAAGGCCTTGCCGTCGAAGGAGCTTTGGTTCGTTCACATACTCGGCAATGTAGGTGCTTTGCAGCCAGAAGGGCTTCACCACTGGCTCCTGCTTGCGCCAAATGCCGCACCAAAGCTTCTTTTCCAGGATGGCCCAAGTTCACATGCACCCGCATAAGCACTGACAACATCCAGCGTGGAACTCCTTGATGAAGTCCTGGAAAAGTGATGTCTTTTGCACCAGGCTGATGGGGCATCCACTGCTCCTCCGGCTCAAGGTGGGACATCTCAGGCGTCGCTGAAGACGAGGCCCTTGGCTTGGATGGTTGTTCAGGCTTTTTGTTCTCGTCAGGGTCATAGCTGGAGCTGGGCGCCTCGCCATAGATCAAAAGACCATAGGCCACTGGCGTGTCAAAACGCACACCTGAGTTCTTCTTGATATCATCGACCAGCTCAGATTCAATGTGAATGTGGCCGGACTCATACTGCAAAATCGCCGCTCTGTGGGTCACGGCCTCCCGTTGCATCAGTTGAAGTGGTAGCCTTCGAACTTTTGGAGAGCGTGCAATCTGCACCAACTTCAGTTTCCAAGGCGCCAGTTGTTGAATCTGCTCATGGTAAGCCGTGTCTGGCTTCACTGTTGCCGTGGCTTGCACCTTTTTCTCAAGCCGTGCTCGCGCCTCCATCAGCAGAGGTCGCCAGGCTTCTGCATTCTGGTTGACATCCACATACCAAGTAGTACTTGTGGTCGTTGAAGTCCACATAGACCAAGTTGGCACGGATGATGTCGCCCATGTAGAAGAAGTAGAAACCCAGCTGGCATAGCTCTCGCTGTGACGCAAGCATCGTTCATCCCCTCGTTGTTGAAGTGCAGAAAGAAGGCCTTTCACCACAGCACGTGCCAACTTCTTCGTGTAGATCTGGGCTCTGCGAGCGTTGCTTCCCAGGCAAAGTTCATGATCATGATTGCCTGGGCATGGGATGGCAATCTCATCCAGCACCTCTGTCAAGTCGCTGGCCCATCCAGTGTCTTTGCGAAGCAACTGTCCATTGCCACCACGTAGACCAAAGTTGCACATGGAACCCTTCTTCAGCTGCACCCCAGGTAGTTGTAGAACAGGTTGAAGTTCAGGTTGTTCCCAAAACTCCGTGCCCCAGGGGTTTTCCAAAAGAAAATGGCAGCCTTGATGATAGAGCTCCACAATGGTGGTGGCCATCTCGCGGAGTGACAACCTGTGTTGGTCGCGCAGAATCTCAAGCTCTTCAGGGCTGTAGTTCAAATGTTGGATGCGTGACCAGGGATCACATCGTATCTCCCAAAGTGAGAGAAACGGCTTGTGCCGATGAAGTAGTTGCCGAAGTTGTTGATGTTCGGCTTTGGTTTCCAAACTGATCCCGTGGACTTTGTCCACTGGTTGCATCACCCTCAGCCCTTGTCGCAAGCCTTCTTCGGTGATGTTGGCAAAACCTCCATAGATCTCCACAAGGTCACAGCCATGCCGATGCAAGGATCTGGCTCGATCAACTTGTTGTTGGTATAGTCGAGCTTCCACGGTCAATGCTTGCCTCACTGACCTTATAGTTCCAAGAAGCCTCTTCTGAAGACCAGATCGCAGTGGCATCCAGCCACGGTCCTCCTTGGTTGTCGGCTGATCCCCATAGTGGGTGCGTATTGGGCTTCAACCGTCCAAAGGTTGATGCAATTCCTCCCCCTCGTCGTAGAACTCGTGCTCGATCTCCTCCTCCTCTAGCTCCTCCTCGTAGTTCTCCTCGTCCAGGCTGTAGTGTGCTGGACGTGCCCTCCAGACATGCTCGCCGCTCGTGCCCAGGGTCAACTCCTCCTCCAGCTGAGGTTCCATCTTTGCCAATGGTCTTCGCCCTGGCATCACCCTTGAGCTTCGAATCGACGGGGCATAGGAGATCGAAGGAGCTGGCGGCTGTTGTGGCCGTTCTTGAAGATCCCAACTGCCCATACTCACATCGTCCATCTCGGCCACTTGTTGGGCTGCTAGTGCTTGTGCCGTCAGTCGGACTGAGGGCTTGGCCTTGGCCTTGGACGTCTGGGCACTCAGAGAACGCGACTGTGAGCGCCGCGCACCAGCTGAAGAACTTCCCCATGGTTCGGACGAGCTTGCCCGTGGTCCCTCTGCTAAAGCCATCGCGCCCTGAGGCTTCTTTGGGAAGTAGGGTTCGCCGATCTTGAGCCCCAGCGGTGTCTTCGCTGTGGGTGAGGCTTTTGGTGCACATAGGATCAACGACTTGTCCTTGTCCTTGCTCTCTCGCCATCTGTTGCCGCAAAGGTCGCAGATGTGCACCCTGTACCCGGCTGCCCCATAGGTCCTCAGGCCGCTTGGGTGGCCGCAGGTGTTGGGGTCGTTCTGATAGACCGCCGTGCTGGTCTTCTGGTCACCGCCGTCTGCGGAGGGAAGTAGTTGTCCAAGATGTAGTCTTTGATCTTTGGCCTCATCGACGTTGCCGCATAGTTGAGCACCATGGTCTGCACGGCGTACAGGTGCTCGAGGAAGTTCACCATCAGGTACTTCCAGTTGCGCAGCCATCGCGGAATGTTGAGCGACGGCGGCATGAGGTGGTCGACGAGCCGGTTCACAAGCCACATCCAGCTTGTTGATCTTGAGAGGAACCGCGTCAGGGATGAAGACATCGGGCATGCTTTGCTCACTGAAGCTCAGGGGCCAGTCAAACACTTCGTCTGGCCATTCATCAATCCGGATTGCAAGATGACCGGATGCCAAAAAGAGTTTGGATGTTTTGTTGAGGGCACGGTAAAACATGACTCCTTTTCCAATGTCAGGCACTGCACCAAGAATCTCAAATGCTGGTCTTGAAAAAAGTGCTGGTGCATCACATGAAACTAAACTCACCCCCAATGCCACCATGCTGCCTCCAAGTCCTGCTGGATAGGCATACCGCGCTTCGGCAGGTGTACCTTTGTGAGGCCCGAAGCTGAAGGAGCATGAATCATGAAACTTCACCGGGGTCAGGGGCTGGATGCTTCTTTGACGAATCTCATGCCACCTGGAACCTGCCACCTGTCTTTGGCAACCCGTATCTGCAATCATCATACCACCCTCAACATCGTTCACCGACTGCAAAAGGATTTGGGGATTGTCGTACAAAACGTAGGGCTTGTCATGTTCATGAACAGCATGGGGTGTGACCATGTAGTTCTCTGCAACAAACATGTCAAACTCATGAACATGGGGGTTCTTGACAACTGCATTGGGTTCAGGGGTCTCGATCTCTACAGGCAACATGTCAATCTCAAAAGCTTGGGAAAACTTGGAAACCGCAATGTTGTCATGAACATGGGGCTCGACAAAAACTGCATCGTTCTGAGAAACTGCAATGGGTTCAAAAACTGCAAAGGATCCAGAAGCTGCAACGGATTCAAAAACTGCAATGGATTCAGACAGAATGTTCTCTTCAGGGATGGCCACATCCACAGTCACGCCTTTTTCTTCCGACTCGCAGCACGATGACAAAGCCGGTGTGCTGGTGACAACCCAGCTGCTAGAGTGATCCACCATGCCATCCACGTCCAAAGTAGTCCCAACGGTTGTCAACTGAGCTTGGTATGTTCCAACATTGGGACAGTCGCGCAACCAGTGGCCTGGTTTGCCACATCCCAAGCACAAGGACTCCTCAATGGCCTTGCGCTGCATTGCAAAGTTGCCCTTAGTAGGCATCGGGCCAGGTTTCCCCTTGCCTTTGCCCTTGAAGTGCTTGCCCTTCTCAGACATCTTGCCCTTCGACTTGCCCTTGCTGCTGGTTGCTTTGCCAGAAGCTTTTCCCTTGGACTTGTCCTGATAGAAGCCCCTGGACTTGGTGATTTCGGCCAAACGCCGGCTAGTCACCGTCAGGGCCTCCACAACGGCTGTCAGGTCAGGCATCTCAGCTTCACCGCCATCGGCAGCATGCTCCGTGTCATTCTCAACGGCCTCCTCATCGTAGACCACGTCGTCGTACTCCTGGTTGTTGGAGTCGCCAGCTGCAGCATCTTCAGGTGGGGCCTCAGTCACATAGGCCTCATAGCCATAGTCATCCCAGCGCTCATCATATTGATCTTCTGCTTCAGCTTCAACATGCCATGCTTGGCGATCACGCACAAGTTTGCCTCCACGTTGATGCTTCTGGTTGTGAGGTGCGGTCCTGCGACCGTTGAACTTGTTGGGGATGCCAGTGACAGACATGCCCGGCGGGTACTGGATGCGGATTGCCTCCAAGATCAGCTTCATGTTATACTTGTTCCCAGCCGCCAGCAAAAGCGATGCCGTGGCACGTTCATCCAAACGTAGCCCGTCCAGCAGCTTCACCACTCGGCTCTCTTCAGGGTATGGCGGCACACCACCATCTTTCAAGCGACCTTCAAGTAGTCGAAAACGACGACAAAACTGAGAAACGCTTTCACCCTGAAGTCTGCCTATGCTCTCATACTCCCTGATGACTCCACCTTGCCTGAAAAGAGGTCGTTCACCAAAGCTCTCATCCAAGTCCTTGAGGAGAATGCTAATGCCGTCCGCCACATTGTAGCGGGAGTCAGGGACCTCAGCAAGCTCCAACTCGGCTTCGCCTTTCAGTTGCTCTCTGGCTCGAAGCGCCTGCTCGTTCTTTGGCAGGAACTCCTCAGTGATCATGCACCATCGCTGCAACCGCTTTCTGTAGTGTCTAAGACAGAAAGGATCGGCATCGATGTCGCCGTCAAAGGTTGGCGCCATTGGTATGGCACCTGAACGCCACTTCTTGCCACCTGCCCCAGAGCGAGACTGGCCAGAGCCTCTAGAGCCTCTAGACCTCTTCGACTTGCCTGAGCCTTGTGAACCTTGATCTCCATGTCTAACAGAAGGGGCACCTCCATTTCCAACACTAACTCCTTGGGATGCGCCGTCAGATCCGGCAGCATCATGCGCGCCAGCCACGAAGCTCTCCTCAGACTGGATGTCCTCGTCAAAGGTCAGCGGGACGTCTGAGTCAAACTCCATGTGTCGCAGCAGGCAGAGCAATCGCCAGGCACAACGTCCAGGAGATCGCTACCAATGCCAATGGTTCCGTGAGCCTGGATCAAAACGTCATGGTGCTTGGCGAAGCTCTTTTTGACTGCGCTAGCGATCCCGCCCTCTTTCAGCTGGAAACATGTCGGCCAGCAGCTTATGGTTATCCCCATGTCATGCCAACATGATTGCTTTCATGCCACACTTCATCAGTATGACAAATAACTTCATTTTGCTGTTATCATTGATACATTACAACAATTCACTGACCTCACAACTTCGGCTATTTTGGGATACCCCGAATCCTAGCCATCATTCCAGGCTTCGGTAGAACGGTGAGGTCGTTATAATTTACCCAGATTTATGCATATGATGATAAATTGAACAACAATCTTGTCAATATTTGTAATAAATTGAATAATGATAATAATGATATGATGATAACACTATGCATATGTTGTGTCAATATTTGATGATAAATTGAATAGTTATGCTTTTTGATCTAATTTCATGTCATTTCTAGTCACTAGAACAATCCACAAAACGTGGGAAGGCGCGGTGCTTTACAAAAAAAAATCAGTAGATGAGCCACTGACGATAGTACCTATGCCGCACAACTAGTTATGGTACTGGAGGGTGTTGTCAATTCCGGTCAAAAAATCTACGTAGTTTGGGTCCACCAACTCTGAAACGGCGGCACCCTTGGCATTTTGGCATTTTCCATCCCACTTGTCACTTCGTAAGTGGGCTTGACATGGCTTGACCCGCCTAGAAAATGGATCACCCCAGTGAGGGGACTTAACATGGCTTGACAACCAGGGCTATTTTACGATCTACTACAACTGAAAATGTATATACGTTTTTTTTAATAGTGTGAAAAGCATCAAACGAACCTTGTTCATCTTTTTCGGATGTTCCAGGCGTTGCTTATAAAAAGCCTGGGTAAATCCGACCTTCCGAACCACCCAGGGCCTCGGCTTTCGGGGCTTTTGCTTCGCATTTCTCCGGCGGCGGCGGCACCCGCCGCACGTGGAGGGGGAGTTCAATCGAGCCCTCCTTCTCGCTCGAGCTCATGGGGTCGTAGCGAGTTTGAAAATGGTGAAGCTCACGATTGGTGGTCCCATTCTACATGTCATAGTTTGATATAGTTTGAATATAGTGAAGTCACTATTGTGAATGTCCCAGTTAGTGTGGAAAATCCCAAAATCCCATGGAAAATCCGATCATCCTATGGACATTTCTGCAAAAACACGACTACTGCGGGGCCGGGCCGGGCCGCTAAAGGCCCCCACTTGTGGCCGCACCGCTGCGCAGCGGAAGGTTTGGCTGTGAGGGAAGAGGCCAGTGTGGGGTAAAATGAGAAGATGTCAATGTAAACAACAAGGGGCACACTATATATATAATTATATATAATATATATATATATACATACCCTCTGGTAGTTTAAGATAGTTATGAAAAATGGTGATTTATCGTGAGTTTTCCATTAAATAAACATGGTGATTTTCCATAGTTATGTTAGTTTACCAGAGGGTATATATATATGTGTGTACTGTATATATATATAAATAAATAGTAGAAATATCTACAGATTATGTATGCGTATATATGTATATAATGAATATCTCTCACATCAATAGTCATATCCATATATCATTAAATGTGGATATGCTGAAGAATGTAGCTGCAGGAATGTCAGCGTATATCTTTCGATAATTAGTCAATCTCTCTCTCTCTCTCTCATTGGGCTATGGTTTTGGGCCACACCAAACCAGCCCTCGTAATATTGAAGGGCCCCAAAATACCCAAAAGCCCCAACAGAATACATCTGCACTTATCGGTGTTGTGCCAGAATGTTGTTTGGAGCTATTTCATATGCGAGGTCTTGATGGGTTCTATATTCAATATTGTAAAAAACAAACTCTAGTTGGTTGAGCCACCCGGGGTACCTGAAACCATTCTGGGGGCCACTGGCGCTGTTTGCTAAATATCAAGGGGCTGATGGCAGCGTCAAAAAAGATGCCCATAGTATTTTTTCCGGGCGACCATCACCCTGGCAAACATTATAAATAAACAATCCCCAGTTCTACAATTTTACCATATATCGTATTTTGCTATGTACATATGGGGTTCCCAGAAATCAGGCAATTGTTCTTGGCATTGGGTTTGCGCCATTATCGCCTTTGTGGCAAGCAAATGCACCACTAAATACTAATCTAATTATTTATTGACCAAAGGTATACCAAAGGTTTATGCAGGAATCTACACATGATTTTCCCAATGAAACTGATGACATCAATATGTCCCAGTCACAGCATTAGGACTATATAGGTCAAACATTGGGCACCCCCAATGTTAAGGGATTCCGCACTCGGAAACACCGAACGAAAAATGAACGAAAACACAAATCATCACACATCCAAATCCAAATCCGGAATTTGCATATATAATCTGTGTATAATCCCATTAATGTGGGATACAAAAAATATCATCACCTATGTTATCATAGTTGGGTGATATAAACCATCCCCCAAATGGTTAGGTTCATTATGGGGTTTCCCACATCAAAAACAAACCCATTGCAGTTGGTATCATCATCCTCATAAGTCCGTAGTGGATTTACCACACAAAAAACAATGTGATGTTCCATATCTACGGTATACTAACCTGGTTGGTGGTATACCTATCCCTCTGAAAAATATGACTTGGTCACTTGGGATGATGACATTCCCAACTGAATGGAAAATAACATTCATGTTCCAAACCACCAACCACTAACAGTGTGTGTGTGTGTTGATCAAACCAGCGACCGGAGTCTTCCATTTTCCCTGGCTGACAGCCTCAAATTGAGGCACCCGACGATGCACAAGCCATCGGAGCATTTGGCCTTGCCGCTGTTCAACCTGCACGGACTTGGAGCCCAAAAATCCGCAGCTTTCAAAAAAGGAAAATCAATAGGTCAATGGGTTGTATTGAACAAACACTTGGAACAAATATCGGACACCCGAGTTTTAGATGGTTTGAACATGTTTGAACCATTGGATCTTGTGAAATTTTCTCTGTCGTTTCCTTTGAAAGCCAGTCCGATGGAAATTCAGATGGAATCCTAGGAGGAGTCGTGTAAAAGCCCAACTTCCACCCAAAGATTCTTATTATATGAGCTTTTAGATGTTTCGATCGATTGTTTTCTGATATGCTTTGCTGTGCTTATATTTTACAGAGTTCAGCCTCAATATCCATCATGGAGCATTTAAGCCAGGTAGGCCCAGGCAATGCGGCAATGCGAGACATGCGACTCTTCACTGGCTACCGCAACATGAATTCCAGCACTTAAGACCAACAGCAATCTTAGTGAAGCAATGATCGACCGGCCAACCGGCCAAAAAAAATGGTTGTTTTATACAAACCTTATACTGGTTGGTGGTTTCAACCTCTGAAAAATATTAGTCAGTTGGGGTTATTATACCCAATATATGGAAAAATAAAATTCATGTTCCAAACCACCAACCAGTTATACCATTTATAGATTCATTGGCCTGGGGTATGATCCACTGCCCGGCCTATCCACTGCTTCAGTCACGGATGAAACTCCTGGAACAGGCCAATCATGAGCACATAACAATGGGTCAAAAACCTGGAGAGACCTGGGGAATATATGGGAATATTAAAAACCAATCATTTTTATGCATTATATACACATTCAAATTCCCAGTGCTCCAAAAATGAATCTGGGGAACATCGAAACCTATCGAAACATCATTCCTCGCCTGGTTTTCAAACATGTAAAAACCAGGCGTAAAAACCATGGGACGCCGGCCATAGCCAGCAACGGTCGCGATGTTTCGCCGCCACCCAAAGCGTCCATGGCCGTTTTGACCAGTGCTGCTGAGATCGCTGGAAACGGAGCTGGGTCCACGTCCTGGAATTTCCCCTTGAGTTGGCTGGAGAAAAACATTAGGAAACCATAGGAAATCCAATTCGGAAAACCATTTAAACACCATTGAAAAACCATTGAAAACCATTGAAACCATCGAAAACCATGTTTTCCTTTCTTAGTTTTCAATCCGTTGAATCTTGAAATCAATTAGCTGGCTGCGGAAAAAATGGAGCTGTGATTTTTCAGCCCACTCGATCCCACTACGATCCCAACCATCAATTTTTTGCAATGATTCTAGTAATACTACTCATTGTTTGATGGTAGTTATACAATGATTATATGATTTGTAACATGTTACCATAGTATATTTTACCATATTTTATCATATTTTGCCATATATTATCATATATATAACCACGTATTTTACAATATTTCACCATGTTTCACCATATTTTACCATACATTATACCCTCTGGCAATTTAACATAGCTATTTATAGTGAGTTTTCCCATTAAAAATTGTGATTTTCCATAGTTATGTTAGTTTACCATGTTTACCATACATTATACCATGGGTTATTGATTTTACCATATACCCAACATACGTATTTTTGCATCGAATTCTCGGGGCCCAGGGCATCCAATTTTGCCATGGCCGGCGTGGGTCCCGGCCTCGCAAGACCTGGTGGCCGTGGTGTGCATCGCCAAATCGGCATCCAAGGAGAACTCCTTCGATGGAAAACAATGGGATTCAATTGTTTTTTACGATTTGTGAAATGACTGGATTGACTGGATCCAATTGGATCCATATCTAGGTGGAAGATGTTTGAAATATCTATCTATATATGTATCTATATTTATATAAATATAAATAAATAAATATCTCTCACGACTCACCTCTTTTTAGACGTGCCTCCTGGTTGCTACTGAAGAGGCTTTGTACACAACCCTATTATCTACAAGACCCCTAGTAACTATCTCCGTTAAAGGTTTGATAGAAAGTACGCCCTACTACTGAGACCCTTTCCCGGCCCACTGGTTGCCCACCAGCGGTAGTGTACATCAGATGCACTGACATACCTGGCCAGGATCAGGTGACCGGTTGGCCCAGTTTCTTTCTTCTCTTTCACCTCTATGAGGATCGTTCCTTGAGAGTGTCCGCTCTCATCTCTCACAACTCTCTCTAGGAGCTGTCCCGCTCTGAATTTGAAGCGGTACCACGCTTCTCGGTTGTCTTCTCCCCCCAGCCACTTCACCAAGTGGCCAGGGGGGTCGAAGGGCTCGTGGTTGCCCACTTGAGCAGAAAGCTAGAGGAAAATTCGATATAGAATCGTTCAGCTTCTTTACATTCCATTACACTACATTACAATCAGCATCACTAGGATAAATATGGGATATCGAATCCACAGAGGAATCAAAGATATCGAATACATGTTTATACATGTTTTATTTAAATGCACATGTGTAAATACAAGTATGACTCATACCCATGGTAAACCGACACGCAGCACAACACCACTCAATGGATGCCAGCTCAACGAGCTTGGCCACAAGGTAATGGCTGGGGGTTCCTCACGCATCCGTGGAAAATTCACAAGTGCTGTAAAAAGCCATTTATCAGAGGCGCATAATTACCCTCTGGTAATTTAACAGTTGAACCCTGAAAATCACCAATTTTTAATGGAAACTAGTCTTCCAACTCCTGCCAGGGTCTATGTTAATTTACTGTAGGGTATCATAAGTACCGAGCCATGTATAGCCCGTAGAGGTAATCCAACCATTACCGGAACACCAGCCTATAAGGACCGGAACATCAGTCCTGAAGGTCATTGAAGAGACCCAAGACTAGTCTCCAGGGCCTGATCACAATGATTGGTGGCATGTGGCTGGAAATGCTACCCGGTACCTTCATGAAAAACCACTATTTTGCATACACTAAATGCATACTAATGCACCATTTTTTAATAAAAATGTGTGTTTATTACTGTCTGGATTAGTAGGCTGAGCCCTGGTTGATTAGGGGGATTGCAGTGAGTGATTGGGGTACAAAATGGATAGGAGCCAAAAAAAATCACAAGGCTAGCATTACTTGTAGGCACTCTCTCCAAAACTATCCAAAACTCATAAATTGGTAATGTTCCTTCATTCAGCTGGAACATTATTAGTTCATTCACTCAGCTGGGACTAAGACATGTGGGGGAATTAGCTCTACCAATGGAGGTGCAGCACTGACTGCAAACCCTGTGATGGTGCTACCATGAAGAGATGACTTTCCACGGGTGTCGGTATAGAACTTGCTGAACTTCGCATTTGCCTGTAACAATCAAAACATCTACACATGTTTGTTCTTTATCATTTGGTGATAGAAACATTTGAACGCTTTCCGGAAAAAAACAAAACACATCACATTTGATGATCGTTTTGACCACATAAATGAAACAATTAGATAAGCCCTAGCCATTCCTCCATCATTTGGGTCCGTCAAAAAAAGTACCACCAAATCTTGTCGTCAATCCTCACATGCTCACACAATATTTCACTGAACTGACCAAAGGCTATTTTGGGATCGTTACCCCAGCCATGATTATCCATGTGAGGTCGCGGTGCGCTATACTTTCCCCAGATATATATCTAAATAATTCTGGGCACTTCTAAATATAGCTGCATATGATTATATATATATACATAATATTATACATGTATACATATGTGGGCATACATTCCATTATGTATTTGTGGCAATGTTCTGCGTCTTTTCCCTAGTGGTCAACAAAAGCCTCTATCAAGCCACTATTAATTCACTATGAACCAACTATCAACCCATTGTTTGGGTAGTTGTGTTTGCCTTTTTATCACTATCAGCTCACTATCAAGTCAATGGCCATTTCAGGAACCTAAATTGGAGGTACCTACCATATATAAGGCCTGTATACGGCCTAAATTTCAGGGACTATCCCCACAAAATATTGTCTTATATGGTACAGTACCTACATTTTAGGATCCTGAAATTCCCATTGATCAAGCCACTATTAAATCGCCATTAGCCAACTATCAACCCCAGTAAACTAACAGTTTGCTATTGAAAATGGCCATAGAAATAGTTGATTTACCCATAAAACATGGTGATTTTCCAGTTTGCTATGTTAAATTACCAGAGGGTACACCAATAGGTGCACCATGGTTATCGTGAGTTTGCCTGGAGTCACTATTAAATGACCATTAGCCAACTATCAACCCCATTAGATCACTATTCAGCCAGCCCAAACATTCCAGTCCGCCTGGGATTCTCTGAGACATCCAGCGCGCGGCAGGCCACACGGTAGGCCATTAGATCCAATGATGTCTCCCTGCGCCACGTGTGTCGCCAACATGTTACCCTCTGGTAAACTGTCACATAACTATGGAAAATCACAATTTTTGATGGGAAAATCCACTATAAATGGTCATTTTCAATAGCTATGTTAGTTTACCAGAGGGTACCTACTATAAATATAACTGAATATGGTAACATGTAACCTTGATTTCTTACATGCTGCTTATCAATATGCCTGACATGGCCTATTTGTCTGCATTCTACGCAGGCATACGCAGGCTCAACATTCTGAAACTATCTGGAAATATGATACCCCAAATTCCAACGCTGTAGCATCCTTTTCCCTATGAAAATTGTCAATTGGGGGTATGCCCCATTTTCAGTCAAACCCAGCTATCATAATTATCAAGTTGGTTTGTGATACTGTATCCCGTTACCACCCCCATTAAATCACCATTAAATCCAATCAAAAACACCATGAAATCCCATTGACAGCCCATAGCATCCCATTAAGCAACATCCAAATCGCATCAAAAACACCATAAAAACCCATTAGACACTATTAACCCACCATCAAAATCACAAAAAAACACTATTAAACATCACTAAACCACCATAAAAATCACTATGACCTCACTGTTCGCGCCTGGTTCCAGCTGCCTGCCACAGCAGCTGCACGGCGCTTCTCCAGCTGTGTCCAGCGTCGCTGGCGGTGATCGCGCTGCTCAAACAAAGGACGTCGTGGTGCCTGGCCAGTCCCAAAAATGGCTGAGATGGTGGTGATTATGGTGATTAATCTATGGTTTATGGTGATTGATCTATGACATATGGTGGTTAATCTATGGTTTATGGTGGTTAATCTATGGTTTATGGTGATTAATCTATGGTTTATGGTGATTAACTATGACATATGGTGATTAATCTATGGTTTATGGAGATTAACTATGACATATGGTGATTAATCGATGGTTTATGGTGATTAACTATGACATGTGATGATTAATCTATGGTTTATGGTGATTAACTTGACATATGATGATTAATCTATGGTTTATGGTGATTAACTATGACATATGGTGATTAATCTATGGTTTATGGTGATTGACCTTGACATATGGTCATTAATCTATGGTTTATGGTGATTAACCTTGACATATGGTGATTAATCTATGGTTTATGGTGATTAACTATGACATATGGTGGTTAATCTATGGTTTATGGTGATTAACTATGACATATGGTGATTAATCTATGGTTTATGGTGATTAAGCATGACATATGGTGATTAATCGACGGTTTATGGTGATTAACTATGACATATGATGATTAATCTATGGTTTATGGTGATTAACTATGACATATGGTGATTAATCTATGGTTTATGGTGATTGACCTTGACATATGGTCATTAATCTATGGTTTATGGTGATTAACTATGGCTGGTTGGTGGTTGAGCCTACCCCTCTGAAAAATGATGGACTTGGTCAGTTAGGATGATGGCATTCCCAACTGAATGGAAAAATAAAGTTCATGTTCCAAACCACCAACCAAATGGTTTAATGATGATGTACTATGGTTTTGGTTGATGTTTAATGATGTTCAATTGTGTATTAACTATGGTTTCTGGTGATTAATCTATAGTTCATGGTTGGTTTATGGTGATTCACTATGGTTTATTCTGGCAAATGTATGGTGATTAACTATGATTTTGGCTGATGTTCAACAGTGTTTATGGAGATTTAATGGTGATTTAATGGTCGTTAATTGTGATGTTCCGGTATGGATTTTGTTAAAGGTGATTCATAGTTTATATATGTTTATATGGTGATTCTGGTAAATGTTTGATAAATGGTGAATTCTTTGGGATATAAAATGGTATAAGATAATAATGGATACACTTACATGATGATAATAATCTGGAAACACATGCGGAGATTCATGATGCAACAATGGACATTTTCTTGGGTTTCATAGGCTTCTCATGGGCTTAGAAGGCTCAGAATGATTTTTTTTCGGAGTTCACCCAGAAAACTGGAATCTTACTGTGATTTTCCATGGGTTTTGAAATGTTACTATGGTTTCACCAGCCATTGTCATGGGAAGATTTCACAAGATTTCACATGGGATACAATCACGGACATTAACCCAACCATTTCATGAAGTTGTTGTGGGATCTTTAGGGACATGTCACCAACAATGGGGATTCTATGGGGTAATAAACCATTCAACATTCTGTATGGGATTGTTGATTGTTGGCATATAGCCAACGAACTGCATATCACAATTTCAATACTGAATTAATGGGATTTCATATGTGCCAAAATTATCCTTTATGTCATATATGATTTCATATGTATATACATATATATATATACATATATTTATATTCCGGCATGAATATATCGTCTGGTTGGTGGTTTCAACCCCTCTGGAAAATATGGAAGTCAGTTGGGATTATGAAATTCCCAATATATGGAAAAGTCAAACCACCAACCAGCAACTAATGAAAATGGCCATTTATAGTTGATTACCCCATTAAACATGGTGACTTTCCAGTTCGCTATGTTAAATTACCAGAGGGTATATCATTACCCATAGGATCCATGTATGGTATATATGCCAACATTGGGGGTATATTTATGGGATCCATGTTACCATATATAGCAGCACCATGGATCCTATGGGTTATAGTGGATTTCACAGCCAATGAAATGGACATCCATTCTCTGACCGTGTTAAACACGGCTGACATGACTCACCTCCGCCCTACTTGGAGGATCATCCCACTTGGTGGCCAGTCACTGGGTAGAAAACCCATTTATAAAGAGGTTAAAACTATGGCACGATGCTTATCAAATGTTATTTATAAATATATATATAACGCATTTATAGCTCAGACATTGCGGGCCATCTGTGCACAGCAGCAATGCAGTGCAGCAGCGGCCGAGTTCTCTGCTAGGTCCAAGGCCTAGAAAGGTCGCCCGCTTCACGGGACGACTCTGTGTGAAAAATGTCAAACGCGCCCTTGCCTGCTTCACAAGTTGAAGTGGCAGACAGGTTTTCAGGCCCCTCATTTGGATGTACACTCGAACATCTTATAACTATGGTTTTATTAACCACTTCCTAAGTCTAAGCTATTAACCACTTATAACCCATTTATAACTATGGTTCCATCTATAATGATTCTCCACCGCTCCGCCGCGGCCTCTGCTGTTCCAAGCCACGTAGCAGCTGCACCCCGCGCTGCCAGGCGCTTCCGAAGCCGCTGCCGCAAATGGAGCTGCTGTAGACTGCCAGATCCTGATGGAGCTGCTGTACCGTACCAATGGAGGTTGAATCCTGACATATCTGGGGAAGGATTGGAACACACACACACATATATATATATTATTATTATAGTTGATGTATGTTGAAGTATGATGGCCTTATAATTATAGTTGGCCTTATGTTATAACCGTACAAATGTGTCGAAATGCCGGAGAGCTGATATTCCAAAGTTCGATGTCAACCTTCGGTGATCATCTTCTCAAGTCAGACGGTCTCCACAAGGAAAGAGTGGATAGATGTGGATGAATTTTGCAAAATCTACGGCAGACACATTTATAACATTTCCAAACCCAACACCATTTGGATATCCACATCCACTTCTGTTCAAACCACATAAACATATCCAACACACGTACTTCCTCCGGATACCAGCATTTCACACACAGCTAGACATCTCAGCGGATCTTCCAAGATTCGGCTTGGATGCGGCTTTGCACAAGCTGTGCCAGCCTTGTCGTTGGGAGTTCACGGCACAAATTGGGTGGTTTCCAAGCTGCTTCAAAATACATCGGAGATCAATATATCAATTGGAGATCACCATGTTTTCAATAGCAAAGCTAAGCAAAGACCAACTGTGAAAAGCCCGAGAAAGTTGAACAACACTCAGCCGATGATGTTTACTCATCCGGAAACGGCTAGCATGATAATGAACAATGAAAACACAATGAACATTTGCACCATTTTGAGATGGACTGATTTCCTGAGTTTCCATTGCCGCGTTGTCCATGGCTTCCCTCTGCATGAAAAAATATTTCCCAAAACTTGATATGATATGCCTTGAACTTAATGCTGAACTCTGCGTTGTGGAATCCAATCAATGGGGGATGGCTTTAACTACCACCTTTTTTTCATGTGGTAAACGGCTAGCGCTCCATTTCGATACCAGCGCTCCATAACAATCATCCGGGCATATCCGGCATTTTTTTCGTGAATCAACCGGATGGATTTTGCATTGCTGTTGGGATAATGACCCATTGTTGTATATCAGAATATTGTTCATTTATGATGGATTCACAAATACCATAATCATCAATCATCCAGTTTCATCCAATATTTATCCACAAAAAAAACTCTGGCAAGAACAATGAACCATTGATCTCATGAAACCTCCCACAAGAGGCGTGAGAATCGGCACGGCAAACCAGGCGGCCAAGTGAGACCCATCTGCCACTGATGCCCGTCACCTGAGCGGCGCTTTTGGTTTTTCGATCAACGATCGCCCCAAGAAAATTGGTGTTTTCATGGAATGGAAGCAACACAAATATACGAACATGATTAGATTTAGGACTTGAACCATGATTTATGATGATTTATGATAACTTGGTGCGTTTGTAACTTCAAAAAAACTTCTGGTTTGTGGTAGATTCGGGGGGCCCACCTTGCAGGAACATAGGGAATTTTTCAGCCCAAAGTGAGCCAAGCCATGTGTATGGCTTACAACTCATGGTATGGTATGGATGTAACTCACAAATAGGTATTATATACTACTGTATGGTGTAGCATTAACCCGGAAAATGCCTGCTACTGTTGAACTATTGGCGCCATTTTTGACTGTTTGGTTAACTTGGGTGGGCAAGTTTGGACATGCGATTCACCTTCCTAATCATTGCTGGTTGTCTATTCATCCAACCACTTGCCATCAAACCAGTAGCTAAATCACAATTTATCAAAATACAATGTCATGAACCATTTCTTGGGCTCAATGCCCCGCTTCTCCTGTATGATGGGGTCACTGTGGTGAGGTCATGATATTTCCCTAGAACCATTGAGGTGCTGGGTCTCCAGTCCTATTTCACCTGGCTTGCAGCCCCATGATTTTTTGTGGGTCATCACCCCATCCGACCAAACCATTCAAGCATTACCATGAACTGCCATCGATTGCTCGTTAATGGAAATCAATTAACTAATGACAATATGTTTCCATCACTATGCAATGCTAAACAGCCGTATAGTGTCGAACCTGGACTAATGTCCCTTAGGCTGTATCTATCGGGGGTACTATTTAAGTAGCAAAGTATTACTAGTTGGGCGACCCAGCAAATTCATGGACCGGGTTTGGTTTATCGGGGGTGAACAAGATATGTACATATACATATTTGCAAACATTACTATTAATTACTATATACATAGATAGATATGTAGATAGATAGATAGATTAGATTAGATTAGATTAGATTAGATAAGATTAGATTAGATTAGATAGATAGATAGGTAGTTCGACAAATAGATAGATGGTTAGATAGTCAGATAGTTTGATAGATAGTTAGTTAGATAAATATGTGTATATATATATATATGTATATGTACACATACATTATTAACTGCATAGTCATTGCGGTAGGGATCACCTCTAACCCATCCGCCAAGCCGCTGAGCGCGACAGCCACGGAGCCTTCCGAGCCTTCGGAGGCGCCCAGTGCCAGCTGCCAGGCAGCCACCTTCGTCCAGCCGGGCGCCTCACGGCGTCCAAAATCTTCCACATATATGTGTATCCTATGTATACACATGTTTGTTTGATTCTGTTTGATATGTTTAAATATATGAAAACTGAAAACTATATGTTTATATAATTTATACATATATATATATATAAATATGTAATTATATAGGTACGTTGATAACAAAATCACTTTCTTTGAGTGATCACCACCCTGAAACACTATTCTGACATAGTTTTGCGCTCGCGGTTGAGGTCCGGCAGTGCCGAAGGAGAAGGAGAAAGCAACTCTGATAAATAAAATCTAGAGACCCTCACTTGGCAGGTGGGGAAATATAAATAAATAAATAGACATATATATATCTCTCTCTCTCTAATATTAGTCTATATCTCTATTTAATTCCACACACACACACATATATATATATTAGTTTAACTATATCTCTATATAATTCCACATAACCATATCTAGATATATCGATATATAAAAATAAATAAAAATATATATATATAATTTGTATAATTATTCCCCATGACTTCCACAGTTTCAAGGGCTAGCACCTCGAGCTGCCGCTGCGCCATGGCCGCCACCAGCGCCAGCGCCAGCGTCCACTCGCAGCCGGTCACAGCAGAGCCATAGGACGTGGCCGAGAGCTGCAGGGATGCGGCACCTGGGTTGGGATATCACCACAACAATGTGGCTATGGGAAGAAAACCCACCTGGAAAATGATGGAAAATGGGACTTAATGGGATTTTATGGTATTTTAATGGGATTTAATGGGATATATGATGGTTACCCTCTGGGAATTTAACATAGCGAACTGGAAAATCACCATGTTTAATGGGAAAATCCACTATTTCTATGGCCATGTTCAAATATGGTGATTTTGTTCAACATATATCACTTCAAATATAAACATGTAATATGATGTAATATGGTGAACATAGAAATAACTTGACCCAATAACTTGACTGATTTGAGAGGTTTATGTATGTGTCGATCCATTTTGGCGGATTTTGGCGTTCTTCTTTTGGCGGGATTTCATGGGGATTTCATTGAGAAAGTGATGACTGGCCTCAATGGATGTAGAGGTGCCATGACATGACAATCATTCTGTGGATTTCCCATGGCTTTCCAACAGATGTTGCCTGTTTTTCTTGTGGATATGGAACCATTTGGAGGGTGCTGGCGAAATTTCCTGGATCTCATGGGATAAATCTCCAGAATTTGAGGCCTCGAAAGCGGCAATTTCGCCGAAGGCATATGCTAACTGCCATGAAACTGCCACAAATTGTACCAAACTTGGCATATGAAACGAATATGAACAGAATCTCTTTGCCTTTTGGGATGTAAAACCCCGATCTTGTTTCGATCATTTTTGCTGTAACATAATTCATGCACTTCTGCCTCCAAGCAACCCATTGCCTCCAGCACTGCCAACGCTGCTTGCCAGCCACTGGCATCACTGCAGGCTGCAACAACACAGCCATAGCAGGCTTCGTCCACTCGACAACTTTGAGCCACGTGGGTCATCAACCTGACCACATCAGGCAGGGGAACAGGGAAACATGGGGAAACTGTTTGGACATGGTGGGAGGTCAACAATTGCGGGCTATAATTTCTTGGATTTGGGTGTATTGAATCGTGGGGGAGTATACCAATATTGGTTCAAGATTCAACCAACTAATGGCCGTGATTTAAAGCTAGTAGTAGGAAACGCAATGCAACGGGATATGGCTGATGGTATCATTACAACGACAACCACATGACGGAACTCTAAGCCTGCAACTTTGACACTGCAACTGCGAAACAACAAACCCTCCGCGCACATTGTGGGTTTCGCTGTATGCAATGACAATAATAGTCTTAAAAGAGAAATGTGACAGTAGCAAGAAAACAAAAAACAACCGAACATAATCATAACCATGATCATCATAATCCTATACCCAAACAAAGGCCATCAAAAATGAATAAACAAACCATAGAACAAAACAAAACTAAAACAAAAATCAATATTCCAACCCATCAATTTGGCTCAACATCCCAGCCACATGATCAGCGCCCGCTGCCACTGCAGGTTACCACCGCATGCGCTCAATGCCACGGTGAGGGAAATGCTGTCGATGGACAGCCGTAGACGGGGCATCTGATCCAGAAGTGCCAAGGCAATCTGCCAATGCCTAGCACCGGCACTTGGATTCCCATCGCAGAGAATAACCATGGGTTCGACCAAGTTATCTATTCTTTTAAATTATAGATTCAATAGCTCTTTCCGTTCCTAATTCAATAGGTGTTCTGTTCCACTCTAAATGCAAATGTGGATGGTACATGATGATATTGCGTGAATGTGTGTGCATGTATGCGTTTCTTCATGTGTTTCTTTGCAATTAGACAATCCTAGACGGATAAAACTACATATACATATACATATACATATATATATATACACACTGCATCACATACATACATGATAAAACTGCAAATATATATATATAAATATAGATAGATATAGATAGATAGATATACAACTATATATAAATGAATATAATATATATATACAAACACCTGCATCACATACTTACATACATGATAAGTAAAAGAAACGCATGCATAAAAAGATGTATGTTCATACATCCTAGATTCTTGAAAGTAGGCAAAACCATAACGCACGCGAAACTCATGACGGCTTCCAGCTGCTAAACTGGGCGGAAACCCAATTTTTGCGGCAACATCAGGGATTCATATTCACTCTCACGTTTATTGATGCCAATCGATATCAGTTCAACCGCCTTACAGCTTGTACTATCCCCTAAACAGCTCCAACATGTGGATGAACAATCAAGCCCACCAACTGATCACTGGAATGGAGGGCTGAGGCTTATCATGGCTTACCAACCTTCCAGTGGTCCAGCCGCTTTCGGCCCCGTTCCAAGCTGTCCAGGGACCCCTGAAAGCCGCAGGCCATGGCCGAGCTGAACGTGATCTGATCGCACTGCAGCTGCTGCGACGGCATGTCCTCGGCACACGTGGATGAGGGGTCAATTGGGTGCACTATAGACTTGATATACTGTGTTTAAATATAAATATAAATATATATATATATATGTGTGTGAATGATTATAAATCATGAATATATATATATATACATATATATATATATAGGAATCTACACTGTTCTATATATATATGTATTAAATACACCTATATATGCATATATCTATACACAAATGCATCATCAAATAGATAGATAGATAGATAGATAGATAGATAAGATAAGATAAGATAAGATTAGATTAGATTAGATAGATAGATAGATAGACAAACAAATAGATAGATAGGTAGATAAGATAGATAGAGAAGATAGATAAATAAGATAGATAGATAAGATAAGATAAGCTTAGATTAGATTAGATTGGATTAGGTTAGATTAGATTAGATTTAGATTTAGATCTAGATTAGATTGGATTAGATTAGATTTAGATTGGATTAGATGGGATTAGATTAGAGAAATAGATAGATGGATAGATGGATAGATGGATAGATGGATAGATCGATAGATGGATAGATGGATAGATGGATAGATGGATAGATGGATAGATGGATAGATGGATAGATGGATAGATCGATAGATGGATAGATGGATAGATCGATAGATGGATAGATGGATAGATGGATAGATGGATAGATGGATAGATGGATAGATGGATAGATCGATAGATAGATAGATAGATCGATAGATAAACGATATAAACCTGCAAGACATCCCGCCATCCCAATTTTCAGAGAAAAACTCAGACCTGGAACGAACTACGCGCCCAGTGAGCGCCCAATGAGTGGCCCAGCGTCTTCCATGCATCGTAGGGCGTTTTGCCTCGGTACCAATTGAAACCTGCCCATTTTGGGCGCCAAAGAAAAGCTAAGTTGCGAAAAAACATCCAATAACTCAGGTTTAACTAATGTTTATGAGACTTTGCAGCTATAGTATGCCATAGAATTCATGGGGTTTATAAACCTACAAACATAACTGGGGGGGCACATTGTAGGGTTGAATACGTGTGAAATCTATGAATAAGTGCAGCATAATGCACCATATTGCAATGCAGTTTGGAGAATCTATCTGGAGTACTGCGAGACTCAAACAGCTCAAGGATGATTGGATATTTCAAGTGAGGCACCATCACAGTGAATGGGTGCAACGTTGGAAACACAGTCGTAAACCACATTTTTTGTGGTTCTTAATGCCATCAAAATATACAATTTGGTAAGCGGGGGATTGTTTGTGGCGTTCAGCTTGCCATACTGACCTCCCATAAACAAACATACGCAAATTGGATCAGGTCCCATCATATCCCCTACTTTTATCTATATATATGTTTAGTTGCGATTAGACATGGTTATATATATATATATATCAATTCTATACATATAAATATATAACTATATATATATATATATATCATGAAATTTCCCATGAAAATCCCCATGGTTTTTCTGGAAATCACCAGGACATCGCCCATGGCGCCAGCTCTCCGTGGCCAGGCGTTGAATGGCCCAGTTGGAGCCGATTCTGTCGACAGCCAAGCTCTGGCAGCGCATGGAGCCCAGCTGATGGATGGCCACCTGGAGAAAATCCCATGGTTTAATGGTGATTAATGGTGGTTAATGGTGGTTATTAATGGCTATTAGTGAATGAATGTTTTTGTTACCCTCTGGTAATTTGTTACAGTTTGCTATTGAAAATGGTCATTTATTTATATATAGTTGATTTACCCATGAATAGCCTGGTGATTTTCCAGTTCGCTATGTAACAGTCATTACCAGAGGCTAAATGAGAAAATTCATGTGGACAGCTGGGAACATATGGGAACCTGGTTTTGATCCTCGAAAGTACCTGGGAAAACCATGGGTTATTATGGAAGATCAAATGGAAAGTACCTGGGAAAAGGTTGGGGTAGGAAAACCATGGAAAACCATGAAAGTTGAACAAACACATTGGGATTGAAACCATCGAGATTTGTGTGATTTACCGTTTCTTTCGTGAAGATGGTAATTCAATGAGCAAATGTCCGGACTTTATGGACCCCAAATGCTTTTTCCGCATGTTCCTCATGAGCATCAACATCATCCCCATCCCCATCTCCCCATCTCCATCCCCATCCCCATCCTCCGGATTCCTCCGGCCTCCCAGCTTTCACCACATGCCTTGCACAAGGAATTCATGAAAATCACGTTGCGCCTGACACTTCTCTGCCTCATCCCTTGCAGCAGCGCCAAGGAGAAGAGCCATGATGCAACTGTTCCCATGGCGCCTGGGTCAACGTCAAAAGATGATGGGAGTTGCTAAGAACGACATCAATCCATCTATTGTTTGAAGATGTTACAGTAAATATCTATATATATAATATCAACAAATAAATTGATGGATTATTGATGTCACTTCAATGTCACTCAATATCAATAGTCATCATCAGAGTTTCAGCAAATATCATGGCCATTGAACACGGTCGTCCTCATTGACCACAGCAAACTCACTGCAGTGGTCGAGTACTCACGTCCCAAGTCGAAATTCTGGTTGGATGCCTTTCGAATTTGGGTTGCACCCTGAGATCAACATGATCAACAGTGATCAACTTAAAGCAGTGCCGCCTATAATCTGGAGCAGTGCCGCAGCCTCTTTTCGCTTGCAAAATTTGAAAGGTTCCAATGATTTCCCACTTTTGCATCTTCAGTAAATCCAATACTCAACCACCCCCAAACACCACTCTTATGGGTTGTAGAAACCATCCCTAGTCATGCTAGGTTTATTCTTGGGATTTTTTTGGTTTACCATGGTTTAGCACATCCAGTTTTCAGATTGAATCATGTGGTACCCTCTGGTAAACAAACATAGCTATTGAAAATGGTGATTTATAGTGGATTTACCCACTAAAAAAAGTGATTTTCCATAGTTATGTAAACGTTTACCAGAGGGTAAACCACATGGTAACCTATGAAACCATGGTAAATCCAGGGCTCACACCTGGCGACTCCGAAGCCATCGCCGAGCTGTAGCAAACAACCTACAGCCGTGGAACTCGCAACGAAACCATGGGGACATGGTGAAGTAACATGATTTAATCACGAAAAATTAATGATGTTATATGATTTTCTGGGATTTACCCTCTGGTAAATTAACAGTTGGACCCTGAAAATCACAAATTTTTAATGGAAACTAGTCTTCCAATCCCTATCTACCAGGGTCTATGTTAATTTACTGGAGGGTATAGCTGATTTATGATAAGTTGACTATAGTTGACTTACTCTGGTAATCAAACATAGCAAATGGGAATTTCCCATCAAAATGGAACTTGATAGCTGGGAAAATCACCCACCACCATCCTGAACTCACCCTTGGTGTGTTAGGGTATGACTATTTCATTCATTCATCACCCCTGGGATCCTCTTCAGAGGGACCCTTATTGGAACAGGATGCCAGGCTGTTAAACATTCTAAAAAATTAGGGAAAATTACCAAAAGTTCAAAACCATTCAACAAAGTTGGAAAACATTAGAAAACATTACAAAAACTTCAAAATAATTCTTCCCCATTTTGTGGTTTGCCAACGCCCCTGCACTCAGCACACTATCTTTTCACTTCACCACAGGTCGTTGGTACTTCCCACATTTTTCACAGCAGCCCCAAATACTAGCAAAAAAAATACACAATTTAACAAAAAAAATTAGAAAAATAGAAAAAATAAAAACAAATAAAAAAAATAAAAAACAAAAACAAAAAAGTAAAAACATACCTTTGTGGAAGAGCTTCTGGGGCTTCATTTGCCACCACCAATTTTCCTATAAAACAGAGGGAAAAATGCTGCCCTTTTTTCTATTTTTTGGAATGTTTTGGAATGTTTTAGAATGATGGCTCAACCCCTCAAATGTGCCAATGAAGGCCCCTGCCAGTGAAGGCCCCTATTCCCATAAAAGATTCATCTATCTTACTTGTATAGTAACTCAGAAAAATATAGAAAATGAGACACCTCTGAAATCAATGAACCAAGGATATCCAGAGGATCATTATTTATTAGGTGCGACATTCATTACTCTTCGGGTGCCTAACAAGTCATTGATCATGTCGCTGAGCCTTTCCCCATAGCATCACTGGGAAGGGTCCCAAAGTTTCAAAAACCTTGGTTGGAAACACATGACACGGAAAACCATGGCAGCTACGCGTGATTCTTTCCGTCCAGCCACATTCATCTGCAATGCCTGGTGGTGCGCATTCCTGGGATGTTGGAAGCATTTGAGGACCAAAAAATCACGTAGTGCATGGGCGAGAAGTAAGGCGAATCAAAGAAGTGAAGGCACCCTGTCTAGTTGCTTAAGCCAAATTCGTGACAAAGAAACACTATCCAGTCTTTAAGCGGCATTGGCCAAGAGAAACACATGCGAACACTACATCGCTACATGATACGTAGCCAACTATGGCCACCAAACACTGGCGGCGTTTTGTCACCCCCAGCTTACCCGTCCCTCATGACAAGCTTGGCCTTCTGATTGACATCTTGGACATCTTGGAAGTTCTTGGACATCATCATCATCATCATCGTCATCACCATCATCATCATCAGCAGCATCATCATCATCATCATCATCATCGTCATCATCATCATCGTCAACATCATCATCATCATCAGCAGCATCATCATTATCAGCATCAGCATCAGCATCATCAGCATCATCATCATCAGCATCATCATCATCATCATGATCATCATCGTCACCATCATCATCAGCATCATCATCATCATCCTCATCATCGTCATCATCATCAGCATCCTCATCATCATCATAATCATCATCATCAGCATCACCATCATCATCATCAGCAGCAGCAGCATCGTCATCATCAGCAGGATCATCAACATCATCATCATCATCGTCATCATCATCATCGTCATCATCATCATCATCAGCAGCAGCATCATCCTCATCCTCAACATCGTCATAATCATCAGCATCATCATCATCATCATCAGCATCATCATCATCATCAGCATCATCATCATCGTCGTCATCATCATCATCAGCAGCATCATCATCATCAGCATCATCATCATCATCGTCATCATCATCATCAGCAGCATCATCATCATCAGCATCAGCATCACCATCATCATCGTCATCATCATCATCATCGTCATCATCATCATCCTCATCATCGTCATAATCATCAGCATCATCATCATCAGTATCATCATCATCATCATCGTCATCATCATCATCATCAGCAGCATCATCATTATAAGCATCAGCATCATCATCAGCATCATCATCATCAGCATCATCATCATCATCATCGTCACCATCATCATCAGCATCATCATCATCATCCTGATCATCGTCATCATCATCAGCATCACCATCATCATCATCAGCAGCAGCAGCATCGTCATCATCAGCAGGATCATCAGCATCATCAGCATCATCATCATCATCATCAGGAGCATCATCATCAGCATCATCATCATCATCATGATCATCACAATCATCATTAGCAGCAGCATCATCATCATCATCATCATCATCATCATCATCATCATCAGCATCATCATCAACATCAGCATCATCATCATCAGCATCATCATCATCATCATCATCATCATCAGCATCATCATCATCAGCATCAGCATCTTCATCATCATTACCATCATCAGCATCATCATCATCAGCATCATCATCATCATCATCAGCATCAGCATCATCATCATCATCATCATCATCATCATCATCATCCGTCACACGTTCACATCTAGGTTTCAAACGCTGCCGAGCGGCATCAATAGCCCCGCAGCCCAAACTCCACAAGCCCCCAGAGCAGAGCTGCAGGTGATCGAATTCCTTGGCGCCGGACTTGGAAGGTGGTGTTGTTCACCAAAAGGGATGCATCCGATATATGCAATATTACAAAGAGACAGTATATGTAAAGATCAAGTCATGAACGTCATCAACTTTCAATGATTGAATCATCTTGGATCAATTGGGATACAGCAATTTTCGGCCAGGCTTTGGTCCAAACCCGACGCTCACCGGCGGGGCGCTGTCGCTGCCACCAAGTGTCCCTTGCAAATGCTGGGTATTGAATTCTTCCAGGAGCACGCAAGCAAAGAGCCACTGTTCACTGCATGCCTTGCGACAAAGAAATGGCTCAGAAACTCCTAACACAAGTTGACATCCTCCAATCTTTTACCACCCCACAAAATTCAACAAAGTTCAACAAAATTCCAGCAATGTAGGAACATCATCTTCAAAACCCCAGAAAAGTTGATAATAGTTGATATGTATCAACTACTGTTAACGTTTTTGTTCCACCGTGGTTTCTCCCTTCAATCCCCGCGTTGCACCCGCGCCGTCCTTGACACCGGCTGTGTAGCTGATGACGTCTCTCCGCGCAGCCGCGGTCCCAAAGTCCCGCAGCCACTGCAGCGCGGGGCGCCAGGAGGGACAGGCGGTCACGGCCGCGTTGCGAAGGATGAGATTTCCTACGGCGGCCGTAAGGGGAAGCAACGGGAAGGGCTTCCCAAACGACAGGTCTCCTGGTTATGGATTTTTTATTTATGGATTATTTATGATGATTTAGGATGATTTAAGATAATACCTATTGATTTGCGATGATTTATGATGATTTTCCCAAAAAAAACAGTTGTCATGATGGCCAACAGGAAGGGGGACCCCAAACGACCAGCAATTTCTGTTGGTCAAGTGCAGATGATTTCTTGCACAAGGAAGATCCATCATTTCTGCTACTTTCGAATTCTCAAGAGTGTCTTTCTTGTTGAACGTGGCCAAGGTGTTGAGATAATTTGTTGCCTTTTAAAATAGCTCCCACATCCATTTCAGAAAAACTTGAGGCCGGGGGTGGATGACGAAAGCTAGCGGGGTAGGAGAAAGAAGGAAGGGAAGACGTATCTTCAATGCCAGCGGGATGATGATGAGGAGGAGGATGATCAGGATGAGGAAAAAAACATGATGATGCTGATGCTGATGCTGATGGTGATGGTGATGGTGATGATGATGATGATGATGATGATGCTCATGATGATGACGATGATGATGATGATGATGACGATGATGATGATGATGATACTGATGATGATGATGATGATGAAGATGAAGATGATGATGATGATGATGATGATGATGATGATGAGGCTGCGGCAGCTGATCGGGATGATGATGAGGACGAGGGCGCTAAGGAGATGATGATGATGATGGTGATGATGATGATGATGATGCTGCTGATGATGATGATGATGATGGTGATGATGGTGATGGTGGTGGGGTGTGGGGTGGGGTGGGGTGGGGGGGGGTGGGGGGGGGGGGGGCCCCCCCCCTTTCACGTGAAAAATCACGTGATGTCCTTGAGCAGCCCCCTGAATAGAAGACTCCAGCTAGCTGACGCTAGCTTTCGTGATTAAGGATGAAGCGTACTATATACAGATCCCTGAATAGCAGCACCATTCACAAAGGGCCCAACTGATTTGCTGCAAAAATCACCAGCCAGCCGCGCATTGGCTTACCCGAGGGCAGATACCTCCCATGTTTTTGGTAAACACATATAAACTCAAATGTTGTTGCTGCATGTTGCTACATACCTTAATGTCTGATATGTGACCCCATGTTTGTATATGTATAATATATATATATGTGTGTTTCATTGTTTTTCTAGATTCTTGTTTGTTCTACCATGTTCTACTCCACCATCTTCGGTGATATAATCGCTACTATCGGATCTATTCCTTTTGGGGCCCAAAAAATGGGGGGTATTTGATATGAGGGGAATGGGATTCCGTTAAAAAAAAACGTATAATTGGCCATATATCCCGCCCAAGAACTGATTTGGCTATATACCCATATACCCTACTGTATCCCATTATATCGGATTAAATCCCATCGAAATCAAATTAAAATCCCATTAAGAATCACATTGAAACACCCATTCAAATCACATTCACGTAACATGAAAATCCAACTAAAATCCCATAACAATTTCATTGTATTCAATTCACATTAATGTTCTCAAATCACCATGAAATCACCATTAAAATTGCACACATTGATAAATGCTGTTTTTTTCCATTATTTTCTTGCAGTTCCTTCATGTGACTGAGTTCATGGTGAAAACAACCAATGATCAATGCTGGTTCACCATGAAAACCCACCACTTTTCTTCACCCATCTTCCCAAGGCGCCTGGACACGCCAGAGCCATCCGCAGTGCTCGTTGCCAGTGTTGCTTCCGGCCGTTCGCGACCACCAGGGCGCCTGTGAAACGTATGGAATCTCCCGGATGTGCAAAATCGACAGGAAAACAGGAACACCATAGGAAAACCATAAGAAAAACGTGGGAAAACCATGACGGACAACCCTAGTTTTGAGTGATTCTTAGTGGTTTACCCTCTATAGTGATGAGATATTTCTCGAGATCATGGGCATGGGATTTAGCCTTCTGGCAATCAAACGTAGCTGGGAAATCCCTAATGGAGGTTTTAGTGGAAAATATGGCAAAATAATCTATACCCTCTGGAAATTTAACATAGCTATTGAACATGGCCCATTTATACTTGATTTACTCATTGAAGATGGTGATTTTCTGTGGCTATGTTAGTTTACTGGAGGGTAAGTAGAGGATTTCCATTACTATACTGGAGGGTACATATATCCGCTTCCCGAATTTCCCAGAAATCAATCCGTAGAAAATCTGTCGACAGATTCTCACCAGATTCTGACAGATTTCATGGGCATCAAATGGCAACTTCGATCATCCAGATCTAGAAGAATCTGTCATGGATCATCCATGATCATCCTACCCTTTCCACGCATTAACGCTGACTGTGATATTGATATATGCTGATTGTGATGCTGTAGTCCTCCAATCTATGACTCTAGTTAGGCACCATAAATCAACCAGTCCAGGGCACTGTAGACAGCAGCATCTGGCTGAATCGATGTCCTTGGTCCATCCCGATGATTTGAAATGAAACTGTGGTCCTCCATGGTCCTCCCTTGGGAGTTTGTGTTCAGTCAGTCAAAACATACCAAAACTTAAAGTTAATCTATAGAAAATGTACAACAATCAGTCAATTTATCAAGCAAAATCAATGAATTGATGAATTGAGAATGAATTGATAATGATTACGCGAAGTGATTTTCATGAATCTTCACCAGTTTGACACCTGGCATATCCATAAGAAGTGGCTAAATCCAATTTCTTGTCGATCTTAACACAACCAAATTTTGTTTGATTAATTCATGTTCCAGTAACTTCCCATATTTTTGAAGGGATGGGATGATCAAAAATGAATCAATTTGCTTTTGAAAAATCCAATCCCTGAACGTGGCAGTAAACATATTTTAGGATAAATTATGATGAATTCAATGTTTTTTCAATTAGAATATCATCCACTTAGCTGGAACCTGGGAACCATTCCCATTGGTTCCCCATATCATCACTGTCATCACTTGATTATTACAATCCTCATAATATCATGCCATCATTATAAACAATGATTTGTAAACCATTATGCTATGATCCCCATGAGTGATTATTTCAAGCTATTCCTATCTCCATTATGATATGGTTGAGATTACAAATTTAATCACCATAAAATCAAAATCCCCATTTCATATTACTATAATCATTTATAATCACTAGAATCACCAGGCCCTATAGTTGAGATTACTGTGAATATCACCTACAATCACTATAATCAACATGTAAATCCATAAAAACACTATAACTATGTCATAAATACCTGGTTGGTGGTTTCAACCCCCCTGAAAAATATGAAAGTCAGATTGGATCATCATCCCAATATATGGAAAAATAAAATTCATGTTCCAAATCACTAGAATCACCATATATAAATCCATAAAATCACTATAATTACCATGTGTAATTACTATGTAGCTATCATTTTACATCAAATTACTAATTGTATATACTATCAATTTAATGTGGTTAAAACAATCATAAACCATCCCCCAAAATCACCTTGTTTTAACCACCGGCACCTCCGCAGTTCCTCCAGCTCTACGAGGCCATCGTCCCACTTGCCGCGCTCCCCCAACACGCGGATCCGCGTGGTGCACCGGCGAAGCTCCGCGCGAAAGGGGCCGGCTGAGGCATGGCATTTTGGAGACATAAAATTGACACAATATGACATTATACGTATAAATGCATATGCATATATATATATATAAATAATATAATATAATAAGGTACATAATTATATACTAATTACTATATAATACTATAATATATATATATATATAGTATATTCCTGCCAAAACCAAGTTTGATGGTGTTCGATGATATGACTCAGAGGAATTTGGAGTTGATCTACTCACGAACTCTACTGACTGGACGGAAACTCAGGTGATGCGTCGGTCACTCAGATACCACAACCAATACGAAGGAATACGAAGCTGGTTGATTCTTTCAACATGTTTCGTTTCAACCCCTCACAACAAATCAGTTGGGATGATTTGGGATATGCCATGATATGCCATGATGGAAAATATGAAAAGAACCCGTCTGAAATCAACAGCTAGGATGGAAAGGCCATGGGTAACTGGGGTTATAAGCTAGTTAGATATGGGATAACCATGGTAGTTATAGAGGACTCACTAACCGCGGTTTCTAACCAGTTACCAAGTATGGGATGATCCTCCAAGTAGTTGTCATCCTGAATCCAGGCCAACAATTTGGGTGGAGAATTATTGAGTTTTCTTTTTTTTTTCAGGTGAGTTTTTTTTTTTCGGATTCCTGTTCCCTTATATTTGCAGCATTTAGGCGTGGGGGAGTTGTGGTGAAAGGTGGTTGAACGGTTGAAGGTCTTGTTGTTGTTGTTGTGGTTGTTGTTGTTGTTGTTGCTGCTTTTGTTTTTGTTTTTGTTGTTGTTGTTGTTGTTGTCTTCTTCTTCTTCTTGTTGTTGTTGTTCCTCTTCTTCTTCGTGTTCTTCGCGTTCTTCTTGTTCTTTTTGTCATTGTCGTTGTCGTTCTTTTGTCTGGGGGGTGGGGGGGGGGTAAGGGGTTTGAAGGTTATAGATGATGCTGATGCTGATGCTGTTGCTGTTGGTGTTGCTGTTGGTGTTGCTGTTGTTGTTGTTGTTGCTGTGGTTGTGGTTTATGTTGTTGTCATGAAGAGAAGAGAAGAGAAGAGAAGGGAAGGGAAGAGCAAGAGCAAGAAACTCAGCCCATCTCATCCAGAGACTACACAGAGGAAGAGAGACGAGCACATCGCATGATAGCACCCAAGCAGAAAGGAGAGAAGCATCCAGGCGCAGGCGAAGAACAGGGAAGAAACAAAGAAGCCAACAACATTAAAGATGTACAAGGGTTAAAGAACCAGGAACATATTTGCTAGGGTCAAAACATGGTATATAATGTATGACCATCCATCTCATGATGGCAATCCTTATCATGGGCATACAAATCCCTATGAATGGATTCATGACAAATTGCTTTTATGGGAAAGTAACCCATGTTTTTGCCATGGCACATCAAACACAAAAAAGTAGAGAAATAAAAACAAAACACCAAAGCAAAACAGAAAGACCCAGAGAAAAAGAAAAGCAGAGAAACGAAAGCAGACAAGCTGAGAAGCAAAGAAGCAGCAAAAAGCAGAAAAGCAAAAAGAAAAGAAACGCGGAAAACACAACGGATAAGCAGAGAAGCAAAGAAGCGGAAAAGCAGAGAAGCAAAGACGCAGAGAAGCAAAGAAGCAGAAAAGCAGAGAAGCAAAGAAGCAGAGAAGCAAAGAAGCAGAAAAGCAGAAGAAGCAGAAGAAGCAAAAAAGAAGAAAAGCAGAGAAGCAGAAAAGCAAAGAAGCAAAAAAGCAGAAAAGCAGAAAAGATGCAGAAAAGCAAGCAAGCAGAGAAGCAAAGAGGAATAATTGAAGCAGAAAAATTAAAGCGAAAAAAACAACTAAAAGGCACCCAAAAGCAGAAAGCAATGGAAGATGTAACTAAAAGGACGAAGCAAAATCCCCAAACTCACCCGAAAAAAAAAAGCTAAAATAAATCCCTTCCCCAACAATTTTGAGGTTCGTTGGGCTCCATTCATCGCTCCCCTGGGCTGTGTAAAAATGGTTGCATCCAACTCACCAGTGGCTCCGGATCAAGTCGCGAAACATCGGACACAAATCATCAACCGAACAAAGCTTTACCACCCCCAACAACAAGCAAGTTCCACCCAGGTATTCAGTAACTCAGTATCCCCCCTGCGGGTCCTGGTAACATGGGAATTCGCCAGCGTTCCTACAGCGAACTGCCCGGGCTTTTGTGTGACAGGGTCCGGGTTGGGTTTCATGAGTCAAAATATGTCGTGTAGGCAGTGATCAAATGTGTGCCAATCTTAGGTAGTTGCCCTGCAACAAAAGAATTCTTTGTGGATAGGTAATTATGGTTTGTTGTCCGCATGGAAACAGGTGAATATCAATCCAGCAACCAATCACAGGGCGCTGAAGTCTGAAGTAGGTTGGATGTTGTGAATTCAGAGCGTCAAGCAAGGGTGCTTGCTAGTGTTTGCCTACAAGCCTTCATTGGGCTGCGAGCCATTGTGACATGGTCATCTTTTCGATCTCTGATGGACAAGCACATGCCCCATATCATAGTCAGGCATGTACGTGTGCTTACCAATATTGACCATCATGAAGAACCGTCATGTATACATATACACATGCTGTAAATATACATATATATATGTATATATATAAATATATATGTATATATATATACATATACATGTATATGTATATATATATATATAAATGTAAATAAATATATATATGTAAATATATATACATATATATATGTGTGGGTGCATATGTGCATATATGGACGCATGTGAATACAATGAATAATATATATATATATATTCTCTACATTTGTTTTTAATGAATATAGAATATGATTTTCAATGAATTAGAAAAATAGATAAATATATAGATAGATAGACAGATAAATAGATAAGATGAGATAAGCTAAGATTGGATTAGATTAGACAGACAAACAAATAGATAGATACGTGCCAATGACTGCAATTGAAATGGAATATGCAGAAAGTATATACAGTATTTATTTCCATATTTCTATATAATATATATATATATAATATAATATAATATAATATAATATATATAATATATAATATATAATATATATAATATAATATATATATATCATGTTGCTTTCATAGAACCATAGCAGGTCCCATGGTCCGGACATTTTTCACGTGCCAAGTGGCCAGGTCATCTGCAGCCAAACGTCGAGAACATTCCAAGGACCTCGGAGCGTCTTTTTTCACTATAGAAATGTGGGTTTCTTAATAAGGGGATCCTCAAGTCATCATAGGTTTCATGATCTAAAATGATGTCGAACTTTGGATGATTAGTTTCACTAGAATGGTCTTTGGATGATTTCGGGGCACCCCCATAGGAAACCTCCAAATTGAGCTGCAGGTATCTGAACAAAAAGGAGCTTTAGAACCAAAAATCTGGAGAAAAACTCAAAACACACCTGACGTATTGCCACATGAAGGATCTTTGACCATAATTTTGGATCTTGCTCCATACAGAGCTTGCGATTGGTGTAAGCTAAAAGATGCTAAAAGTAGGTGCCGTGCTCACCATCAGAGGCTCAATCACAATTCAGTCGGCACCGTCCTTCAAATCAAAACCAGGGATTTGAATGGCATTACCCTCTGGTAAACTAACATAACTATGGAAAATCACAATTTTCATGGGAAAACTCAGTATAAATGGCAATTTTCAATAGCTATTTTGACATAACCAAAGGTAAACATCTGGTCAATCATGGCCAACCAGAAACTCTGATGGCGCCGTCCTGAAGTATCTGGCCACACCGGGGTGGTCGTGGCATTGCAATACTGGGCTGCTTTCACGGCCTCAGCACGTGCCTTTCGGGTCTCCTCCCTTTCCTTGTTGACAAAGATCTTGCTGGTAATCTTGATGGAACCACGGGCTGCATCCATGGTACCAATGCTTCCCTCACCACCAATATTTGGGGCGCTTGAGCGCCTCGTTGTAATGGCGTGAGGCATCCTCAGCCTCCGCTGCCGCACAGCTTTCAGCTTTCGTTCTCTGCTCCCCCTCAAGCATCCGAGTGAAGAATTTCTGGAGAACGTCGGCAATAACTTCTCGAACCAGGGATGGACACAACATGACACAACTATATAATTGATCAATAAATTGATACAAATAAAAAATTGCTGGCAAATATCTGCGGGGAGCTCTGCTAAGGATGCCCAAAGATCAGTGATCTGAGTTTGAACCCCACCTCCGCTTTTTGTGAAACATCTTGTTTGCCAAACATACAAAGCCGAGTCCTGACCTCAAGCGGATTTCACCTCCAAAAAAAATTATAATATACATATCATAATTCGCCACTGCTAATCGCCTGACTTAGCTCTTTTCCTTGTTGTGTAGCGTCAATTTTTCGGGAACCGAAGAAAATTGGGTTCCATTGGAGTTGCCCAATAAAATCCAATAAATACATCCATAAAATATCATACAATACCCCTCCTGTATGTGTTTCCTAGAGAAAATTGTGGACATTTTCCCCCCTTTCTGGAGCCCCTTGCAGCTGGGTTCCAGGCCATTGAGGGGTGAAACTGCAACTCTCAAAGGCCTGGGCGGAAGCGCAAGGTTTCTGGCGGTTTCGAGGGATCCATCGGGAGCCCATTTCATCCAACATTTCTATCATGTTTTGTTTCTAATGTTGAATAGTGTATGAAAACTATGGCAACTGTGGTTTATGATGATTAATCTATGGTTTATGGTTTTGATTTTCAGGTGAACAAAAAGGCATTTCACCAGCCGGGTAACCAACTTTTGCTGTACCAACTGATCCGAAATGCAGCTGGCTTTTGCTTGGTGAAGTCATGAGGGTTTCACTCATCCCAACATTGACCCTGAACATGAAAAAAATTACCATCCGGTAGTTTAGCATATTTATAGCCCTTTGCGATGGAGAATCTCTGTTTGAATAGGTATCGGTATAAATCGTCTGTAAACAGACCATGGCTTCCATAGAAACCTGCTAACTGAGAAGAGGATACGAAAAAAACATGTGGTCAACCCAACAATCAACCATCCCCAAGTCACCATAAATGGGTTGCAACCATCCCCAAGTGGTAGGTTTAATGGGCGTCCGCTTTGAGCAGCCCAGCCAGGTAGCGCAAGCGCAACAACACCTGCGATCGCGAATGAAACGCGACATTTTTTTGCATCACATGAAGACATAAAATCATATCATAGATATAGAAGATGAAGATATAGTATGATATAGTTATAAAATGTTTTAAAAAACATATCAAATCATAGTCACATTGAAGATATAGATGCATTCAAGTAGAGTGACTGGCACAATACGCAGTATGATTAATTGAGACAATATCCCAAATATAATGTATGATGAATGAGGCATTGTCCAACATATGTGGGGACGGGCATTCACCACAAGAACCAAGAGCAGGAGAGTTGTTTGCAATCTTGGTTCTTGGTTCCACGATGTTGCAGGGATACACCGGTACATACTAGTTACTAGTACATGCCTCTGCTCAGCCAATATCCTTCAAAGGAGCTCAATATTGCTCGTAGAGAGACCTTCAACATATGCTAACATGCAGAAAAAGGCAGGTATAGCATTTGAATAAAAGGCTTCTCCCATTTCAAACAAGAACCCTCTTATGTATGCAATATCTGATTTTTGTACAATAGTTGTTGTCCTCAGAGCATGGTATTCCTTGAAGAGAATGTTGTGAGTGCGTGTGGAACATGACGCACAAAAAAGAGCAGCATCTCTTGGAAAGGAGCGCAATAAATACAGGCGGACACTATTACTATTTCAAATCAGAAAGCTCTGATGTATACAATGCAATATGTATATATATATATATATTATATTGAAAGTATGGCATTCCATGATGGCATACGTGTGTGAAATAGTTCCTTCAAAACATGCAGCATCTCTGTGAAAAGAGTGCAACATTCTCTGAAGTCATCAATCAGCCTTGGGCTCATATTCAGAGGGATCTCGTTCAGAAATGGATTGCTGTAGGGTAATCCACACTGCAGTAAAGCAGTGGAATTCTGGAGCAAAACTAAAGAACATGACAGAACATCCGCCTCGGTGCCCCAGTTCTTGATTTTTTTTTACTTGTAATGGTTTATCTATTTAGTATCATTTTTCAAATCTATTCTTACAGTAATTATCTATAATTTATATTTGTTTATTTTCATGTCTAAAATATACTTTTGACTATTTATCTTTATTGTGTTTTCATGTTTTTCTCAGTTTTGGAAGGCAATTGAAGGAAAATCCAGTTGGCTACAGTACCCCCAAGAATTGCTTGTTTCTTTTTGTTTTAAAAGTATCTTTGGTTTTTCATTTTTTTTTGTATTTTTTGTATGTTCCATATTGTTCCATTACTTTTACCTAGATTGTCATTATTTCTGCGTATTTTTAACGCCATGGCATTACCACCTTCTATGTTTTCAGTCTCCATTGTGATCCCTCCTGATTAGACTCCCTGTTTGCAAAGTGGTATCCTTTTGTGTATGTAGTAGTCGGTTGAAAAAGTATGGTATTCAGTATTCATTCCTTGAAGTTGTGTTGTGCAAAACCCCCTTCGAATTGAGGGAACATCTCTGAAATGATGAAAATATTGATTCAACAGAGTGCAACATACCTTGAATGAAGTCCCTCCTTTAAAGGCACAGTTGTCATTTCAAACAAAAGAGTACAGTTGAGGAGAGCTGAACTTACTCAATGGGATTGCTACATCTATTGAGAAAGGCAATGCACATGTTGCAGGAATGTTGCACACTAATTACAAGCAAAAAAAATGTTTTTGAAGGAAAGCAAATCTTTTGAAGGAAAGCAAATCTTTTCAAGGAATGCTGCATTCATGGATTGAACACTGAGAAGTATTCCCTTTTCAAATGGGATACTGTACCATTTAAGGACTAGATATTATGAAAAGAAGACTGTGCTTCTGTAGCCGCTTCTTTTACAGATTTTACAGGAATGCTTCACATCTTGCCTTGATGTAAGGTTTACTTCTGTTTGCTTTTTGAAACTATTTCAAGATAGCATTCTGAACCACTAACCTGACCAGTATTAACCATCAATCTCCATTGTTACCCAGCAAAATCAACCATCAGTACTACCCTCTGGTAATTTAACATAGCTATTGAACATGGCCATTTATAGTGAGTTTTCCCAATAAAAATGACCATTTTCAATAGCTATGTTAAATTACCAGAGGGTAACCACGAAGAAAACCTTGGCCGCAGATTGATTCCTCCCACGGTCCCCTTAGATCCCCTTAGATTCCGCCTTGCCGTCATAGGCGAAACAAATCTCCGAGCCCGGCAGTAGCCGTGCAGCACCGCCCGCACCTGTCCAGGTGTTCAACTGCCGAAAAAGCACGAAGGGATGAGGGGAAAAAACAGGTAGCCTCTCGTAATATCCCCTAATCAAACGTGGCTTGCTGGAAAATCCACCATTGTAAAAATTTCATCGCTTCCCTAAATACGTTTAAGTTTAAAATTCTGAAATCAAGAGGTTTAATTGGAGCTTCCCTAAATATTGTGAGGTTGGTTTCTTCAATACTTTAAGCCTAGACTAGGTATAGTGTGTTCCATTAACCTAACCATTAAACACTTAGTTGGATTCGTCACACTCAAACAATCCCTGCTATGATCCACTTTTCTACATACATTTTTTCCCTTGAGATATTGAGAACAACATTTCAACTGGGAGACAACTTTACCTCTTGGCTCACTGGGGGTGGCAAGAGGTCGTCCAGTTGTAATTTCAAAACGGCCCAGAACAGCTGTGGTTTTCAACAGCAAACATTCACCTGGCGGCCAGGGAAGCACAGCAGTGGAATGTGGACTGAGGGCAATCCGAGGGATGAACCAACCAATTTTGGGCCGCCAAACCAACCATTCTCCAGTGATCAACGAAACGGCCCAGGTCACGGACCGGCCTTTTTCCACTTGCACGCCATCTACAAGCCTTGGCCAACAAGCAATGATGGGATTTCCAAATAAAGAAATACACACACACATATATGTATATATAATATTATATACATAATATGTGTTCTGTATAACCAATATAGCTAGGCTACGTCACATCATAAAACTGGCACAGTGGTAGATATGATGAGAGAAGCACAGCTGGAGGCATTGATCACCCCATTGTTTCACCTGGAATTTCTTCGTGTAGAAAGCCTAGGCCCTACTTACAAGAACCAAGGGAGTGGACATTCCCATGTGTTCGATAAGAAAGAGGTAGACATTATACAGCATACAGTAATATAAGTTAATATAAGAAACTCCAGAAAGGCAGGGAGGTCTCCTTTTTGCTTTCCATGGTTGTCGTCTCATCACTTCACCAAGAGACACAGGATTGGAGCCGCAGGCAACCAACTTTGCCTGGTATCGAAACACTGCTGGCGTGGAAACGCCAACCATTTGAGTGACCCCATAACAGACCAACCAAACCCAAATCCCTGCAGCTTTAAGTACTCACCCTGTAAATGGTGATTTATGATGATTTGAATCATGGATAGTTGTTTCTTTGATTTTAAGTATTTCGAGTCGTGATGACCATGTGCATGATTCTCCAGTGCAATGCTCAGTTTCCAAATTGCATCCTGACCTTTTTTGATTGCGTCATCAATCATCATCTTTTCCATCTTACTTCTGTGGAAGGTCCTTCCAAAATGTGCAGGGATCTTCCACACAAACATGTCAGTTGACCACAGGCTTTCCTCAAGTATTGGCAACTTAAGACATCTGTCATAGTTTGATCAAAATTCATAAGGAACCACCTTTGGCTCTTCTGATTCTTGTATAATGCGGGTGGCTGGGGGTATGCCCTCGAGAAATTGCACAAAGAACTCCCGCAACTAGGTTTGGAGAATTATTCTTTCACAACATATTAGGCTAAGTGATGAAGTGGCTATGAATTGGGATTTGTGATTTGTTTCACAACCACATATTAATCCCAATTTGTGTTCATATGATAAGTGGCTGAATTGGGAGCTTTCAAAATCTCTCAGATTTCGCAATTTGCAGAGCTGAACACAGAGCCCCTTTTTTCGGCGCCTCTCCATTGGGATCCCAGTAGATCTGAGCGTCCGATTGGGTGAGGCTTCAGGATTTGCTACCAGGCTACCTTCAAAAAATCTTAAACACTTATATAAAACAAAAAAATGTCTTACTGTAGCTGCGATTTTTAAGACAGTGCCTGGTCTGAATTTGCACATCCTAGCTTCATCTAGTTTCAATTATATAATTTGGTTGGGAAAATCTAAGGCAACAAAAACAACATGCGGGGATGGCGATCCCTGGCCTCAATGGCTCTGCGTGAGATGCAGGCATGCCTAAGCGAAGTGCCATTCAAAACGGCCCAAACGAATGCGGAAACACATGGAAAATGGATGGAGAATTCATGGACAATGGATGGAAAATGGATGGAACATGAATGGAGAATTAATGGAAAATGGATGCAGTTGAACATAATGATGAACATTTAGGACCACTTCGCTTTGCTGCGTCCTGGTCTATTTCCCCTTCATCACATCACCAACCCACCGAAAGCATGGAAAGCAGATCACTATAGATCACTGGGCCGCCCAGGCTGTGGACAGGGGAGCCACGCCTCAAATAGGGCTTGTTGCAAATGTCTTCCCACCTGTGGCGAAGGTGGGAAGACGACTGTCCGCTGGATGTATTTTGATGATTCTTGATGTAATGCTGCGTAGATTTAAATCGAAATAATTGCAAAATGAAGATTGCTATTTTTTCCAGGTACCCTCTGGTTATATTAAAATAGCTATTGAAAATGGCCCATTTATAGTGGATTTATATACCCATTAAAAATTGCGATTTTCCATGGTTATGACCATGGAACGTGTTTTCAGTCCACCCCAGGACCCCGCACCACTGCACAATGACCTGCCGGGCGTTGGAAAAAATGGGGGAAAACGACCATCTGCTCCAATCAGCACATTCTGAGCCAGTTGGATATCCATGAGTTATGATATAAGCCATTTCAGCCAGTCGGACAAGGACAAACCAGGATTTTTTTAAACAAAAAGATGAAGCCACACACAAGCATGGCCCGCCATGCTTGTTTCCCCCTGATGTTTCATTTATTTTTCAACCGATGACATCAATTCATATCAATTCCCCATGGAAAATTTGCCATTTGTAGTGTAGATGGTTTTACCCATCAAAAGCCAAGGCGATGGACCAAAATCCATGAACAAGGTCGGAATGCCCACAATAGTTTCAAAATGTTTCAATATCCACATTTAGCTGATTGGTCTAGATTTTGTTTCATACTGGACACAAACAGCAGCGGACAAAACTAGGGGGGCCTTTATTTCTTGACCAAATTCTTGCACACACGTAAAAAAGGAAACATCCGACATGATGTCGGCCCATTTTTTGCTTTTGTACAAACTAATGCAAAAGGACAACTATATAATATTTGGCTCTGGCACATGGAAACTGTCGTTGCGGCCAAGCTCGGTCTGGTTTGAAACTATAATATATATATATTAGAAATTAGCCACTGTGACCATGCCATGTGAATCGACATGAATCGACCAATGTCCTCCAGCAATCAAACATGGAAAGCGGAAATGAGCAAATGGGAGGCTCAGCTGCATAGATATGTGCACACAGATATCAATTGAAGGAAGTTTTCATTGCCATCCATTGCCCTATTTAGCTTGCCAAAGGCTAAAGTCGTGTAAAATCACAATTCTTGCGGGGTAAATCCCCCTATAATATAACATAATATAACATAATATAATATAATATAATATAAATAAATATATATATTTATTTATTTAGCCCTTGCATAAACCTTATAGATAAATATGTATAGATATATGTTTTAGGTACTTCCAATGCAAGGCTTCCTGAAATGGCCACATCGATGAATCCACGCGCCTTCGCTCACCAGTGGCAACCACCGCCTCAGCCACGGCATCCCATGGCCCTCAAAAGTGTCCATCACATCAGAGTTTCTTGGGAATATGCAAACATATACTGTATATATATATATAATATATATACACATGATATATACATATATATAAATGTGAATATATATGATAATATATGTATATATATAATAATATACATATATAATAATAAATGATAATATATGTGTGTGTATGCGTATAATATACAAATTCATAATACTTGTAATACGGGATTATGTTGATTCTGATGTGGTTTTGTTTCCCTCTTTTGTTGGCTGTTAATGACCCTGTGATCTAGTGCATGAGGATATGGGAGGATCAATCCACCAAACTTCAGCGGAATCCACCATGGTATGGTACCCAGTAATGCTCCATGTATGGCAGACTTACCTGGTTGGTGGTTGAACCCTACCCCCCTGAAAAATATGACTTCGTCAGTTGGGATTATCATCCCAACTATTGGGGAAAATAAAATTAAGCAGTTACTTACTTGCCTCAATATTTGGTGTAACCGCAGTAAATCCGCTACACGGCAATGCCTCTCCCTCCGAGGCTCCCCGACCATTCAGAGGACAAGGCCTCCGAAAGGCTTCGACGGATGTCTTGGTTTAGTTAAATTTAGCTAGACTATTTTTTGGGGGAGAGTGTTGCCGCCTTTTTTGCCTCACATTATGTACTTAGTACAGGTAACTTACAAGTGCTTAGGCAGGTAGGAAAAAATTCTATGAATCTTTCCTATTGTGGCAACCGAGGCGAGACTGTTGATAGTCTCAAAATCTGTCGAACCAATGCCAGCCACTTGTGACACACACACATATATATATATACATGGGGTCGCTGAACCCATCCATGAATATAGGAGCGAAGAATGATTTTTTGACGAACAACATTAGTGTCGGCCTTAAACTTGGCTTGTCGATCCAACGAAACGTGTGATGTTAAATCTGGTACTTCAAATCCACCATGTTTCAGATTTTCAGGTCAAATAATGCTTAAATCATCTTATGTAAATCATGTTAAATCCATTGATATAAACTCTCAACCTAACCAGGTTGACATGGACATAGTCACCCAATCGCCGGTCACTTTCAATCCTCTAACCCAGGATGTTGAATTTCAACAACTGAGAATCCCCTAACTCAATGGTTTAACGGTCCCTAGTCCCTAGCTTTCACTCACCATCCGCGCCTCAATCTTGCAGGCGGCGGATTCCTGTAACTCTAACCTGGGAAAGTTCCAGACGATTTTCCATGGGATTTTTCCCATTTCCATTGTATCGCATTTCTATGTATGTAACCGTACCTATATTGCTAGTAGAAATACCTATGAAAATCGATATTTCTAGATATGTTCTATGTCTATTGTTAGTTATACCATGTTATACCAAAGAGTACCTTTCAGTTCAACGAAATCCTGTAGGATCTTATATGATTATGGACCAGTTCAATCTTCTGTAGGTTTGGATTGAACGACAACTAACCCCTGTATGACCAGGCGGCAGTCTAAGGATCTAATGCGGCAAACCCCCAAAACCATAAACCAACCACAATTTACCAGACATGGTGATTATCTCATATAAGAATATATAACCCATAGAAAATCCATCCTCAATACGCGGCTTACCATTGAGTTTACCACAGAAATTGATCCATGGTTGCTAACAGTAAACCAATAGGTCTAAGTGACCCACGGATTTACAGGTGAATCACTGGTTGATCATTAGAACCTTCCGGGTTGAGAATCCATGGATCATCACCCCGAGGGGCGTTTTGGCAGAAGTCAGATGAAGTTAGTTGGTTAAAACATGGTAAACCCAACAGTTTGCCAGTTACAACGGTCAGTTTCCCATGTTTTCTTGGATGATTAGGGATGATTGGGGGATCAGTTTGTGCGTTGAAACTTCAAACCGAGGAGTTTAACAGTTGAACGACCCAATAAATTGGGGCTTCCCGCAACTTCCCCTGGTTCCCCTGGGCTCCCAAGACACAAAGTGCCGCCCATCACAGCCATCCTGCGACCAAACTTGGGCATTTTAAGAACAACAGGAACTGCCCAGACTCAGCAAATCAATTGAATGCAGTATGTACAGCAGTATCAATCATTTGAATATTTTGAATATTGATATTGATGATACTTTTTGAATATTGGTACAGTAGTATCCATGGTATTGATATTTGATATTGATGATATCTTGATATTCAATATCATCCATCCCCTGCTGTGTACCAATTGAAGTTATCTCAATGAAATCCCGCAGAGGTTGGCTGACCCACCTCCACCACCAGCGGCTTTGTTTCAGACCTCGCGCCAGGCGCGTTTCTGCTTGGGTGCCATTCTTCCTTGACGCCTTCGAAGTAAATGTGATTTCAGTGGGTTGAAGTAAGACTTGAAAAAAAAACGAAAATATGGGATGCACTAAATATGAGTTATTTGACTTGAAATAGTCTTGACATGTCTTGATCGCATTGAATACTAGTGATTTATCGAAAACATTAGAGCATTTCAGAACTCTCTGGACATTGAGTAAGGCTTGAAATAAACAAGTCTACTGGAAGCAGCAGAAGTTCCTTGACAAATGGGGAGTATTTGATCAACAGCCCAAGGAAGAAAATCCTGAGCTGGTCAATTGAGGGAGGACCCCCTATCATTGATAAACCAGAGGTTGTTCATCCGGGGTCATGACTGAAACAAAATCGGCGCATGGCGCCATCTTCAGGGATCAACAGTCATCCCAACAGCCAATGGATTGGTTTAAGGGAACCCCCCCTGCCCTTACCCTCTGGTAATTTAACATAGCTATTGAAAATGGCTATTTATAGTGGATTTTCCCATTGAAAATGGTGGATCTTTCCATAGCTATGGTAGTTTACCAGAGGGTACCAATCCATTGAATATCCCAAAGGTCCCTCTCTCCGGGCGTTTTCGTCATATCGTTTCTCGTTTGCTGCGACAGCAATCGCGCGGCCGACGGGGCACAGCACAAAGCGTTGGGCGGCCGGAACTGGCCATCCCTTTTGACAAAAACCTGGGTTGGCCATCTCTTACGCAGCGTTTTTTCAAGGTTGTTCATTTGGCAGTTTTCACCGACACCCTTTGACACTGAGATTCTGCGTGATTCATTGTAAATTTTAAATCATCGAATCATTGTTTCAGGTCACTCTGACCCACAGAGTTTTTAGGTGAGTTGGCCCCGAGCGGTTCGCATCTCTAAAAAGTTCGGCTGCCACCGGCTCAGGCATGGGTTTTTTTGGCCTTGGGATGCGAGGCACAGAAAATCAGTGTGGAAACGTAAGACAAGCCAGGTATATATGCATATAGCAACGCTTCAAAACAAGAAAGGTCATTATGATATTGAGTATATATGAGTTCATATTGAATGGGGGTTGAATGGGGGTTCATATATGTATTATGATATTGAGTATATGAGTTCACTATTTTGGGATTGAATGGGGGTTGCCATATTGCAAGTGTTGCCATGCAAAATTGCTGGACGCTGTTCACAGCCATCCCATTGATGGGGGTATCGAGATAGACACGCATTTTTGGGATGGTAACCAACAACTTGCATGAATGAAAAAAGGATTATGGAGATATGATGAGATATGCATATGCAATATGTCTAATTATGTATATGCCAAACAACAATTTGTCTTTCAAATATCTCATGCCCCCGGGCCCCGAACCGAACCAGCAGTCTTCCCACAACAAAGCAGTTCATGACATGATGAGGTCAGGCGAACTATGTGCCAAGCACCTTATGACCAATTCTTTGAGTGAATGTCTTGCACATCATAATTTCAAACCAACTTTGCTTTGCATCACTTCCCCATGCTGACGCTGATACACCATACCACGAATGCATGCATGCATTGTATTTACATGTATTTACATTAGTTATCATCAGTCACGTTCCTTTAGGTCATGTTAGGATATATTAGGGAGAAATGTTGGTGTATTAGAATGGGTCCAAACCCTGGTGCCGTGATGAACATCCAGAACAAATGAGCACGCTTGACTTGTTGGCTGAAGAACTGGTACTTTATGGATCTTTATGGTACATTGTCATTGTGTTTCTTGGTTTCATGTTTTTTTTGCTGGCAAACCAACCAATGATCAAATCCAAAGTTGTTTTGCTTACATCCCGGCGTAGCTTACGGTGACATCATGTTACATCCCAAAATTTATCAAGGTTCAATCGCAATTCCTCAGCATGTTTTCTACATTGTTAAGTTGGTCATAGATCCCACCATATCATATTAATACCCCATGACTGGTTTGAAAGCCATCCCCAAATTTGTTGATAAACCAGGTTTTTTTTATTAAAAAAAACATGATATTCCTAGTGTAACCTCCATTTAGTTCGCACATTTCCCTGCCACCTTTGCCGCCCGGCAGCGGGTCAAAGACCTTTGCTGACCTTGGGTCCATCGCCCATCTGCGTCCCTTTGCCATCGCCATCCACACCTGACGCTAAAGGCGGCGGCGGCGTTGCGTGGCGTTGCGTTGCGTATCGTAGCGTAGATTGATATGTAATAGTATATGGTCGGTTGTATATGATATATATAATTATAGAAATCTATATAATAATATATATATATATGTTTATACATGTGTGTGTGTCCGTAAATTTTAAATTTTGGATAAATGGGTTCTGAATCCATAGCTGTTTATATCAACAGGCTTAAACAAGTTCAAAGCCAACAATGGCATACCCTCTGGTAAACTAACATAGCTATTGAAAATGACCATTTATAGTGGATTTTCCCATCAAACATTGTGATTTTCCATAGTTATGTAAACGTTTGCCAGAGGGTTTGCCTATAGGAAATGGTGGTTTTTGGAGCCCAGTTGTCCGGTTCCAGCCATAGCTCGGAACCAACATATTTTTGCCACATTTTCCATATCAAAAAAGCCACATTTGAATCATTTTTGGGCATGTCCCAATTTGGATCACCCTAAAAAAGCGCAGAAGTTTCGTTCAGCCGTGGCACCCAAGCCGAAGGCATACAACCTGAAGGGAAGGACGACTGCTGACTGATGACCCGACTGGGGGAAGAAACATCCATAGAAACCAGCTATGACTGGATGGGTAGCGTTTGGCACCAGGGCCTCGGCTCATTGAGGTTGGGCCTCCAAGTCATGTAGAAATCGGTTGAACATGGGGCTGGCTTCCACGAAATTCACTATAGATTGGCTACCAAAATGATTGCAAAGTTGAATGAACGGGTAGGTTCAAAGGTGCAAACCCTTAAAGCACTCAAAAAGCCAAGTCAACAAATCAAAACACATCTGAACATGTTCTGTTCCTTATGTCCATCCACCTACGCCTCATCATCCGATCATGTACTGTATATGAAACACATCGCACCATTACAACCTATACTGATGCCTCGTTGAGGGTCTCGCCAGTTAACAAACGTAGTGATCCCCCTCTCATAATTATTATTCAAGGGGACACCATATTCATCTCTATAATCACTCTATAACTGGTTGGTGGTTTTAACCATCTTGACAAAATTTGTCAATGGGAAGGATTATCCCATATATAGTATTATGGAAAATAAACAATTGTTTGAAACCACCAACCAGATAACCATCTAAAGCCATTTAAAAGCGATCAACAGATCGTCCTTTTCCTGCCTTACGCCAAGCGGCTCAGGAGGTCTCTTGACCACGACCACCTTGGGTCTAAGCGAATCGATCCAATCCAAAAAGGCCTGCCTGGGCCGATGGCTGGGAGAATGGACTGGAAACCGGTAACAAAAACCATGAGACATGGCTAAAAGGATGGCAAAATAAGATGCTTAACTTACCATTAAAATCACGGAAACATGGGTAGACGCATCAGATTCATCCAATATATAGAGATATATTCTATTGTGTGTACGGTATATCAGAATGCGGTTTGAAATTAGCCACATTTTACCCATGCTTCCAGTTTCTTGGATGATATATTCCTTTTAGATTCCTGATATATCCCACATTCAGGCGTGTCCCACATATATATATATATATATATATACACAAACTGTATATGTGTGAGCTTGTGGAAAGGTGTATACCTCCAATTGAATTGCCATTGAATGGGGGTAACGAGGATTAACTAATAGATTTGGGGGGTCGACTCTATCCCAATTATTCCAACATGTGGTGATTTTTGGATGAAGGTGATCAAAATCAATGGATTGTTTTTTGCGGGAAAATTACAGGAAAAGCCCACATTTAAGGGGAAAATCTATGGTTTCCGGTTAAGAAACCATAGATTTTCCATGATTTTCCCATGAAATGTGGGGCTTTCCTGTAAATTTTCTCCCACGATTCACCGCAAAAACCGAGGCACTTGGTCCTGTCACCAATCTTCGAGGGTCTGACCTGGCAAGCTTTTAGGGCGGATGGGAAATGAGGATTTATACTGTATATATGATTTATGTAGCTAAAAATATAGATGTTCATTAGCTAAAGATCTAGATTTCAGAGCCAAATCATATCAAATAATCAAATATATGTTCAACAAGGTTTGACACAGCATAATGGTTGTGTGGATGTTTTTTTGATATGGACCAGGGATTCTGGAATATTTATAAAAAAGAAATGGTTTCAGGAGCAAACCACATTTTCGAACTGCAAATGCAGTTGTCTGGAACCACCTTGGAATTCCACCTACCGTTTCTCAACCCACTGCATCATTTCTTCCCCCAAAATATCCAAAGTGTGCAATCACTATCCTCTTGATTTGTGTTCACCTCAACTTCCCCACATCAAACTAACATGTGTGATTATTTTGACATATGTTGACAAATAGATGATGATAGATGTAGATAAATACCTTGATTCTATCCATATGTAATCAGATATAACGACTCACACACACACACATATATATATTTGTATATATTATACACATAATAATACATATACATATTCTTTCTGTGCCTTCAAAACCTAATTATCCTTCACCCGGGGCATCCGGGGCACCGCCAGGTGCTGGATGTTGTTCTTATCCTCATCCACAGCTTCCACCACCACCAAGGCATCCGGTTCGCAGGGTGGTACGATGTAGAAACCTCACGACGAGCCACAGAGAAAACGCAGAGAAAAAACCATGGCATAGATTTTAAGCATGGTATGATGTTAATAAGATGTTTATTGATTTTAATGTTTGTGGTTGATGTTGATGGCATTTGCGGCATTTCTTTTAAGCATTCAATTACTGAACTACCATGTTTGTCCAGTGCACTCCATGACTATGTTCTATCCGTTCTGGATGATGGGGATCCAGACCTGGTCCTCGGTCCTCTTCGGAATGGCACAGGCCCCAAATAGTCCAGCCCTGCAATGTCAACCGTCTGCCACCCCTAAAAAAATAAGGTTACCCTCTGGTAAACTGTCACATAACTATGGAAAATCACAATTTTTCATGTGGGGTGTCGGGGTTGGAAGCGAAGAGACGACACAACAGAGCGGAGAGCTGGCATCCATCACATCCCAGCATCAGTGAATCCAGCTTTTCAAGACATAGATGTATTTATATATATATATACATATTAATGTTAATGTTAATGTTAATATTAATATTTATATAATATTGATATTCATATACAAGTCATTATACACCATTATAAACCAGTAACCAGTATAAACCATGATAACCCTGATAACCTAGATCAAACCCAAAAAAAAACATCAAAAAACGACAGACCTCAGTCCCAGCCTTCTTCATCTCAGTGGCACTCAGGTTCAACAACATATCCTTCTGTTCATCGTCTGCCTGGTGATGGTCATCACGGCCGAGCTCCGCAGCGAAATTCATGTATTGACATTGCTGCAAAATGTGAACATGTCAAACTTGCGCTGAAATTGCATGATGTAATTACATTAATATTACATTAATATTACATGAGTGACTCGAAAAAAAACAGTTACCACATGTTACCATAGGGTTCCTTGCTGCGTGACTTTCGGTCGACCCTGTTCGAACGCCTCATCCTCTGCCCAAGATGCAAAGAGCTCGGACGCCTTTTTCTTCGGTGTGACCTCATTATCGTGCCTGGTGGTCCCCAAAACAGTGGGCCCTGCGAGCACCAAGAAGAAAGGACCAATCAAAGGGACCCAATCTTTGGCTTATGTTATTTTTTAGTTATATCTGGAATGGCTATGAAATTAACAGATCTTTGAAGCCATGTGGGACCAACAGATCCATCACTAAGCCATAGGGATTCCATGTCCATGCTTACATGGTCATGCTTACGTGGTCTTGACGTATATGGGGTCCTCACAATGCACCAACATGACGTTCAATGTTTAATCCCAACCACTACTCATGGATGGAAAATGCCACATGTTATCCATGTTTCGCCTCAATGGAGTGGAGGTCCATTGATTTTGAGGTCCCCCAAAAAGCAGATTTGATGATTGGGTTGGTGTCTGGTGGTTGATTTCAACATAATTTGCCAGGGATACTTAAATCCCACAGAAAATGGAGACATTTCTGAATACATATGAATACATATGAATACATATGAATACATAGGGCAAAGCGGCTTGACATGACTTGACCACCTTCCAGGATGTTGAATATTATCATGAATTACCCTCTGGTAATTTAACATAGCTATTGAAAATGGCCATTTATAGTGGAATTACCCATTAAAAATGGTGATTTTCCATAGCTATGTTAAATTACCAGAGGGTATCATGAATTATCTATCATCTTTGTAGTCACTATCTGCCATGATCTCAACTAGAGTTTTTTTTGCTCCCCACAACTCCAGGAAAACCAAGATCAAGATGATCAAGGCACCCAACAACAGTACACCGAATCTTCCAAGGACTTCTTGGGTGGTAACTCATTCTCCATCTCCTCATAGAGTTCATCATCATCCACGGCTGGGAACAGCCAACTGCCTCCCTGGGGGATGGTTTTGCCATCCCGGGCGTTGATGGGACGCTGTGCCCTCCGCCCCACCCGGCCGCGGCTGCCGCGGCGGCCGCGCAGCACCCGGCCACGGCTCAGGTGTCCTGCCACGGCCAGCGTCAGGCAGAGGCCCAGCGCCCGTGGAGCCGCGGCAGGCGCCGCATGGAGAGCTGCCCCGGACGAAGGCACCGGGGTGCACGGGGCGGAGGTCACCCCGGGGAGGAGGAAGGTCGCCATGGTTAAGCTGAGAGCCAAAGAATTGCGAAGGGAAGGAACATTTGAAAATATCAATGGATTTCAATGGCAAAGCCTCCATCTGGGGTATGGGTATGGCTTCAAGTAGTATGTAACCCATCTAACACCTGAGGTTTTGGGTGTATTACCATGTATTACCCACACAACCTCAAAGATTTGGTGGCTGTCAATGGTACAACATCTGCTGGCATTCTTTTTGGCCCTCACAACACTATACAATATTTCTTTTGGTGTCGGCCACAAAACCCATACTAAAACTAGCAACATCTAGATACTTCACAGTCACAATGAAATCCCAAATTTGCCTTATATAACACCTTTTCTATTATTCCCTTATATTCCCTTACTAAAATTGTCCGTGGATGACCATCACAGGGATGCAAAAGGCAATCAAATCAAAATACATAGGCGAAGCCCCTGAAGCAAAGATCGGCTGAACTCTTGATTAATCAATGCTGAATCTCAAACACTTTTTGGGATTTTGGGGTCTTGATGGAGGTTCTGCAATGGTGAAGTGAACGGGAAATCGTTTCCCGGCGGCCGCGAGCCGAGCGCAAACCGGTCGGTCTTTCTGCACGATGTCTTTGGGTCAGGGGATGATGTGGAAACCTATTCTGGTTGGTGGTTCCAGCTCGCCTCAACTGATTGTTTTAGACATGAATCAATTCAATGCGAAACCATGGTTTTTGATGGGGTGGTAGTAAGTGGACGCAATTCAGTAATTTCTCGTTTCAACTCGTCCCTACTAACTCCAAACATCTCTCATAAATCAGTGCATTGCAATCCACCACACGTTCTGCCCGACATCTTCAGTTTCTGTGGGTAAAACTAATTATTCAATAGGATCCACTATCCCCAAGTTATCATGATGTTAAAAGGTTATCATCATTTTATTAGGTGGTATATGGTGGTAAACAATCCCCAAATGATAGGTCTGTGGCATCTTCAAACCACCAGCCTTTGGAGCCGGGCTGGTGCCGCATTTTTCGTTTGGGCCCAGGGGACATCCGGGGGGGGCATTTGTTTCACGTTTTTTTCATGGAGATGTGACAAATGATCCTTGGGGATAGCATCAATTCAATGGAAAAATCTTCAGGATCCTAAAATGGAGCTACGTTAGTACCAATCTGTAGCATATTTTTGGCCATAAGAATTGTGGGGATATTCCCTGAAATTTAGGCCTAACAAAATAGGCCTTATATATGATATATATGGTAGGTACCTCCAATCAATCGGTTCCTGTTGCATGGCCATTGATCAATGAAATCGCATCCCCATGACGATCATGACTAAAAAAGTTACCATCTGGTTGACTGACGAACGTTGTTTAAGCCACGGAGAATCACCATGAAAATATACCATTTATAATAGGGTAAACCATGGTAAACCATCTATAGTTAGGATGTTTGACCTTGATGACTAGTTTCGATGGACCAATGTGGACCACCTAAGGTCACTATTGGGATGTCACCCCTAAACCAATGGGTAACAAGCAAGACTTCGATGGAACTTGGGGTGGCGGTTCCTGTAGAGATCTGTAGAATCTCTTGGTGAATCGACTGTTGAATCGACTGCACTTTGGCCCGCAACAGAAACTTTAAGTTGGTTTTTGAAAGTTTTTCATGTGTTTTAACGGCCAAAGATGGGTTGAAATTTTCAAAATCGTTACCAACAGACTGGTTTCCACTGTTTCAACCCATTCCACACATGAAGTTCAACCTTCATGATATTGATATCCTTAAAATGTGCATGCCCCAATATTAGCCCATCATGCCCAAGATTGCTTTCATATGCTTTCATCACATTTCTTACCCCAATATCATCCAACAATTCGGCCAAGTTCATTCGCATCATGGGATTGAGTTGGTCACATGTCCTTCCCCCTGAGCTTCTGAAAATCTAACCGGGGCGCGACCGTGTCACAGCGACGCTGCGAGTGTGGGACATAAGAATATATATATATATAGCTGATTTCCGTGTGGCTGGCTAAGGGATTGTTCGTAACCTGCTCTTGGGTAACTAAGGTATTATAGATCAGATTGCTCAGCAAACCCCAGAGGCACTTCTCAGAATGAGATGTATTATGTACACCGACAATGCTTGGATCCGTGATAGGATTAATAGTCAGTAACCTGGGGATTACACTCGGAAATTCAATGAAAAAGACATGGGTATGGCGGGTATGGGTTCAGACTGGCTCAAAGAATCCTCATCTACTCATCTACCCCAATTTGAAACTGTTCCTCTTTCCACACTTGTCTATCATCCTATGCTCCAAATCTCTTTGACACCGTCAAACACACCTGGTCGTCCGGGACTCCAACATGAATAGATCATGGCAATACTTGACCAAGGCGACCAGCCGGATGGTTTCACAATGAGGGATTGACGAGATTCTGGGAACGCAGCCTACCCCTGTTGATCATCAGTTTCCATGTTAAAATGGCTATGTGTGGCGTACACCCCATTATCATCCATTATCCACTTGCAAACCCAGTCATGTTTTAAAACAAGTAGTCATTTAGTATGATTTATATTAAGTAGCTAGTACATAGAACAAAATCAATTAAATGTTGAATATTCATGGATGTTCTATCTTCTCCGTTGATGTGTCCACCGGCAGCGAGACAGCTCCAACGCTTCAGTGCACTGCGGGACGACGTCCACCGCGCACCGGTGATGTTTCGAGAAATTCTCTCCCGAGCCAACGACGCCAAATTGTCGCATTGTCCAACCCTTGCCATCCTCTCAAAGGAAATGTTTTTTTGCATTTGATTTGGTTAAATCTGAGCAAAATCCCATGAAATTCCCAAACAATGGTCATTATCTTGCTGATGAAATTCCCATGAAATCCTCATTTAGTCACTGAAGACCAACCTTTTTTTTGTTGGCTCAGCACCTCGTGGGCCCTCCGCCAACTTTGGGCTCAGCCGACTGCACCCTTCATCCTCGGTGTTTTTGGCGATGTTTTTGGTGAATTTTGGTGACTGGATCCCAAGGTGCTTGGCAAATGAGTTATTGATATTGGATGAATTTTATTGAATTTTGATGATTGAGTACTATGAGATATTGATGATGATTGATGATGATTGATGATGATTGATGATGTACTATGAGTTATTGATGATGATTCAAACAAAGAATATTGATGATGAACTATGATTTGTCTATTGAGTAATGAATGATTGATGATTAACAAATTATTGATTAACTATGATGTACTATGAGTTGTTGATGATGGTTGATAATTTCTACTACAGCTTGCAAAATTCTTGGTATGATTATTGATGACTAGTTACTATGGGTCAATCACGTCAGCGCCCACGAAATCTAAAGTGAATGACAATTACATATAATTACATATAATACATATATGAATTAATTTTGAAGCATGTAATACTCAAACATCTACCGTACCTGTAATCACCAGTTTTGGATCAGCTTCTGAACACCGACCTGGGTGCCCCTGGTGCTATCGGACGTTCATCCACCCAAATATTGAGCTGATGATTTTGGAGGTGCATCGTGCTTGGATTTGCATCCCAGTTAGTACGTGGTTATTTTAAGCATATCATAGCCTGTCTATACATATATGTATATATATGAAGGGTATGCCACAATTCTGTAGGGATTATGAACTGGTATTAGCCGCTTACTTACTAACTGGGATGCACACCCAAGGATTGCCATACGTTTTATTTTTGAACCCATACCAATAATCTATGGATGTTGGTTAACCAATATTCCCATTTTTGGTGCTAAAACTCTTGCTGGATATATCTATACAACAACCATTGGGCTCATCAGTTTTAACCCATACAAAATGGAGCCCCATAGTTAGATCAGTTGGATTCAGTTGGTTGGAACAGTTGGTCTTGAACTCCAACAACTAGAGTTTATGGATGTTTATGGTATCTATATCTCTTTCAATAGTCTGACTAGATGTCTGACTAGATGTCTATAGTGATGTTTTTTCGGGCTTCAACCAACTTATAACTGGGGGTCGGACAAACACGACCTCGTACCGTGACCGGACCGTGCCCGGGTCGGACTCGCTGCCAAAAGACTCCTCCGCCACAAAGCCGAAGGCCATGTCAGGCGGTTTGGGCGCCACTTGGGGAGAAATTTGGGGCGACGCACCTGGAGATTTTGGCCGCAGGTGGATGGTTGGTTGAGTGATATGCTGAATGAATCTTTATTTATGTGATTTAAAGAGGTAAATCCTGGGTCAATAGTGGGTTAGGAATGGGAAAACCCTGGTTTTTACTCCCAAATGAGTGGGTAAACCATGATTAAAGCCTTTAAATAGTCCCAGAAACCAATCCTGGGACGCCTGCAAAATACAACAACATATTAACATATTCCTTATCGGTTCAATTGTAGCTTAACTAATGGGGAAAGAACAAACACCATTCAGACTAAATCCAGCATTTTGGAGCGTCCAGGAGGCCTCAACGATATTTTTGCATATTTTTGCAACGATTTAACTTGCGGGTTGGGGCAGCAAGAATACGGAGTCTCCAGCCAAGAGTTGTGTCTGTAAGTGGGAAAGGGCCACCCTTCACATGGGATGACCTATGCAAATTTGGTGGATGTCTGGGGTCCTTTGAACTCCTTTGAGACTAGACACCAAGGACAAATAGCAGAGGGAAATCAGTGTGTTAGAAAGGCCCCTTCCGATTGAGAAAGTGTCACATGCAAAACTATCACTACATATATCTGGATGTATCCAGTGAGAAGTTCCCAAAGCCACACTTTCAGGCCCCCATCGGCCAAGAAACTGCTTCCTCCGATAAAACTGAAGGCAGATCCACCCCCTGAAGGGGTGGACATGCTCCCCATGGCTTGCATGGGCATGGAGCCGTTCTGGTAAGGAGGAGGTGCTGCCGCAGGCGGGCTGTAGGCCGCCTGGTTCATGCTGTTCATGGGCTGCTGCGGCATCATGCCCATGCCCATGTTGGGGGCGCAACCTCCCATGGAGCCTTGCATGTTGCATCCACCGCACATCCCCATGGGCCCACCCATTGGTGGTCCACAGCCCATAGCACCCATCCCGCAGCCGCAGCCCATTTGCGGACCGCCCATGCCACAACCACCGCAGTTGCAACCGCCGCAGCCGCCGCAACCCATAGCTCCCATGCCCATAGGGCCCATGCCGCCCATACCCATAGCGCCCATACCCATCCCCATGCCACCACCCATCCCCATGGCACCGCCCATTGGTCCGCCGCCCATTGGGGGTTGACCCATGGGATTTCCCATGGAACTGCCCATGGAGCCACCAGCTTGCGGCATGGGGGGTTGGCCCATCATGGGGGCTTGGCTTCCCATAGAGCCACCCACAGAGCCGGCCATTCCCATACCAGGCATTCCCTCAGAGGCGAGCTCCCATGAGAGGACTCGGGACTTTGATGAGAATGATTTATGTAGCTGCAAGAATTACGCTTTTAGGACATGAAACCAGGAATCGAGGTCATCAAAACCAACATGCTTTGAAGGGTTCCAGGCCAAAGAAACATGTGATAATTGTAGACACTTGGCAAACAATGCAATCTGCTTCGGTTTGTGGCCGGATTTCTGGCCAGATTGTATTAGATTGTCACATGCAAACTTGGGTCCAACAAAAGAAGCCTGGCGTGCAGTAAATGCTGCATCCAACAGTCAAGTCAATTCAATAAAACTTACATAAATTGTGCATGTGCATATGTTTCGAAACACTTCCATCACCAGCTACAGTATTCGTTTTCGCCCCACCCAGTTCAGGAATGGTTTGATTGGTCTGGTATGGGATTGAAACCTCGCTAGGATAATACATCATTTTCCTATGGAAGAGTGCATGTCTTGGGGAGAGTCCATCACATTTTTCAGATGTTGTTGTTCTATTTTTCTGGTATTGGATGAAGAGTGTGCGAGGCTGGAGATTGCACACCCTCCTTATGAGAAAGCAGTCGGCAACATCACGTTTGATGTGATGGAATGTATGGGGTATACCCTGAAAAAAAATATAGCACTCCCTTCCCCCCAACTGAGAAGCCCAGAAATAGATTATAATCAATCACAATAAATATCGTTCATCAAAACCCTTGAGTAGTCTTCAACAACTCAATATAACGTATATGATTACATAACATGAACCAATTAAAAACTCGGGATGGCATATTTTTATAAACATATTAAATAGTATTATGACTTTTAGTTTTACTTGGTATATATTTATATACTAATTACACTCTGGTTATTTAACATAGCCATGGAAAATCACCATTTTTAATAGGTAAACCATCTATAAATGGGCAATTTTCCATGGCTATGTTAAATAACCAGAGGGTATATGATATTATATGCCTAGTTCTCCGAACCAATCGCCTTCAACGGTTCGGATGCCCAGTGGCTCCGCCACAGCCGCCACAGCCGCCACAGCCGCAGCCGCCGGCGCCTGACCAGCGCTTGGCGCTCATAAAACGACTGGTGCTTTGGTGAAAATGACGAACAATATATCATAACCAGTTTATGATCATAGTTTGATGAACTGTTATGATGGTTTAGGAAAATAGTTTGGTTGACTATAAACCATAATAACTATTATATTATTATGAGAAAATGTTTCTAATTCTACTATAGTATATTATTGTGATATTAGATTTACAAGAACCATAGTAAAATCATGGAACTGACTGATTGAACATGAAATCAACTATAGCCAGTGATGGAAAGTAATTTTCATTACATTTCAGTAATGAGCAACCATGCAGGAAAGTGCCCTGCAGATGATTAAAACAATGGACACGTGCCGGCAAAAACACTTGGGTTTGTCTGAGTCTACCCTTGACCAGTCTTTCCAGTTCTTCATTTATAAAAGAATGCAATGGAATCCGCCTTTTCTTGCCTAAATGCAAGGTTTTTCACTATTTTTTCAACGGTAATTCCAGGATCCTAAAATGGAGGTACTGTACCATATTTTTGGCCATATTTTGTGGGGATATTCCCTTACATGCCCTAGAAAATAGGCCTTATATATGGTAGGTACCTCCAATCAATCGGTTCCTGAGATGGCCAGCTCTCAAGTAACACTTCGACCCTGAGAATCAGATCACCATTTAGCTCGATGATGATCCCGCATCAGGTTGGTTGGTAAATTGTCCAGGCATCTGGGCATCTGAAAAGCAATGTTAAAGTGGGATGATCCAACTATTATATTACATCTTTTCCATCATTTCCATCAAATAATCTTCCGGTTTTTTTTATTATGCTTAAACCAGATCTCATTCTGGATGTCCCAACTTTCGGTGACTGTTCAATTCAAAAAGGTTAACTTCAATCCCAGATTTTTTCATCCCTGGGCTGTTGAAGTGGGCGTTTAAGAGCGTCTAATTGGCAAATGGTCACTATTTGGAGTTAACCTCTTGTTGCTAAAATTAACTCTTGCCAGATTGTGATAAATTGCCATTGTGTCTTCCCATTTATTTTTTTCTAAAAATCCCCTGTAAACCCCTATAAATCTTCAAATACACATTATTTGCCAGCCATTCTGACAGCCATAGAATCCCTAAAATCAACGCCACCTTGGGCAGCTGCCGCGTTCGCAACGTTCGCAACGTTCGCAGGAGCCGCGGTCGTCATGTCGATGCCACCCATGAGGTTATTACCGGGCACCTGCAGCATGGCTGGGAATTAACCATGAAGAATGATGAATTTAAATCCATTTAAATCCTGTTAAATCTCATTAAACTCCCTTAGTGTTTGGGTGTTTGATGTATTTGATGTGATCTAATGGAGTTCAATGGGATTTAATAGGATTTTTCCAGTGTTTTTTCGGGGTGATGGGGAATCTCTATGGGACCTGAGTGACTTGACCAAAATGATGATGCAATGTATGGACTTACATGGGATATGATTTGGGAATAATGTCAAGTCAGGATTAATCAACAGCCCGTTATTAATCAACATCCTCCTCCCCAAAAAAAAAATGCAATTTAAAAACAGGTGGTCCCCGAGTATTAATAAACACCCCCGATTAAAAAACCTCCAGTTCTGAAATCCATTTTTTATCCAACAATTTTTATTTCCAATTCTATTTATTTCCATTTATTTTTTACATTTTTTTAATCATCATTGTTATACTTAAGGTTTTAGTTGATCATTGAAAATTTCAAAAAACAACTATTCCCCAAATGATCGATTTTTAATTAAAATCTTTATAAAAATCATCAGTTTGGATAGCTCCCAAAGGGTACCCCCCCATGAGCCCATGTCCCCCATTAATAATAACCAGGGTTTACTCCTGATTAATCAACCACCTTTCTGATCCATGAGATTTTAACAAATCCAATGGAATTCTATTAAGATCTAATTGACGTAAGCCATATCCAAAGTTTTATTCCCAACAGCAGGGCCTGTTGGGTTTCAATCTCTAGGGCTGGGGCTGGCTCGCGGGGACTTGCAGCCTTCAAAATCCGGTGGAACCCTGGAACCCTGGAACCTTGGAACCCTGGAACCTTGGAACCCTGGAACCCTGGAACCCTGGAACCCTGGAACCTTGGAATCCTGGAAAATCTGGAATCCTGGAACCTGGAAAATCTGGAACCTTGGAACCCTGGAACCCTGAAACCTTGGAAGCCCGGAACCCTGGAACCCTGGAACCCCGGAACCCTGGAACCCTGAAACCCTGGAACCTTGGAACCCTGCGACCGTGGAACCCTGAAACCTTGGAACCTTGGCACCCTGGAACCCTCAAGGATTCTGGAACCCTGCAACCTTGGAACCCTGGAACCTTGGAACCCTGCAACCCTGCAACCCTGCACACCTGGCACCCTGCTGGCACCCTGCTGGGACCCTGAAACCCTGGAACCGTTGGAACCGTTGGAACCCTTGGAACCCTTGGAACCCTGGAAACCTTGGAACCCTGAAACCGTGGGACCCTGGTACCCTGGAACCTGGAACCTGGAACCCTGATCCCTGGAACCCTGGAACCCTGAAACCTTGGAACCCGGAACCCTGGAACCCTGGAACCCTGGAACCCCGGAACCCTGGAACCCTGAAACCCTGGAACCTTGGAACCTTGGAACCCTGAAACCCTGGAACCTTGGAACCCTGCGACCGTGGAACCCTGAAACCTTGGAACCCTGCAACCCTGCACACCTGGAATCCTGGGATCCTGGAACCCTGAAACCCTGGAACCCTGGAACCCTTGAAGCCTGGAACCCTGGAACCCTGGAACCCTGGAACCCTGGAACCCCGGAACCCTGGAACCCTGAAACCCTGGAACCTTGGAACCCTGCGACCGTGGAACCCTGAAACCTTGGAACCCTGGAACCCTGCAACCTTGGAACCTTGGAACCCTGGAACCTTGGAACCCTGCAACCCTGCACACCTGGCACCCTGCTGGGACCCTGAAACCCTGGAACCGTGGAAACCTTGGAACCCTGAAACCGTGGGACCCTGGTACCTTGGTACCTTGGTACCCTGGAACCTTGGAAATCTGAAACCTTGGAACCCCGGAACCCTGGAACCCTGGAACCCTGGAACCCCGGAACCCTGAAACCCTGGAACCTTGGAACCCTGCGACCGTGGAACCCTGAAACCTTGGAACCTTGGCACCCTGGAACCCTCAAGGATTCTGGAACCCTGCAACCTTGGAACCCTGGAACCTTGGAACCCTGCAACCGTGCACGCTGCATGCAATAAAATAAACTATAAAACTTCCAAACCCTGAACCCTAATGCGCGCTGCGCGCACTGCGTGCCACACACATAAACCCTAAAACTTTCAAACTTTAAACCGTAACGCGTACTGCGCGCACAGCCTGCCATAGAGGTAAATGGTTAAACTTTCAAACGCTGCGTGCCATAGAGACAGGCTGCGCGCGCTGCGTGCCATAGAGTGCTCCTCAAAAGTGATTACATGTCATACTTTAGTGGCATCCTCCAAATTCATTAGTCAGCCTTTGTTAATCCAGGGCCCATTTTACACATGTCATCTTCTTGGTCGTGGCGCCATTTCAGGATCACACTGATGACTTAAGCTTTGGCCTTAACTATTATGCAGGCAAGCGGCATCAGCACGCTATGGTATTGGAAGACACAGGGTTTGCCCGTAGACCAGCCAAAAAAAATCGATTTTCCACACTGAACAATTTTATTTAACACATTTAGAATAGGAGCTCCGCCTGATTCAGATTTCATCACTTAAAAGGTACCCATGCCTGACTAGCCTTCATGACTTAAAGCGTAACCACACCCGACTTAAGGGAACCATGTCTGACTAGCCTTCATAATTAAGAGGTACCCACCCACGCCTGACTTAACAGAACCCATGCCTGACTAGCCTTCATAATTAAAAGGTACCCATGCCTCTGAATTAAGGGAACCATGCCTGACTAGCCTTCACAATTAAAAGGTACCCACTGGAACCATGCCTGACTAGCTTTAATGACTTAAAAGGTAACTACACCTGACTTAATACCTGATTTACTGGTTTTGCCTGATTTTGGAAAAACGCAGGGCCGGAATTTGCAGGGCACGGGCCGGAATTTGCCGGGCCCGGGCCGGAATTTGCCGGGCTGGGATTTTGGGGTCGTGCCTAAATAGGATTTTTGCAAAAATCGTGCATGACTGAAGGGAACCATGCCTGACTAAACATCATACCAATCATCCCAAAAGAATCCAATAATTCCGGCAAGTGATGCCTGACCAATCCCTGCGTCATAAAAAACCGTCTGCCCCTCCCCACCCAATAATGAACACACGGAATAGTTTTTTGTATTTAGTGGGTATTTAGTATGAGGGTGCGAAACTTCCCCCTTGGTTTAAAAAAACTAAATTGGAAAACATTTTTTAAATAAGATCTAACTAAAATATTGCCAAAATTGGATTCCGAAGCTTCCCCCTGACATTAAATTGAAAACATTTGTTTTAAAAAATGAACTTTATATTTCAAAACCGATTGAATTCCTATTCAAAATCTAACTCAAATCTTGCCAAATTGGATTTCGAAGCTTCCCCTTATATTAAATTGAAAACCTTACTAATCCCCATCTCCTTTTACTAAACGTACCCTAAATACTAAAATATTACATTGATTCCTTTTACTAGGGTCCGCGTTAAATTTTGGGAAATTTCAGGCTGGCCAGTTTGACTTTTAATTGATACCTTTTCAAAAACAAATTAAACATGAAGGTCCCATTTCAGAATTTCACCACCAAAAAATAAAAACTAGTCAGCCCCGGTGTTTTTTTAAACTAGGGTCTTTTAAGGTCGAAAAAATAAGTATTTTATATTACAACGTTTATATAATATTGGGGGAAAACTTCGAAATCCACTTTTTGGCATTGCCTGGCAATATTTTTGCTGGATGTCAAAAGGAAATCTAATCGATTCTTGAAATCGAAAAAACATAGTTTTTTTATTAGTGTTTTTAATTTAATCTTAGGGGAAAACTTCGAAATCCAATTTTTAGCAATATCTTAATTATATGTTAAACAGAAAACTAATCGATTTTGAAACAGTTCTTTTTTTTTAAATATATTAGGGCTGGTAATTTAATATTAGAGGAAACATTTCGAAATCCGGTTTTTGTTTTTATTTTTGTTACTACAATTTAAAAGGAAATCGAATCGATTTCAAAAAAGAAAAAATAATATTTTATATTAGGGTTTTTTAATGTAATATTAGGGGAAAATTTCAAAATCCAATTTTTGACCATATTCTAATTAGATTTCAAAAGGAAATCTAATGAATTTTGATATAGAAAAAATAGTCTTTGATATGAGGGTTTAATATTAGGGGAAAGCTTCGAAATCCAATTTCTGGCAATATCTTAATTTGAATTTACAAGGAAATCTAATCGATTCTGAAATAGAACAAATTTAGTTTTTTTATATTGGAATTTTTCATGCAAGATTAGGGGAAGCATCGAAATCCAATTTTTGAACATATTTTAATAATTGGATTTTAATTTGATATTAGGGGAAAGCTTCAAAATCATTTTTTTTGTTTTTTTCATTAGATTTCAAAAGGAAATCTAATCGATTTTGAAACAGGAAAAAAACAAAATGATATTAGGGTTTAATATAAGGGAAAAACTTCGACATCCAATTTTTTGGCCATATTTTATTAAAATTTTTAAAAGGAAATCTAATCGATTTCGAAAAAGAAAAACATACATAATTTTTTATGTTGGGGTTTTTTATTTGATATTAAGCTTCGGAATCCACTTGTTTGCCATATTTTAATTGGATTTAAAAAGAAAGAAATCTGATCGATTTTTAAATAGAAATATGTGTATATATATATATATGCGTGTGTGTGTGTGTTTTTTTTATCAGTATTAGGGGGAAGCTTCGTACCCTAATACTAAAGACCCCCCCAATACTAAAAATTCCTCCAGGTGTTTGTTATTTGGGTGGGTGGGTGAAGGGGCGACTGTTTAGCAACAGGGGGAAGGGATTAAACCGTTTTTTGTTTCTAATTTCAAAATCCATGAAAATAATCTTTAAATAGAATACTGCCAAGAATAGGATTTCGCAGCTTTCGCCTAGTATCAAATAAAACACCAACACCTGAATTTAAAAAACTAAAATTGACGATTTTAAAGGACGGACCCCAATAAAAGACACCCCGGTGTTGACTAGTTTTTTGTTCTTTGGGGGTGAAACCCTCACATGGTACCTTCATTTTTAAAATTGTTTCCTCAAGGGGATCAATTAAAAATCAGATTAACCAATTTGACATTTCCCAAAATTGGAAATCGCACCTAGTTTTTGTCATTTGGGGGTATTTTTCGTAATAGGGAGAAAGGATTAGCAAAAAGAATGCCTGATCAAAATGATGCTGATTCTGTGTGTTACAATCTTTTTGCCCACTACAGTGTCTACAGGGTTACAAGGGATGCCGTGCCAGCTAGAGTCCCAAGTCCATTCAACCAACACCCTAATCGATGAAGTTGGACTTGTTGAAATGGAAGTGGGACTGGACCAGTTGACATGGGGCGATGCTGACCTTCAACGGGAGCTTCGGCGCCTGAAGGACAACAGTTTGAAAATTCCGAACCTGAAATATATTTTCAAAATTGCCTTACTAAGAGTGATCCCCACCCTGACACACTATTCTGACATAGTTTCTGACATATCATCTGGACGTATATGTGGCACATATGTTCTGACATACTATCTTACATTCTTTTCTGAAATTCTATTTGACATTCTTTCTGGCATCCTATCTGGCATCTATTCTGACATACTTTCTGGAATATACTATATTCTGATCCTGCCTTGCCATGAGTTTGGGCTGGGAGTGCTTTTATTTGCGTGGATCAATGCCAATGGCTTGAATATCCCCCAAATGTTGGTTTCACATGTTTGCACCCAATGATTGCCATTACCATTGATACCCCAAAATGGCCAGGTCCTGAATTTGAGAGTAGGTCCTGAAAAGTTTTCTGGGTACTGAAAAAACAGGATTTTGGCACAGGGTCTGAAAAAAGACGTAGGTGGAAGATTCAGGTATGCTGTTGGGTTGCAAAGCTGGGTTAATGGTTCAGAGTTGCTTCTTATTAAGGGGTGTTTAAGAAAATGACCTACAAGGTAGAGTTCCGACCTTCTGGGGGGGGGGTTGATTAATCCTGACTTGGCATTAGAACCAAAAATATTAACAAATAGGATATTGTTATGGATACTTAGATATAATCATTGTTAACAAATAGATGAACCAACAATATTTGGGTTACAGTGTGAATAGATATAATAGGATATACATCTAACCCCAAAACGAGGCCATTTAAGTTATTTCCAAGATGTTGTAGATGATGTTTTCTCCATAGTTTCCACGGTTCCAACGTTTGGAACTCTTCTTGGGGTTGCAAACAAATGATCTTTCTTGGATGTTGGCCGCGGCGGAATCCCATGCAGTTGCCATGAACAAACTTTGATACAGTACTATGTAAAGAATCTGAGCGTCAAACCTCATGTTCCAATTCTTAAAACATATAAACATACTATAGCTATCTAAAGCTGCCATAAAGAGGTATATATATATATATATTACAATATATATATTACAATATATATATATTATAATATATTATATATATAATAATAATGATAATAATAATGATAATGATAATAATAATGATAATAATAATAATCATAATCATAATTATAATAGTAAGAATAACAATAGTAATATTAATATACTGCATTCCCGTGGGTTAACACATGTTCTCAGTGGAAATTCTCGTACAATTAGAGGTACCAAACATATTTTGTCTGGCTCCATGGACCTGGATGTGGAATGGGACATCCAACTGGGATGACTGGGATGTGACCGGGATATCATTTGGGATTTCATTGGAATATCATTAGGAGCCTTCCCATCAAGGACCTAGATTTCCCAGGGAAAACGGGAAAATTCACAATCCTAACTTTTGGTATGCTTTGCGATAATGATATTGAACAGGGATATAATATTAACTGGGAAAGCATCACCATAACATATTACATAAATTATCTATCTATATATATATATTTGCACACCCACAAACACACCTCTGTGGATCATCATTGGGAGAATTTGGCAACAAAATAAAGTTACACCACTCCCCCTTACAAGGCCGCACTAGCGATGACTAGATCCAATCCCAAGGCGTTCCAAACTTATTAAAAAAACAAGGTTTATTTCAAAGTTGAACCAGCTCTAAGTTGATGCATGTTCAAGCTCAGTACTACATAAACAAACCTTCAGTTTCCACCTTGTTTTAAACAAACGCAGTTTGGGTTTCTGTCGCTGGGTGGTTCCCCGTCACCCGTCTGCCTCTCCTGGCGGGATGCTGAAGCCTTGGGGAATCGCGAACCATCCGATGGCACCATGATTTGGGAAAAGTCGCGGAAATTGACCTATCAATGACTAACAGATTGCAAACTAACAGTTTGCGAACTTGAAAATGGCCCAGTCGAAATAGTGGATTTACCCATTAATAGCATGGTGATTTTCCATAGTTATGTGACAGTTTACCAGAGGGTAACAGATTGCAAACTGGAAAATCCCGATTTTGATAAAAGGTATTAAATCTAACAGAATGGCCAATTTTCAATAGCTATGTAACACATTACGGAGGGTATATCAGATAAACAAAAATTGCGGGATCATGCGGGATCTTATTAGTGCCGTTCCAACTGGCAAAGTGAATAATCGTGTGGATGGTTGCGGAATCTTGCACCAGATGGTAACTATTGGTAACTATGAAACACTGTAAAATAATAGGTTATAATGGAATAAACATATGGATAAACCAACCACCAACTGGTGCAAGATTTCGCAACCATCCACAGGTCCTGGTCACGATTCGACACTCCCATGGGTTTCGAATGCTTCGTCTCTTTACATGACCCTTTCAATGTCCACAATCCACAATTTGGGGATCCATTCCCATGATAGTGTCATTATTAATTCCGAGATTCTTGCTTTGAATCCCAGTCTTGCAGTTGGTAGTTGGTGAAACCCTCAGTCTTCTTACTCCACATACATTTTCAATAACACTTTTTGCCAATTAAAAACAAGACTTTTGTTACTTCAAAGGTCATCAAAGATCTATAGTTTTCTCCTTAGGTTTTAACCACTATTCCCAAGTTTTGCCACAGAAACGCCCGTTTTAAGCGCTGCCAAGCAACTGGGTGTCTGAGAATTTAAGGTCTCCATGAGCGACTCACCGCCACCCAGAAGGTCCTGGTCCAAGATGATTTGGATCAGATGTTCTTTGGTTTTTATAAACATTATAATAGACCATGTTTATAAAAACCATGATAAAAACCATGTTTATATGTTTTTCCATGATAAACATATGATAGACCATGTTTTTCTACATTATAAACATGTATAAAACACTATAAACTTATGATCCAAATGGCCGTTGTATAAACCATTATAAACTATGATATGACATGATAGGTGCCCCAACGGTCATCTGCATCATCTGCCCCCAACGGCCATGAATTTGGCATGATAGAGGAACTTGGGATAGGAGCGGGAGGATGAATATCCACAACCGGCCGATCCTCAACTCAATTTACAAACGCATACACACACACACACATATATATATATATAAAGCCGATTGCGGAAAAAAAGCCATTACATAATTTTTACCATCATAATATAACACATACGCACACACATACAAATATATATACATTTTAACATACGGACTTTTAAACATACGAACAGGTACAGTATTTTAGACTACCTCCGGGAAGGTCTTCCTTGGCCCGCCCGGCCATTTAAACATACGGAATCCAATTCATTTAAACATACCGTCGCTACATTTAAATATACGAACTGGTATTTCATACTACCTCCGGGGCCTGTTTTTGTCTGGCCCGCCCTCCACATATTTAAATGTCGTTACCTTATATTATAACATCCATATCATTGTAGAACTTTTGCGAATGTTATGGGACTGCTATCCATCCCTGGGAATCAACTCCTCTGAGGCAGCTGGTGCGGAGAGGCCCTGGCCGGGGAATTTCCACTTTCGCCAGGGAGAAGGGATCATGTGTCTTTTTTTTTCCCCACCTGCCAGGTGAGGGTTGTTAGATTTTATGTCAGTTGCCTCCTCCTGCCTCGTCCTCCTCCTCCTCCTCTCCTCCTCGTCCTCCTTCTCCTCCTCCTCTCCTCTCTTCTCCTCTCCTCTCCTCGTCTCCTCTCCTCCTGCTCCCTGCCGGACCTCAACCACGACCATCCACGCCCAGTGTTCCCTGCCGGACCTCAACCACGACCATCCACGCCCAGTGTTCCCTGCCGGACCTCAACCGCGAGTATTCGTGCCCAGTGTTCGCTGCCGGACCTCAACCACGACCATCCACGCCCAGGGTTCCCTGCCGGACCTCAACCGCGAGTATCCACGCCAAGTGGTCCCTGCCGGACCTCATGTAGGAAGATATGGGACAAAGAATGTGCAGAAGAAAGTTAGAAAGAATGTCAGAAGAATGTCAGAAGATATGCCAGAAGATATGCCAGATAGAGTTATGCCAGAATAGATATGCCAGATAGAAGCAGAAAGAATGCCAGAAGATATGCCAGATAAATGCCAGAAGATATGCCAGATAGAATGCCAGAAGATGCCAGATAGAATGCAGATAGAATGCCAAAGGTATGCCAGATAGATATGCCAGAAGATATGCCAGAAGGATATGCCAGACATATGCCAGAATATATGCCAGATAGAATGCCAGATAGAATGCCAGAAGATATGTCAGAATATATGCCAGAAGATATGCCAGATAGAATGCCAGAAGATATGTCAGATAGAGTGCCAGAAGATATGCCAGATAGAATGCCAGAAGATTTGCCAGATAGAATGCCAGAAGATATGCCAGAAGATATGCCAGATCATATGCCAGAAGATATGCCAGATAGAATGCCAAATAGAATGTCAGAAGATATGTCAGATAGAATGCCAGAAGATTTGCCAGTAAGAAAATGTATAAATGTAATGGTGGGGATCACACGAAGTAAAGTAATTTGTTTAAATAAGTTCGTTTATCATAGTTTATCATAGTTAATCAATGTTAATCAATGTTAATCATATAGCTTATCATGTCTGCTGTTGTTCTCTTGTTTATGTGAGATTAGCATAACGTCTTACCCATTTTTTAGCATAAACAGAATCCTTGGTTGGTGATGGCGTTGCCTTCGACATTTGGGGAGCTGGAGCCTTTTCAAAAGCTATGCGCACCAAAGAACCACTTCAAAATACATCAAATAAATGTGGGATAATATGGATGATATTTTTGTGAGCCTGAAAGCTCTTTGAACTTTTGTAGTATCCTTTTCAACGACTATAGTTTACTACAAAAGTCTTGGTAATCAACTCGTCATACGATAGTGGCTTCATCGATCGGGATTATCACCTCATTGATCCCATCTATTGATGATAAGCCATGATATACCCATTACTGCTTGGTGGTTGAGCCCTACCCCTCTGAAAAATATGACTTCGTCAGTTGGGATTATTATTCCCAATATATGGGAAAAATAAAAATGTGGTTAAAACAATAATTAATAAACCATCTCCCAAATGACCATAAATAGGGGATATAAACCATTCCCAAATGGCTAGTTTATTATTGTTTTAACAACATTAAGTTATATGGAAACTCATTTGTGGTCACTGGCAACCAAACGGCGCATCTCCATTGTGGTCCTCATCGTCCAGAAGTTGGGCCGATGTAAAGATGCGTGGTCTCTACCACGGCCCATTTATAGTAGATTCACCTATTAAACACGGTGATTTTCCAGTTCGCTATGTGACAGTTTATCAGAGGGGAAAAACCAATGGGTGTACCATGGCTATCGCTAGTTTGCCTGGATTCTTGTGTTGGTGATCACATCCAACGGTGGCAGGGCCGGCCCCAAATTTGGCGGAACGGAATGAAGGCTTGGCCGAACTGCGCATCCATCAATCATTTCAGGGTTCACGTTTCCCTGCCCCCTTGTCAAAAAAAACAATTGCTATCCGGCTTCAGACTCTGTTGAAACATCTGATCATCTCGTCCTGCCCGCAGCCATTGTCGAGACAATCCCATTGAAGACTCCAGGACAAACTAATTGAAGCCCACTGATGCCCATTGTGCCCAAAGCAGAACTAAACTAAAGTTCCGATACCCAGCGCAGTTTGCTGCATATGTTTCTTAGGTCAAAAAAAACCCTCAAAATCGAATCAAAACAGCAAAATAGATCAACTTCTTGACACCTATTATCCTACCTTTCAAAAAAATAGACAAACCATGACAAAGCTCCATTTCAACGTCCCATACGGCCCATTTTTCTCCAGTAATCACACCTCACGATGAGAATCTCCCATTTGTGGAAGATTTGACCCATTATTTCCAGGTGAAAATCCCAACCGGTGCTTAAAGTCACCATTCCCAAACATGTTTCAGATTGGGGAGATTCGGAAGAAGAAATTGCCCTGGCAATGGATTGGGTCTATTCATGGATTGGGCTCCCAGACCTTGTTTTCTTTTAGTATAGGGAAAATGTAGCCTTATAACTTAACAAATCACACCGTTGTTGATGAATATTCCAACACTTGTTGGTTAATTTATCGATCTTTCTTGCTTTATTGAGAAGAATGCTGGATTATATGCCCAGTTGAATGTACCTCTTCATTAATTAGGTACTTGACCACTCAGTCATTCTGCGGGTCAATCAATCAAATCAAATTGGTACATCATGAATACTCCAAAGATTCTGCTCGGTCAACTATGCATAATACCTCTATATATCATAACACATATTATACATCCACATATATATATATAACCCACATACCTATAAAAAAATAGATATGATTGTCAATGATTGATTGATCGATCGATTGGTGGGTTGATTGGTTGATTGGTTGATTGGTTGATCTATTCATACAACATCATACAACATCATTTAAAACCCTATCATAAACCTATTCAATAACTATTCCCTACAATCGATGCCCCCGTTTCCAATGGATTTTCCCATCCCAGCGTAGCACAGCCGCGCTGAAACGTCACGCCTCATCCAACAGCGAGGCGCTGTTACCGGGCGGCTGCGCAGGGCTGGGCTCCTGGAGTGCGAATGCCATATGAAATTCAAAACGATATACCTACGGATATAAAAATATAGATAAATATTGCATATATATAATATATATATGATCATATATATATATATATGTATGTATGGAGAGAGAGAGAGAGATGCATTATAGATGCAACCTATCTCGAAATATGATGTCATATTATCAATCATAGTCCTTGTATATTTCGATGTAAGGTGCTACTAATACAATGCGATGCCACTATCATATGAAATGCCAACTTTGAATTAAATACCACATTAGGTTACCACATACACATCAAGATGTTGGACATGACTCTGCAAGCTAGTAACATCAGTGGAATCATACTGTTCCTCAAACCCTGACGTATTGACCCACTCCACAAAGTGTCAATGCACTCCGGTACTTGACCACCCCTGCGCACCTCCATATCTAGCAAATCCACCATGGCTGGTGGTGGCGCCGGCTTCGCCTCTGGTGTTGCCTCGTGCGCCTCGCTTCGGCCGCCGTCGCCGCCCCGGGCATCGCTTCCGTCGCCCGCCGTGCGGTGGCCCCAGCGGCGATGGGCACCGCCTGCCAGGCACAAGTGATCAGGGTAGTGCCTGGAGGGCTAGAACTTTGGTCAGGCTCACATCCCCATGACATGTTGGGCGGTTCCAAATTTCAGGCTCACTTTGTATAAATGGGATATGAAGGAAACCTTCCTTTCTCACCATAAAATCGGAGGGCTAGCCGAACCGCGTCAACAATTTCGGAAGCCTCCACCCTGTACCAATCCAGGATCTGATTCAATGGTCATCCAGCAAATAAAAGCCAATGAGCTGTCGTAATAAAGGGCCAACAAAGAAGTTCACCAACACACATGTCACACATGTCCATGGAACCTAGTCCTAGCCCGAAATATTAGATAGTCCCGATATGGGCCCCACAAAAGAGTATGGATTTTGCGTACAACAAAAACAATCAAAAACACGTGGAATCCATTGGAATCCAATGAGAAGGGGCTCCTCTCGAACATTTCAAGCGAGAATATAGCTCAACAACAACTAAGCATCAACGAACAGGCACCCACTGATGGTTTGCAAAGTTTACAGGCAGTGTTCTCATTCTTTTCATACTCTTTCATATTTGTTAGGAACAACTATCCCATTGCTAGTCCAAGGCCACGCCCTCAGGCTGTGCCTGGCCCATGAATGCCATAGTTCTGCTGTCCACCTGCTGCGCTGCTGTAGCTGTGGGAGGGCGCGCTGTAGCCGGAGCCGCCACTGTAGCTACCTGGTAGGTGTCCGGTAGCTAAGTCCATGAGGTTTCAACCGTCCTTGGAAAATGTGCATTCAATGGATTGGTTTAAGGGAAAATCTACAGGAAACCATGGATTTTCCCAGTAAATATGGGGTTTTCCTGTAAATTTTCCCTTAAACCAATTAAACCATACATAGCATCATGTAGCTAGCGAAACATTGTTTGATCTTCCTGGAAATAGGATTTCATAATGATCATGACTGATGAGATATTAATATTGTCACAACATGGTGAGGTCGATAAATAAGATTACATCTCCAAATGGTAAAATTAGCTATCTATCTATATATATATATATACACATAATGCTGTATAGATCTGGGGCAGGGCATGGCTTACAGGTTTGCCATATCAATGTGGTATATTAGCCTCAATTAAAATCACATAAAATCATGCCTACATCATATTCCAGGATATTCCAGGTCATAAAATGTGGGAAACCCACTTAAATAAACATGTTGTGCATGGTTTAGCACACATGTATACACATGTATGATTTAGGGGATGGATAATTATTGGATTTACCAGGAATTTACCACATTTCATGACTAAATGAAGTCCCAGCAACTGTTGAAGCCGCCGCCAAAGCCACGGTGGTCGCCACCGCCGCGGTCGCCACCGAAACCGCCGCCCACGGCGGGTGGCCGATAGGTGCCATCGGAGCCACCACCGCTGGACGGCATCGGAGGGGGCGGCGCACCAGTGACCTGTGGCGATGCGCCGCTTGGCAGTCCACATTTGACAAACATCAAAAAAAACTGTATGGGAGTAAAGCTAATTTAATAGTATACTTAATGAAAAAACATATGTATATTTGTATTTCAATGTATTTCATAATTTAATGTGATTCTTTTTTTCCTGGCGGTATAGGGTTTTTTTAGGGGAGAGATGGTGTGTTCTATATACTAGGGATTACAAGGGGAAAGCCAACTGATTGCTCTGAAGCAAATGGGGACGACTCAACAGCGTGAGCCGCCAGAAATGGATATAAACATGACATATAAACGTGACTACTATTGTGGGTCTGTTGCGGCCATACTCAACCCAATAGCCATATCAACATCATATCATACCGCTTCAACACACACACAAAGGCAATCAGCCGCAGCTACTGAACACGTGGCCATGCTTGCGGTTTGAATCGTTTTGACATGTAGGGTTGGCCCATGTTGGTGTCCCAGCCGTGGTTCAGAAACTATGAAAGGTGCCGCTATGACTAATACTTTGAGTCACCTCGGCAACTGAGGCCCCTGGATTCGCGTGGCAAATCTTGGCCAACAACTGCCCATCTGGCAAAATGAGCTGGAGATTTGGGAGGTTGATCTTCAATTCACGGGCAATTTTTTTGTACGTCTCCCAGGCCGAATCAACCGCCTCTGCAATCAAACGATAGCGTTCTTCCCCCGCCAAAGTTGAGCATATCAGGCTGACTTCATCATCTTCGCCCACCAAATCTAGCTGCAAAGCAACATCTCTGCTACATGTCAAATCACCTATGTAGCAAATTCCCGGCTCTGGCAACGGTATATCACATTGTCCATCTCCAATCTCTCCGATGGCAACAGCACAGCCATCACTGCGGATAAGTACTGTATGATGAAGACCGGCAGAAATCTGAGTGTATGCCACTCCCCCACCCTCATCCAAGGGTGGGATGTCGCATTGTTCATGTTCGTTGTCTCCAACGGCAACAGCACAGCCATCACTCTGGAGAAGCACCGTATGAGAAAAACCTGCAGAAACCTGAGTGTACTCCAGTCCCTCGTCCAAAAGTGGGATGTTGCATTGTCCATATTGATTGTCTCCGATGGCAACAGCACAGCCATCACTCCGAAGAAGCACTGTATGAACATAGCCTGGAGAAATTTGGGTGTATGCCACCCCATCATCCAAAGCTGGGATGACGCATTGTCCGTCTTCATTGTATCCGATGGCGACAGCACTGCCATCACTCCGGAGGAGCACTGTGTGACTGGCACCAGCAGAAATCTGGGTGTATGCCAGACCCTCATCCAAAAGTGGGATTTTGCATTGTCCTTGTCTGTTGTCTCCGATGGCAACAGCGCTGCCATCACTCCGGAGAAGCACTGTATGAACATAGCCTGCAGAAATTTGGGCGTATGCCAAACCCTCATCCAAAAGTGGGATGTTGCATTGTCCATATTGATTGTCTCCGATGGCAACAGCACTGCCATCACTCCGGAGAAGCACCGTATGACTTCCGCATGTAGAAACTTGGATGTACACCACTCCCTCATCCAAAGCTGGGATGTTGCATCGTCCGCACCCGATGGAAACAGCACTGCCATCACTCCGGAGGAGTACTGTAGAAAACTCGCCCGCAAATTCCATGGCTAGAATCAGGGCCAATTTGATCTATAGATTCTAGATGGTGGGTCATTTGCACAAAATACATGCCAAAAAGTGGTCTGCCCAATAATCAATCTCATTTTTTGGAAATTGGCTTCACTTCACCGGAGGTTTGATGAGTTTGATGCGTGATAGACCACCGCAAGTGGTCAAAACCTGGCAAAGGCGGTTGGTGGTCTGCATTCCGCTGGGCCTCAACTAACTTGACTTGTCCCTGTTGATGTGTGTGCCTTTGGGTTAGTATATATATATATAATACATAATATATACAGTATAATGCATTATGTATATATATATAATAATATATATATATTTATTATATTATATAGATATGGAATGATGTGGACATTGAAATCCATATGTTTTTCATTACAAATGTTGGGTTTTCCATATCTATGTCAACCAACTGGAGGGTAACCCTATTGTGCCATGAGCATCTTTTTTCATAAGCGGACAGATCAGCCAGTCCCACAGCATCTTCCAAGCTTGCAATTGGCTGATCATCACAACCCCCGAGAAGGCGGAACAAGACGGACCCTGAAAGACACAAACCAACTACCCAACCTGTCTAATCCGAGTTCGGGCCCCCGCCAAAAAAAATGAGATGGGTCCTTTGATTGTCTTTCGCACCAAATCCTATCATTTTAGGATTTTTTGCAGGTGCCGGATATGATCAAACGATCCCAATTGGCTAGCAGCTCGCTTACCGTCCAATCGTAGGGTATATCTGGGTAAATTGGGTAAACTGTAGTATTCTACTATTGGGGATTATTTCCCTTTTTAACAATGATTCCAGTGAGGTCACAGTGAGGTCCTTAGAATTTCCCCATATATAGAAGTCAACTCTTATGGGGACGTTATATTTTGGCATAAATGTTATCGGTTAATTATATACAATGATACTTAACTTGATATTCACTATATTGGTGTGTCTGGAAATGGGGGATTTGGCACCACAAAGCGGCCAAAATTTGTTTGGTTTATAGTAACATCCCATATTGTACCACCAACTTTTGGCCATAGACAGTTACATATATAGTTGCATCCCACAAATGGCCATAACATATATCGTTATATCAACCCCATAGAAAAAAGAAAGCACACAGGTTCCATTTATAACTATTTCGGTGTTCGATTCTACTTTACTATCTCTTTGCGGGTTTCTATATAAAAGCGATCCCCCAATTATCCGCATTGTCTCCGAATTAATTCAAGCTAATCTTAGATCAAATTAAATTGGTACCCTCTGGTGAACTAACATAGCAATGGAAAATCACCATTTTTCATGGGAAAAATCACTATAAATGGCCATTTTCCATTGCTATGTTAGTTCACCGGAGGGTACCAAAATCCCATCAATCATCAAAGAATGACCATGAACAATTTCACTAAACTCCCATCCCAAATCCCAGAAAAACATCCCATCACCGATGTTTACCACCATGATTTTTCATTGATTTTCCCAACATCCATAGCTATACCCTCCGGCAATCAAAGGGGCAATGGAATTTCCTCCATTTATAGATGCTCTTCCCATTGCCAATTTAGAGGGTAAGGATAATCACATCCATAAACAGATTCTTTCCACTATTGGTTCACATCCCCATCATTGTGTCCCAATATACCCATTTATGTGGCAAATCCAATAATGAACTATCCCCAATACTACCATAAATGAGTGGTAAATATATGTGAATATCATCACCAAATAGTAGGTTTATAATTGCTTTTACTACATTATACCCATTATATCCATGACAATGTCCCCAATATCGGAAAATTCAATTGGTACCAATAATGGACCAATTCTCCACTTATAGATGTCTTTCTCACTATATCCCAATATATCCATTATATCCATAACAACCCCCCGGTAATCAAACGTGGCTAGCTGGAAAATCCTTCAACTAAACGACGGTTTTCAATGGATTTTCCAGCCACGCTTGATTTTCCCCTTGATATCCCTAGCTTGTCATCCATATCTGGGTATATTTAATGGTGGTTAATGGTGATTAATATCATGGAATATATCTGCTTAATGGTGGTTGGTGGTTATTAATCTGGGTAAATTATAATATTAACCTGAATTAAGGCCCATTTGGGGATGATTTCCCTTATAAACCATGATTCCAGTGAGGGAGAACAGTGAGGTCGTTATAATTTCCCCAGATATGGAAGTCAACTCTTATGGGGACGCCATATTTTGTGGGGATATTCCCTTACATAGGCCTAGAAAATAGACCTTATATTAATGGCAGGTACTTCCAATCAATCGGATCCTGGAATGGTCATTGACATATGGATATATCCTTAGGTTGTCATCCATATGGTACACTATATAATACTATATATACTCTACATCCCACTATATAGGTACACTATTTCATATATCCATAGTGGGATAGTTGATATAGTGTATATATAGTGTACCATAGTTGATATATCCCAATATACTATGGATATAGAAGGATACTATAGGGGGATACCATAGTGGGATAGTTGATCTCCACATTTCCCCCATGGTCTCCTTCTATATCCCCCACCACCGCCTTGGACTGGAGGTAGGACACCGCAGACATGGTGCTGGACATGGCCTTATTAAAGACCTGGGCGAGACGGGGTTTTTCAACATGGGAACGATGGGGGAAATCAACCGGAACATATATCAACATAACATAACATATCAAGATTAATGGTTATTATATGGTTAATGACGGTTCATAATAATTTATCAACCAGAAAATATATCAACATAACATACCCTCTGGTAAACTGTCACATAACTATGGAAAGATCCACCATTTTTAATGGGTAAATCCACCAACAATATGGCTGGTTGGTGGTTGGTATACCTACCCCTCTGAAAAATATGAGTTCGGCAGTTGGAATGATGACATTCCCAACTGAATGGAAAGTCATAAAATTCCATGGTTCCAAACCACCAACCAGCATTAAAATCATAAAATTCCATGGTTCCAAACCACCAACCAGCATTAAAGTCATAAAATTCCATGGTTCCAAACCACCAACCAGCATATATATGAATAGAAGGACAAATCTGGAAAATCCACCAGTGAAGTTGGAGACTTTCCAGAGGTGAAATTCATCGCGCTTTCCAGAGGTCATACCAATGTGATTCTTGTGGCCTCGAGGCCTCGAGGATGAACAAATGGTCCATTTCCATCTGGGATTGTGCCCTTGCAAAGAAATCAGGATGAACAGATAGGGTCTCTTTTCAAATATTTCTTTGATTTATGTTCGATTGCCAGAACAGTGGAAAAGTGTCATGTATATGCCTGTCTGCTCTGAGATTGAAGCGCTCGTCTGTTCTTTTGGAGTCTGACCAGCGGGATCTGAATCGTGAATCTCGAGTTCAGCTAAGCTATTGGGTCCCAATTGCATCTGTGCCGCTTGTTTTAATATTGTTTTTGGAGGTTTTTGGAATGGGTAGTTTCTTGATTTGTGTTGTATGTTGTATCTGGTGAGAAAAAATTCCAAGATTCATGGGAATTCCCCTAAAAGCATTCCACCAAAAAGTCATGGAATGTCATGGGTCAAAACGTGCAGTTTGGATCCCCCACGCTGTCGTCATCCTTCCGGGGAGGAGCGTTATCGAAATTGGGATTTCCGAAGCCGACCATTCCTCCTGAGCAAAGCTACGACAGCTACGAAGCGGTTGGCTGAGCTTCGTGACTTTTGTTCATAACAACAATGATTAATAGTAATTAATTAATTATAGGTACTATCAATAATATCCATTGATTAACTTCGGTTTTGAGCTTCGTGATGATTAATAGTACCCATCAATTATTGATTAATAGTAATTAACCATAATTTACCATCAATAATCCATCAAACATATCATAATATAATCTGGTTGGTTGGTGGTTGAGCCCTACCCCTCTGAAAAATGATGGACTTCGGACCAGTTGGGATCATGAAAGTCCCAACTGAATGGAAAACATCTTCCAAACCACCAATCAGATATGGGTATGGATCAATACCTATTAATACCATTTTTAGGGGGATGAGCATCCATTTACCAGCTATTTTGATGTTCACCAGGGGTACAAGGTTTTGACACACTGCCATATGGTGAAGTAGCAAGAAATCAATCAATTAAACCCATCGACCGATCCCTCAAGGTCCTGAGCCGAAGGATCTACCACCTCCTTCAAAACTGCCCCCACCTGGCATGGAAAGACGTGGCAAATATATGACCCTTTGCTTTGGAGCATCCATGGGTAAACCATCATTTTTCATTGGTAAATCGAACGAAATGGGCTAGTGGAAACGGTTACGGACCCTGGGGCACTACAAAAGGATGGCTGGAAAGCATCAAGATGCTGCCTATACGCGTCAGGGACACCTTCCAAATGCAGTTTGGTGGAGATTCCATGTGGCTCTGGATCAGCTCATCCTGGAATTTACATGAATTTACTGCAGTTCACACCAAAAATACAGTAACTATTGTGGAGGTTACAGGATCCAGCCCAAAGAAAATTTCAACACAAAAAATCACAGGCGCCGTGACTCGTGAGATTTCAAGGTGGGCCCTCCGAAATGGTTCGAGCCTCCACTGAAACTATTCGAGCTCAGGTTGCCTATCCTGCAGGGATCACATGGTGCAGATTCTGACTCCAAGCATCTCTAAATGAAGAAAAATACACATCACGTTTGCACCAACAAAATGAAGACCATCGAAGTGAACATGGAACATGGATGGGCCATTTTAAGTTCACTATATAGGGTGTTTTCTCACAGCGAAGTGTGACTAGTCATTGTTCGATGGTTTCTCCCCTGTGATTGGTTTTGTCGCTTGGTTTCTGTATCCCCAAAAAATCACCACGTCTTATCCTACAAGCCACTTTGAATGTTTTGCTGGGTATATGTATGCGTATATATATATATACATAAATTATATATAGACGTTACATAATGTTATATCCCCTTTTGCCGTTGATTATAAGCCCCCAACTGGCTGTCATCAACAATCATGGTGAAAACAAACCCTCAACTTCACAATCTGCAGGATGAAAATCCTAAATCAATATCTATCTAAATATCCCACTACTAACCATCAAAATTACCATATATAGTTACTTACCAGTTGAAGATGTAAATAATTGATATCCACCATGGATTCTAGTCGGGAGCCTTGAACAACCGCTCCTGCTGCTGATGTCTTCACTGGGTTCGCTACCAAAGCCTTGCATCCTCGGTCAGTAGTCCCACTCGGAAAAATAGGCGGGTCTTGGAACTGGCAGAAGCGGGACATTACCAGCAAGTATATATATAATATATAGGAGATAAATGGATGGATAGATGGATGGATATATATATAATTATATAGATAAATAGATAGGTTGTGATGGGTTTAGATAGGATTGGATAGGAATATAAAGATATTATTAGACTAGGTTTGATTAGATTTGATTTGATTTAGATTACATTTGATTTCGATTTAGATTAGATTGGATTAGATTAGATTTAGATTAGATTCGATTTAGAACCAGATTAGGTTAGATTAGATTAGACCGTAGATCAAATGATATATTCCATCAGATTGTAGATTAGATCAGAGAGATATTGGATTGGATTGGATTGGACAATTAGATTGGACTTGACAGATGTCATAAGTAATACATTGAATTATAATAATTAAGCAAAATTCCTGTACAATGTTTCCACCGGCCTAATCCGAGTTGGAATGGCAAATTATGATGGAGCACAGTGAATCTCAAAAAAATCGACACCGTTACTTTTCACCACTGGCAGAACCACGCATGAAATGGCGCCCCTACTTTTTTGTTCTTCGTCATTTTGAAACATTGAAACATGCTCAGGTTGATACCATTCAGTCATTTTTCCATGGAATCATTATTCTTCTTCCCATTTTTTTCTGCCAAAAAAAATGTGACAGGTTTGATCACCCATTTTTCATCCATTTTTCAGCGAATCCGGATGCTGCCAGGCATCTTTTTCCCTTGTCCAGTGCTGAAACCATAGGCGTTGAGCGAGGCGTTCGAGCCTTTGCTAACCATTGACATGAATGGAAAGTGGATATTAATCAATATAAAATGGATATTACTGAACAATAATGGAGATTAATGGCTATAAACTGGAATTAAATGGAGGATTAATGGATAATGGTCAAGATGGAACATGGAAAATCTCAGAGATGGCATGGATTTCATTCAAGTGAAATCCACTTGACCATCACAAAGTGTCCAAATGGGGGGAAGTCACTGCAAGTTGGCCGCGCTTGTGCCCCAGCCTTGTGCCTCTCTACTATCTAATGTGATCAACTTATGTGCAAATATGTGCAAATATGTTGAAACTATGATACATTCTGTGCAAATGATGATTGCATATGATTGCGTACATGTAACGTATGTGTGTAGATAACCAGTTGCTGTCATCAAATTACCAGCCAGACTCTTCTCTGGGATCCTCTACAAAGCCACATCGGTTTTCCCCATAGAAAAAAACCGCCATCATCACCTGTGTTGAATTTGATCCACCAGTTCATCAATATTGCTTATGTATATATATATATACATGCATATATGTATAATAATACTTATTACTATACATATGTAATCATATCAAATATCAACTATCAAATATTAAAAATATGAAATATGAAATATGTATATATGTGTGTGTGTGTGAATTTTGATATGTGCATGTTGGTGAATTTGCTAACACAAAACTCCAACACCTATGACTTCAACGTCCGAGACACTGAAGACGGCCTTCACCGCCAAGTCAGCTTCCTCTCGCACCGCCTTGTTGGGAGCATCTCCTGTGCCGTGCCGTTTGCGCCAGCGCCACCCAGGCGGTGACGGGGAAACGGGTCGCCAATATGGGGGAAATGTAGAAATTTCATGGTGGTATGGTGGTTTATGGTAGTTAATGGTGATTTAATGGTGATTTAATGGTGATTTAATGGTGGTTAATATGGGGAATATCTATGGTTAATGGTCATTAATGGTGAATTAGTGGTGATTAATGGTGGTTATTAATGGCTAATAGTGAATTAATGGGAAATTTACCCTCTGGTAAACATAGCCATGGAAGCCATGGCCCATAGAAATAGATGATTTTCCCAGCTAGAAACCTCCATTTATAAGGGATTTTCCATGGCTATGTTAAATAACCAACTGGTATGATCTATGATGATTTATGCTGATTTATCATAGTTTATCATGATGTATAATGATTGATCATTATTTTTGATGATTTATGATGACCAGTGAGTTCAATGTTTTTTTTACCCAGGTAGAATTTATATGAACTCATGGTAATGTAAGTTTTAATCCCAATATGGTGATGAGTGTCATGTTTTTGGCATCTTGGAGTCTGGGAGTTTCTAGTGCATATCAAACATAGGTAGATGCACCTATCATGCATGTACACGTCCAAACATATAGATGACCACGGCAAAATGGCACGGAACATATGTCTGAACACACACACATACATATATATATATATATATATATTTATGTGAAGATATCACATAATCATATGCAGGTATACAAGCAATGATGATATGTATCTGCGCTTCCATGAAATCCCCAAGTTGGGCTGAACCATGGCATTCTCCGGGAGATTTGGCTCACCTAAGTGAGGTAATTACAGTAATGATGAACTGATGTGCAAATTTACGGATGATCCATAAATGGATGGTCATTTAATTTATTTAAATATTTATGGATCCTCAATTTATGGATGAATTCATGATGATGAACTCAACTACAGTGAGGTAATTTTCATGATCATCCATGCAGTCCCAGATCAACAGCTCCTTTCAAGGGGTCGGGCGTGCCGCGATATTGAAGACACGCCTTGACGACTTCGGCCTGGAAGTCGCCACGTGGTGGTTAACCGGGAATTATTTTTAGCCCCTCAAAAAGAGTTGACTTCAGAAAAAAAATGGGTTATTAATGGGTTATTAATGGGTTATAACTGAGGGTTAATGGATTTCAGAAACTCGAAGAAGGTTATAATATGTTATAATGGGTTATTAATGGGTTATTTATAATCCATATATTATCATAATATGTTATAATATGCTTATAATGGGGCTATGGGCCATATATGTTAAGAATCATCGTTTATGCTCCAGAATCTTGGATGCCATTGAAACCCAGCGAAATATGACCTTAAACAAGGAAAATTAACCAGGATTAACCAGGATCATCTAGATGCACTATGTTGCACATTATAACTCAAATATAACTCAAATGGGTGTGTCTGAAAATAGTGTACCCCTTTTTACCCAATGGTTTTGCTGATCATTGTCCCTATTAAATGGCTATTTGTTTGGGAATATACCCTATTTTCAGAGAAACCCAAATAGGAACCCAAAAATCCTTGGCCCAAAACGGACCCAAAACCCACCCGATATGCTGGTTTTTTCGCTCACCACTCATCTCATGGGATGGGGTTGGTGGTTGGTATCGCCCAACCCCTCCGAAAAATGATGGACTGAAAGGACCAGTTGGGATCATGACATTCCCAATATGATGGGGAAAAAAACATCTTCCAAACCACCAACCAGTTTTTACTGTACTTTTTTTCTTTAGACATGTGGTATAGTAACTATATTACTATATATAGAATTTCTGGGAATATATAGATCATATTTCTGAAACCCGAAAAAATCAGGCCTTTCTCTGAATTGCGCGTTTGAACTCGGGCTTTCCCTGTTCGCACACCTGAAATCATCGAGCGTCATGTCTGGATGGGAAGAGTTGTCCAACTTGGGTTGGTTTCGACCAAAACGGGCAAATGAGATGCACAGAAAACCGTAAAGTCTGGATACCCTCCTTGGTAAACTCACATAACTATGGAAAATCACCATTTTTTATGGGAAACATCACTATAAATTGCCATGTTCAATAGCTATGTTAAATTACCAGAGGGTAATTGATACATCACTAAACCCATAAATGTCCCATATGTACAAAGATGAGGCTGACAACGTCAACACGTTGTTAGTGATATGCACATATTCGTATGAAAACTCATGAATCAAACAACGTTGATGTTTCAGTTGCAGCCCTGACAGCGCCATTGTGAACCCAAAGAACTACAGTACAGGTCCAGACATCCATCATACAAAACAAAATCACAACCCACCAGGAACATATCAATAACCACAGTCCATGAAAAGTCTAATTTCCATATCCTGCCATATCCCATGAATATCCCATCAATATATATCAATATGGCATGAATATACCATATTTATATTTTTCTTTTCCATATCTTTCCAGAATGTTCCATCTCCCATGTCCATCCATTTCCTGCCAAGAAACATGCTTGATGATCTTCAAACATTTCAGCTTTACATGCGGATTGTCTTTTTCAAGCCTCGAAAGACTAACCGCGGTAAGTCCGCAGTGAGTTAATCAAACGTGGAAAAAACACCCGGTCAAAATGGCGGTTTTAATGGGAAAAATATCAGAAACTCTGGGAAACTATGAGAACTTCATTCATAAACGGCAGATTTTTCCGGCAAGCCATGTTTGATTACCGGTACAGTGGTTGATGGTTTACCTCCCATCCCAAGCATATGAATGTCAGTCCTGATATCATCCCAGTATATGGATGAAACCAACAACCCGATCTGTCCAACATTTCACAATGAATCCCCTTCGGCATCCGAAGGCCCAAAGAAAGTGCTTCTTCAGAGTCAACATGAATAAAACATAATAATACTACCCCATGACATTATATATATATATAACAATAAATATATATATTGTATATATAAAATAATATAAATATATATATATATATTGTGTATATATAATATAAATTATATATATAATATATAACATATATATATTATATATACTATATTATATCTATATAGGGAGAGATATCCCAATTGGCTTCTGGAATCTTCTTGATACATACACTTGCTGACCTATGTCATTAAACAGTGATATTGCGCCAGAATATAAGACCAAGTGTATTTAATATGACCACACATAATAAATCATAAGAATATGGTAATAACACGTTAAACATTGTTAAACATCTCGCCGGGTTGGAAATTGTGACTGGCAAGAAGTCAATCATGCGTTTCACAATGTTTTTTCATGTCTTTATGTTGTCCATGAAGGTCAATTCTATTGTGCTTTTGAACTTTCATTGGGATTTACTGTATATAGTTGACATGTCGGAGTGCGAAAATGGTTCCTTTTGGGAAGTCAGCGTGCCCAAAACCTCAGTGACAGCCATTTTTTCCGGTGATCTCTACATCTTCGCTAAGTACGCACCTGTTTTCTCCAACAGGGCTTTTCCAACTACATTTGCCTCCCATCGCCACTGCCATGTGCTAACGTACGTCCAAATGAGGTCATTCAATTTTTGTTCGTTTTCTGGGCAAGATGTCAACTGATCGGGAACTCTGGCTTTGATCATACGCCAGCACGAGTCGATGGGAGTGCGCAAGTACGTGAACGTTATTGCCCCACCCCACCCCACCCCTGCGTGACGTGACACATCTTCAACGTTTTTTTTGCCGAATGTGCGCACGTGCAAGTGAACGTGCCGTGGCGTAACATCATGGGAGTGCGCAAGTACGTGAACGTTATTACCCCACCCACCCCACCCCAAGGAACATATAAAAAAATGCCTAAAACGCTCGGACGGTTTTCAACCCGTAGGCTTAAACATGGTTAAACATATACACAAATACATATACATAAATACATGAACAACAGCTTGGATCCTACAAAATGGTCCAGATCCTCGGAGCGAGGGGCTTTTTGATGAGGTAATCAGCCAATTGCTGACACGCATTCAAGTCCGCAAAGGTGGACTGTGCTATCCTCGGCGAGGAACGCGCTGCTGGTGGTGGATTTGGGAACTGGGCGCCTTGGGAACTCACATTTCCTATGTTTAGTAAATTCAGCACCAAGTTTGGTCGATTTTCAGGGCCAACATGGGCCAACTATACACCCATCCATTCCCTTGGAAGACTTTCAGATATTTTCAGGGCCCACCATTCCCAGCATTTCTTATATTTCTTGATCGTTTCTACCAAGCATCTCGGTGTACAAATAGCCCGGCGTGGGCGTGTCATCCGCACTGGTGGCTTTGTTCAGCGCCGACCGGTCCATGCTCCTGGAAATGGCTGAGTAAACATATGGATGTACAAATGGTGTGAATGGTTGGGATTGGTTGGGTTTAGTAGAGAAAAATGCTTTGATGAAATATATTGAAATATGATGTGTGAATCATAAAACATCATAAAACTATACCAACATATACCAACGGTATCAACACTCTGGGAGGCTTACAAACCTCAAAACGTGTTGATGACGGCTACCACCTGTCCTTCAAGTAAGGAGCCGGGCGGCCGTCGGCGTAGCTTGAACCAAACACGGCTGAGCTTCAGCGGAGCTGAGAACGCCCGGCGAACGACAGAGATGCCTAACAGAAACCAACTAAAAGGAACGAAAATCATTCAAGAAATGATCCAAAAACCTTGGGTTGGGAATTCTTTGAATAATTTAGCAATAGTTAATGAACAAAAAACAACATTAAACTATTGCTAAATTATTGCAAATTATTGCCATATTATGCCATTTTTCACTAGTTTAAACTATCCATCACCTTGACCCCTTCCAGGTTCCAAGTGTTCCACATTGCGACTTCCTGTCGCGACAAGTAGAGAAGAGAAAAAGTCCTGCCAATAAAACTGTTTGACCAAAAATAACTGTGTGATACTAGATACAATTAAATTAATGTATCCGTAACGACTGTCCGAAGAGTATATGGAGAGCTCAAACCTGCCAATGTCCAAAATGTCACATGCTAACGCACTGGCATACAAACAAATGAAATGCATGTTGATGTGGCTGATATCAACCCATGGCTGGTCACCATTTGAGTCGTAAGCCAAGGTCAGCTGGCTGGCCCCTGGGGTCACCGCTGGCAAAGCCTGGGCTCGAACTGCCTCCAGTTGGGCGAGTCGAACCGGGCGGTAGCAAGGAGAGAAGATAGATATGGAAAAGGTTCCATAGGAAAACGATCTACAAATGCCCACAGAACCTACTGTAACGTTCGCCCATGATGACGTAATATATCTCATTTTTCCACGGGTTTTAACACATGTTTCATCCACGTTTCAAACCGCCTTGCAGGGATGGACGGTACACTGGGTGTGGCCCCTCGCATGCGTACGACACAAAATTTGCTTCATGGCTCGTTTCACAACAATTTGCGGCAACAACCCTTCGCAGACTTCGTGGGGGTCCGTGGAAAAGAAGGGCTGTTTCGTGCGAGAAAACACAGGCTCCGGGCGAACGTCCGGTTCTGTGCGTACAAATGGTGACTTATTCACATACACACACACAGGTATCTATATATATATATACGCTGTATATAATTTGAAAACAACAATAATGATAGAAACAGCAATAATAGTAATAACAAATAATAATAACAATTATTTCTATATAAATATATAAATATAAATATGATATATAAATATATATAATAGAGAAAAATATTGTGTGTATATATATATATATTATAGAGCCCAGCTTTCAAAAATGGCTGGAAGTCAACGGAACTTGCCGTCTGAAGTTTCAGGAAGCTCCTGAATGCCAAGTAGCTAAGTCCCATCCAAAGCCAAGAAACTATATCAAATCTATATAAATCTATATCATATGTATATATATATATTAACATGAATTAATCCACTTACTCACCATTCCTCAACTCTAGATGTAGATCATCATCCCATCCAGATGAACACCATCTTGGCTATTGTGCCTATACTATAGAAGTTGGCCTGTAAAACAATAGGGGGACTATCTTCTATCCCCAATTTAGTCTCCTATCAATAGATAGGGATATTGAATATTATTGAGTGATATTCAGCATATAGTTTTCTGCCGTCCATATGGTTACTATCCCCATATGAACCCACCAGGCCCCCAAAAATAATGGCCTTGTGGCTATCCTGCCGGACATCGGGGTGGCAGGCGCCCTGGGCGTATAATACCCTGGATGGAAGCCAGTTGGCAAAGCACCATGTGGGAAATGGTTCAAATAGTGACTAGTGAATTTTGAGGATGGTCTATTATTGGGTTTCTTCAACCTCCAACCAAATCGACGAGTGCACCATTTCTTGCTGAAATATCTGATTTTTGTGAAACAATTCACTCTATCTTTTAATTTTTTTGGGGCACGATTTACCGTTTTTTTGGTAAACCCAACAATGAACCACCCCAAAAAAAACATCCACAGTCGGTCCTTTTCAATCATCCCAGTCATAGGGGTCCTTTTCAAACGAGGTACACCCAATTTCATGAAAACCTCTAGGGATGGTAAAAATAAAAAACTATAGTTATCCTCTGGTAAACATACAAAAAGCTATTGAAACTTGCCATAGAAATAGTGGTTTTTCCCATGAAAAATGGTGGATCTTTCCATAGTTATGTTAGTCCTCTGGTATCCTACATCCATGAAAAAATCCAACGATCATCCCATATGAATTACTCGATATCAGCGATATCATCCCAGCACTGGGCTGGAGACTCCCCGGTGAATTAAGATGGATTATCATCAGTTTCCCATAACCTCTGGTAAACTGTCACATAACTATGGAAAGATCCACCATTTTTGATGGGAAAATCAACTATTTCTATGGCCATTTTCAATAGCTATGTTAAATTACGAGAGGGTAGACTCTTCGGAATGGATATTTATGATTCTGCTGGGTGAATTACTGCTTGGTGGTTTAAAAACCATCTTGGAACATATGAGTCAATGGGAAGGATGACATCCCATATATTATGGGACATAATCCAAATGTTTGAAACCACCAACCAGACAATAATAACTCACTAACCGTCACTAACCTGAAAATAGCTGTTATCCATCACGGCCAGCTTTCTAGGGGATGATTCCCCCAATCCATTCACCATCATTCCAGATTCCAGTCACGACGTGAGGTCACGATCAAATTCATCCAGATCAATGACCATTCCATTAATCATCCCATTAATCATCAATCATCACAATTAGCCACAATCAATCACTATTAATTGTTAATTAGCAGTAGTTAACTATCCTATAAGTCATCCAAATAATATTGCTTGATATCCCAATATATCCCTTCCCCCGTTCATATTAAACATATCCTTTGAAACCATGGTTTTGTGGGATTTTCCACATTTTTTTTGACCACAAAAAAGGGGTGTTTAATGTTAAGGGGATGGAATAAAAAGGAACACTGGTCATTCATCAATAATAGTTCTATAAAGGATATATTGCACAAGTTATATTCCATTCATATTTCATCAATATTATAGTATAGTTATGTACCAGCTATATATCATGAAACATATAATATATATATACACCTGTTCATAGTTACATATACCATACCATTAATATTACAAGTTACATATACCACATATCGGTCGTTGTCAGTATTTCATAGATATATAACTGATAATATATACAAGTTATATTCAATTAATTGTCCATTACCCTCTGGTAAACTAACATAACTATAGAACATCACCATTGTTCATGGGAAAATCCACTATAAATGGCAATTTTCAATAGCTATGTTAAATTACCAGAGGGTAATATTCCAAGTTATATCCCCATGATATCCCCAATAAAAACTCGGTCGCCGCACCTGCTTGACATCACCTGGAGGAGTTCAGCTCTCTTTTTTGGGCTGCAAAAGCATGACCCTACGATGTCAAATGTTGAAAACACGGTCGAAAGAATTTCAAACAAAGTGTAACAAATTTATAAAAATATGTGATATGCATACATATATATATATATAAATATTAATATATTATATACGTATAACTAAATGTTTATAAAACAGGTAACAACATCGATTAATCAATGTAGTTCCATGTAAAAATGACTGCCATCCTTTAAGATTGGTGTTTCGATAATCTCAATTTCTAAAAAAACATGTTTATCTTTTACCAATGTGAAGTCACATATGAAATTACAGAATAACTTGGGCACCCCAGAACCCACCAACCCACCTGCCCCACCTGCCCCGGCACCGCCGGTGCCATGGTGGCCATGGTGGCCATGGCCACGGCGAACTCGGTCTTGGGAAAACGTCCCGCCTGAGACTACGCGGCAAAAGCAGCAAAGATGGGGATCAAACCAGCAAAAAACGAGGCGAAGAAGATGGCGATACACATCACTACTGGTGGAGATTCTATCACCTATTGGTAAGTTAATATAAGTTAATGTCCTATTATCACCTACTCTTCTCGTTTTCTTTTTTGGTAAGTTATAGTCCTATTGGCCGTTGCGTAATTCATTGTTTGCTGTTGATGTAACCGCAACTCCTCTTGAGGTCTGCATGGTCTCTAGCGACAGCGTCATGTTTCAAGGTGAAAGTCCCAATGTTTGCTGTTGAAAAATTCCCTATGTTCGCCGGGGAACTCCCCATTCTTCCCGAAATCCTGTTGAAAATCTTGAAAATCCCCATTGACTGCTGGCTAGATCCCTGAATTATCTATAATTCTAACCAAGTAATTCTCAGTTTTGGATGTTCAAATCCGCTAAAATGTTGATGATGCTGGTTGTTTTCTTGCTACCAACTACCAACTGGGATTGTTTTGGGTCCAACCTTGGATCATACCCTCCTGGTACATGGCTGGAAGATCCCTGCGGCCGTGGAGCTTTCGTTCGCTAAAGTCATGGAAGAACATCTGGGACATATATAAAATATCATATCATAGTATAAATGGAGGTTTAATGAGGTTTAAGCATATCAAAGCTGTTTTATAGCAGATTTTCCACTGATGAAATCGCATGTCTGGGTCATGGATGGTCATGCTTCACCATTTCCATCCTAGCACTCCGGAGGCAAAGCCAGGGTCACCCACCAAGCTCTTCAGAAATCGCACCAAGTCCTCGGCAAACGAGGACTAAACGCGTGGCTTCCGTCACGACTAGACCGGACTGGTTGTTTGGTTGGTGAAAATGCGTCATGTTCTGGGAAAATCATAGGTTAATAATGGTTAATTATGGTTAATGATTGTTAATAATGGTTAATTATGATTAATGATGGTTAATAATGGTTAACTATGATTAATGATGGTTAATCATGGTTAATTATGGTTAATAGTGACTAATTATGGTTAACCTCTGGTTAGTCATGTTTCCTGAACCATGTTTGGAAGCTTGATGAGTTTGAAATCCCTGGTTGGATGTGCATCCCAGCTTTTAACTGGAGTATCATCAATCTTTAACTATACCCTCTGGTAAACATACAAAACGCTATTGAAAATGGCCATTTATAGTGAGTTTTCCCATGAAAAATGGTGATTTTCCATAGTTACGTTAGTTTACCAGAGGGTAACTCATCTATATCCCACATATAATTGGGAATATTCCACCAAAAAAAACTGGGTTTTGTTTCAGTTCCGAGACTTGTTTATGAAAATGGTCAGCAACAAGTTTCAAGGTTAAAAACCCATTGCGCCCTAAAAAATCCAATTCTTTGGTGGCACCCCCAGTGCCCGTGTCTTGTGTCTTCCAGGTCCCCAGGCTACAAAGTGAGGTCTGAGACGTTCAGAGGCGTCAACGCAGCGGAGCGCCATCCTCGGGCGAATTTGTGAAGGTTTGGCCCTTTTTTTGGGGGGGAAGTCATCGATACTAATGGTAATACTAATAGTCATCCATAATAATAGTGGGTAATACTAATGGTAATCATATGTGTGGCTATAAGCTTGGTGATGGTGATAGTTCATTTTACATGGTGATAATAGATAGTTCTGCGATCCGTGGATATAATATGAGATAATTCTTGGGGCTGCAGTTGGGGTTATTTTTGTGCGTATCACTTGGGTGAGTTCACCTCCAAAAGCTGGGATATGCCCCCCGGCAAGCATGTAACAATGGCCTATGGTTATGTATTTGCTTATAGCTGGAACTGCAAGTAAGCAAGTATGCATCTGGTATCATCTGGTACTTGTACCATGGTCTGGCGATGGTATTTGGCCTATGGTCATCCCACCGTCACTAAGAATTCGTTTTGAGGGGTAGATTAACACCTTTTAGTGGTGGATGACCATCCCCTGGCTGGTGGAAACATAACTCATGCTTTGGCTGTGGCACATGTCATTCTTCGGAAAAGGTGACTGCAATGATATCTATACCTTGTGGGGATGTAATCAATGGTATATATGGGGATCTGGATAGATATAGCAGCGAAACATCATGATAGTGCGGTTTGTCTGGAAATGGGGTATGCCGCCAAATAGCCAATTGGATAGGGCAATGATGAAAAACACACGGATTTTGAGGTACAACTCTAAACATTTGGGACAAACCACCCTATCCTTACCACCCTTGTGTCAGCTAATATATAGCAGTACCATGGATGATCTGGGATGGAATGTGGAATTATGTTTATATCGGTATCCATCAGTGAGATTCCCTAAATCTGATTGATTGTTATTGGCTAGCTCGTCGAGAATTTAGGAATATATATATATTATATATATTTGGTTGATGTATCTTGAGAATTAAGTGAAATATGAATGTCAGTTACATTTAATGTATCTATATAATTGGCTGATGTATCATCATTAATGCATCAATTGGCACATCTGATGGAAATGGATCGGTTTGTCATGCCGAACAACGTGCGGCTTGGCAGCGAACGAACGCATGTCGACACACCAGGTGTTTTCATCACAAAATACTTACCATCCACATTAGCTCCCATGTCCAAAGAAACTTCCCCTATATATTTGCTACCTAAACCTATAATATATATAAATATATTAGTTACCTAAACCTAAAATTTTAATATTTCCAACGGTTTCCCTAGATATTTGATTCAAACGCCACGACCTTCCCCCAACCGCTTGCGCGCATGGCAGCCCTGTTTGGTGACCACCCGGCTGAAGCTTTGTCCAGGATCAGTGGCCAACGGAACGGAAGGGCGGGGTCATTCAAAGGACAGAAACAAAATACGATGTTTTGGCCGCTTCTCAGAGAAAAATAATGATGATATTAAAAAGAATATTAATAACAGTAGTAATAAAAACCACACGTGTATATAATTGTATATATATATATATATATAAATGTGCCATGTGTCGATGTCAAATGATGATTGGTGCCCCTTTTTGTTGGATAAACATGATCAATAAGTTGCTTACTCAAGGTTTAGGGGTGGCAATGATCTACTTTTGGTGGAGAAAACATGGATATGCTCAGCAATTTCATTCCCCATCACAAGCACGTGATGAAATCTGATGAATGCGAACCCTGGACCAGCCCAAAAAAGTGAGAAATGGCTATCTTCAGCTTTTGTAATGACAATCACTGCCATTTTTGAAGCATTTGAAGGGATGGGTGGGGGCCAATACATCCCACCCAAAAAAAAAACAGGATTAAACATGCTCATGAGATTGGCAGGTTCTGTTTGCCATCTCTCATTTTGACCCACGCCCACCTAACAAGAGGCTCCCTGATGTTTCCGTGTCTTTCTGTGAGCATCACCGTGTCCCAGAGACTGCCCTTACGCACAAAACCACAGATGGATGTCCCTTGAAATGGACCCTAATACCATGCGTTTTTATACTGAAAAACTGGTACCTGGTTGGTAGTTTCAACCCCTCTGAAAAATCTTAGTCAGTTGGGATGACTATTCCCAATATATGGAAAAATAAAATTCATGTTCCAAACCACCAACCAGATATATTCTACCATCATTAACCATCATTAACCATCATCAACAATCATTAACCAGCTAACGAACTGGATGATTTTGAGCTCCTCAGAACAACCAAAGGATAAATGACCTGGGCATCTCTGCGCTCACAACTCACTAACCTGTAATCGCGAGCGCAGTCTGTCCAGGGAGTACTTGGCGCTTTCCTGGGGATAGATTGCGAACGTGATTGGTTGGGTTCCTCTATTTATGGGTTATGATATGTTATAATATATGTTAATATATATATAGCTCCTATTTGAAAACAGAATATCAACAGGATATTCTGATCAAAGGTGATTTGTGTTTATTGGATTATTGGATGTAGAATGTATACAACAAAATTGATATATATATATGTAAAAATAAAATGGTAATGATTGTACATACTTGAATATAAACATATATACATTAGCATCTCCCAGACTAACACGGACCGTGAGAATCACCCATTTCTTGAGGGAACAAAACATACTCCAACCCTCAGCTCATGGCCGGGTAAAACCCTTAGTTGGGACGATGGTAAAAAACCTACAATAACTATGCAACCAATCATAATTCTTTATATTTCACCATTATCATCCCCATTAATCACCATTAGAATCCAGTGTCTATTAAATCACCATTGATCCCGTGGAATGCCCATAGCAAACCCAATTAGCCTCCAGTAAACTCATACGGATATTTGGATCATCACCATTTCAATAGGTAAATAATTATCGGTTTAAATCATCTATAAACGGCTCATTCCCCATAGCTATTAGTGACTTTGAAGGGCAATCCCTGAGCAAATCCCCATGAACATCATGAAATCCAAGGGGCCCAGGGTTGGTTCAGCTGGTGCCTGGCTGCCTGCAAGTTCTGTTGCTGCTGGCTACCTCAGGAGCGTCCCGGAATGGGTGATCCACCATGGAAAGTGGAGCTTTTGCCACCAAAAATCAGAGCTATGATGATTGGGATATGGGAATTTGGATGGAATTTGGATGGGATATGGGATATGTTGAGCATGAAAAAGTGGACTGTAACCAATATGGCAGTATGCAACTATCCAAAGATTATTTCGTTGAACAAATGAAGTGACTACTTGTGTTGGAACTAAAGGGGATGCTGAGGTCAAACATTGGGATTTAAGCTGCCAAACATGGATGTGAGTGTGAAGCGACAAGTATGGGAGCAAATAGTTGATCTTCAAATCACAGCAATGGGGTGTTCACTTACACATTTTTTTTGGTGCTGAATCTCGCCAGGGATTTTTTTCCCCCTGCCCCGGGGAATGTGTTTCCTGATCTGTTCTGTTTTCCCTCCCCTGCATGTATCCTGCCACTTCCCTTCCATGCTGCGTGCTATTTGCAGCATTTTGGAGCTGGAACCTTTCATTTTGCGTGTTATTTGCAGCATTTTGGAGCTGAACCTTCCATGCTGCATGCTATTTGCAGCATTTTGGCACTGGAACTTTTCATTTTGCATGCTATTTGCCGCATTTGGGCGCAGGAACCTTCTATTTATCATGCTATTTGCCGCATTTGCGCGCAGGAACCTTTCAGTTTGCGTGCTATTTGTAGGATTTGGGGGCTGGAACCTTCTATGTTGTTGTATTTGTTGTTGTTACGTTTGTTGCTGTTATGTTTGTGGTTGTGCTGTCTGTTGTTGTAATGTTTGTTGTTGTTTCTTTGTTATGTTTGTTGTTGCGATGTTTGTTGTTGTGATGTTTGTTGTTGCGATGTTTGTCATTGTGATGGTTGTTGTTGTGATGGTGGTTGTTGTTGTTGTTGTTGTTGTTGTTTGTTGTTTGTTGTTGTTGTTGTTGTGATGGTTGTTGTTGTGATGGTTGTTGTTGTTGTTGTTGGTTGTTGTTGTGATGGTTGTTGTGATGGTTGTTGTTGTTGTTGTTGTTGGTGGTGTTGGTGTTGGTGTTGGTGTTGGTTGTTGTTGTGATGCTTGCTGTTGTGATCGTTGTTGTTATTGTGTTTATTGTTATGCTTGTTGTTGCTGTTGTTGCTGTTGTTGGATATGCGCAAATAAATAGCCACAAAATATGTATCTAAATGACTACCTGTACATATGTATGTATGTATATAATACATACCTGGATCGCCAAAATTGCAGGTTTTCTTTGCAATTTTTGAATTTCACATCACTTTGGTTCTTTTTCCATGGTATAACATTTTTTATGATCACTGCCATCTAGACGTATCACTTTCCCATTCTGGGTATCCTAGCACCAACCATCACCACCGACCCGCCACGGCAGCTATATTTTTAGTGGTACAGTGGTGCAGTTGCTGGTTGCCTGGCTGGCTGCCTGGCTGCCTGGCTGGCTTGCTTGCTGGCTGGCTTGCTTGCTTGCTCGCTGGCTCCCTTGCTTGCTTGCTTGCTGGCTTGCTGGCTTGCTGGCTTGCTGGCTTGCTGGCTTGCTTCCTTGCTTGCTGGCTTGCTGGCTTGCTGGCTTGCTGGCTTGCTGGCTTGCTTGGTTGCTGGCTGGCTGGCTGGCTGGCTGGCTGGCTTGCTGGCTTGCTGGCTCGCTGGCTTGCTTGCTTGCTTGCTGGCTGGCTTGCTTGCTTCCTTGCTTGCTTGCGTGTTTGCTTTGCTGGCTGGCCCCCTTGCTTGCTTGCTTGCTGGCTGGCTTGCTTGCTTGCTTGCTCGCTGGCTCCCGTCTTTGCTTCCTTGCTTGCTTGCTGCCTTGCTTCCCTTGCACACCAGTCTGCGAGAACTTAGCCGAAAAAAAATCCCCGGGGAGGGGGAAAAAATTCCCCGTAAAAATAGGGTACCATTTTTTTGGAGAAAATCCTCTCATGTCACTCAACATGGCAATGAAAAATCCTTTATTTTGTTTGTTTCCCCGAGTTTTCCCTTCAATTTCTTTGCGAAAAAGCATGTATACTTTGCCATACTTTTTCCAAGGGGTCATCCACATTAAATAACGGGCGTGGATCCAAGCTTTGGAGATTCATATGATTCATGCCCGCGGAAGAAGTTGTGTTCAATGGCAATGATCATTCACCGGGGTACCAACAATACTCGTAGAGGGTCTCAAAATCAATGGATTGTCCAATGAGTCTTGACACACCCACTAGTATTGAACACCCCATAAATGGTCTCAGTCATATGTCATTTCACCCCCTACATCCACCATGGTTTCTGCGGGGTGTAACCCTAGGAGGAAAGCCCAAATGGATTGTAAGCCTTGGAGCGGTTCAAAGTGATATCCCATGTAGTATAGAAGAGAAGAAACATTCAGTTCGCAAAACCTTGAAAAAGCGAATGATCTACCCGCAGTGTCTAACAAGAGCAATAGGCGATTATGTGGTTCCCATGTCTAGAGTTGTCATGAGTTTTCATCATCCAAATAGATACCTATCCTGGACATGAAACCCCCAAAGAGGCACCCATCCAAACATAAAACATCATAAAGCTGCACAAATTGCACCTACCAAACTCATTTCAATCAGTAACTAAATGAACGCAAAAGTATGCAAATATCATCTTCCCAACCGTCCCAACCCCATTTTCTCATCAGTTTGTCCAAAAATTGGGAATTTGGCACCCCTTTCATCCAATGGTTCATCATCACTTCCCCCCTAAAATGCCTAACAATCAACCTATTTCTTTGAGACCATCATTCCCGCGACATTGAAACCACTAACCGGCTCTTTATTTTATAAATAATGTTCCCAGCAAAAATCCATTGACTGTAATTCTACCCAACAATAGATGGTCAACAAGCCCGTACTGGTGCTTGCTCGTGCTTGACAAGCCCAAAGCTTAAGAACCTTCTTACTTGGTTCAGCCTATGTGAAAAACCCATGGGTTTCCCCCCGTTCAAAAAATCCTCCAAGCCACGTTCTTCTTGTAGCTGACCCCGGCGGAGTTTCAGCTGCCTGGCGACAGTCTGATTGATGTTGGTTACAACTTATAATAAAGTATAACTTTGTGGATATGTTATATAAAATATGGATATATTCATCAACTAGATCTGTTATATTTATATATATATATTATGTCATATTATGTCATCATATGGGTATTTTATACTCATCCAAAGGTCAGCCCCGCGGCCTCAACTTCTCCTCTGCCTCACGGTGTGCCACCGTGGTCGCGGCCTCCAGCTCCACCTCGCCCTGCCCTGCCACAGATCTTTGGCAGAAATCTTCGTTGATCAACAAAATGAATATGAAAAAACATGAAAGTATGGGTGAACCTTGGTTGTATTCAACACAAGTTGATACAAGTTCTGTACTCAGCAAATCAGTGATCCAAGTTAAGCAATAAAAACACAACAACAAACAATTGGAACTTCAACCAGCAAAAAAGGTGTGTTTAATCAGCAAACCAATGGAAATTCAGAAACAAACATTGGATTGTAACTGGCAACACTGGGGATTGACAATGGTGAACGCGCTTTGAAGCAACAAACAAAAGTTGTGCAAGCAAAATGGGTTTTGAACATGACGTAATAGACCAACGGAATGAAAATTGCACCAGCTATAAAGGCTCTCATGGATGAAAAATCTGGATTTCATCACTTCAACGGATGAACATCGCAGCAAAACTGGGAATCGAACCCTCCAAAAATACCGAGTGGGATTATAATGGGATAAACCATCTATCAAATTATCAACTGGTGCAGGATTTCTTCCATCCACCAAATACCGAGTTGAAGAACTCCTGAGGTTTTGATCACCCCCGGGTCCTCGCCTTTGGCGATGTTTAGTCTAAGTTGACTGCCTCGAAGTGAGCGAATCAGTCTGTTTAGACCTCGTTTCTCAGGTCCACTTTTTTTTTTAAGATAGCTTCAACGGCTTAAACTTTTATAAGTAATACCTTCTGGTAATTTAACATAGCTATGGAAAATGGCTATTTATAGTTGATTTACCCATTAAAAATGATGACCTTCCAAAGTTATGTAAACGTTTACCAGAGGGTAAATTGCCAGTTGCCTGTCACCTTTTCACTATCACCTTTTCGGCCCGTGGTGTCACCCTCGTGGGGATGGACATCTCCAACAACCCTGATGAGCCAAGGGACAGTCCCGTTGCACAGCATGCAACTGCCTGCAGCCGGAGATTTGACAATGTCCGAAAATACTGAGAGATATGAAGCAACAAATGATGAGACACACTATATAATTACATATATAATCATATATATATAAATATATATATATATATATTTTTACTATTGATCCTCTAAACTCTAATGGTTGTATTGTGGTGAATGTTGTTGATACTTACATTCACTATATTGACGGTTCATTTTTCTGGTTGACGCTTATATCATATGTTGACCATAGATTAAGTATTGTTAAGCTTGATCCTCTAATCCTCTAACCATTTTTACTTAATTATCTAATTTTTACGCTGCCATTTTTATCGCCTTTTCAGATGGGCCCATATGGTCCACCGTTGGTTCCGGGTCCGTTGATCCGGCTGAGGCGCTGCAACAGGCGCTGCAGCTCCTCCTCCTTCTCCTTGGACGTTTGCAGCGCCACCTGCTGCTGCCGCTGCAAGCGATCCGCCTCGGCGGGGTCCTGAGCGCCGCTGGGAGCCCCAAACATTCATGGATTTAGATGGGGATTAGATGGGAATTATATGAAGGTGATATGGAATATGAAGATTATGAGGGCTTAATATGGTTCAATACGGTTTATGATTATTGGCATATCGGTTGATGTTCATCTCACCAAAACTGTGGCAACTCGGTTCTCGGTTTTGATTCATCGCCGGCGCCTGGGAGCTGCGACTTTGGAAGCGCAGCGCGCCGGATTTCTCCGCTGTCCTTTGCGCCCTTCGGAGCTGTTCCACCAGCTGAACGATGGGCTGCCAGCAGGGAGCACTGGACCTGGCTTCGACCGGTAGAGTGGTTGGGATGTGGCCATTGAATGGTTCAAGTTATAATTACTATAACTGGTTTATTGATGTTCCCGTTTGATTGCTATTACTGCTTCATTTTGTAGTAACTCCTAATTAGCATGCCCGAACACCTCGTTTCGTCCAACATAAGTTTTTTAAGGTTTTTGGGTTTAAAAATCAGAGCTTTAAACTTAAGTGTTTAGGGTTTTAGGTCGTTTAGGGTTTTCCCTTCATTTTGCATGGTGTTTAAATGTTTTAGGGTTTAGGGGTGTAGCCTTCAGGATTTGAGATTCTACGGTTTTGGGAAGGGTTCAGGATGACTTGTGCAGTGACGCTTAAAGATCCTTTACCCAGCTTTTCAGGAATGTCAGAATGCTCCGCGGGCAAGCTAAACGAGGTGTTTGGCCGCCGAAATATTACGCATGCACTCTTCCATATAGCGGTGATGCATAAATTGTGTATCTTGCACTTGCATATATAACTTCACAAAATAATGGTTTCCAGAAAACTGGAAGGAACGGCTCAAACAAACTTCATAAAAAGTGTGGTGATATACCAAATCGTTTGAGTTAACCACAGAAACACCAGGTCTAAAACAATTTAGACCCTTTAAGCAATTACCCCAAACAAATGGTAAAAAAATGTAAATGTAGTGAAAAAATGGGGTTAACCACCATTCTTATGGCTACTTGGGATTGTCGAGGAATATTTCTTAAAATGATCGAACATGAAGTTATCAACCAACCATTTGCCCAACGATTCAGCATTTACAGGATCTATCTGTTCAAAGGCGGGCCAAGTTCTTCCATACTTTTCCCAGCTGAATGATCAATATTTATAGGTCCCCAAATTTGATCAATTTTGCCCACACACACATATATATAATATATATCATCATCATGCCTATTAAACCCCAATTATACCCCCCAATCTACCGAAGAACCTGCAGTTCATGCGGGGATTTGGGGATCGTTGTCCCAATCCAATTGAACCTTCAAAAATAACTCTATCCATCCTATTTCATCTCATGAAATACTAGTTGGTTGATACGTTTCCCTGGTTTATCATCCACAATAAAATAGGTATTGGTATAAGTCCCAATCAAACTATTATGATAGGATTCCCTATGGCTTCCCTATGGCTTATCATCATCCCCAATACCCCCTGGTAAACTAACAGTTAAAGTTAGTTATTTTTTCAACGGCCCACAGAAACAGTTGATTTACCTACAATAAATTGTGATTTCCATAGGTTTACCTATTAAAAATGGTGATTCGCATTGATTTTCCAGTTCGCAAACTGTTAGTGAAGCAGAGTTACCAGAGGGTAAGTCCCTCTGGCAATCCACCAGGGCACAGAAGTCTCAGGTATCGCAAGACTTCTTCCCACAACTCGGATGTGGCGTCAGGCCCTGACCAGTTGTGGCCAAGTGACGATTGGGGCCAAATGGAATGGTTTTTTCCCGATGGAACAAATCGTCAAACATGTGGGGTTCTGCAGGGCTAAAGCGTAAAAAAAATGGTTCTAGCATAGTGTGACCATGAGAAATTAGGTTTTGGCATATATGGTTTTCAACCCTGAACTGGACATTGTCGTTCATATATGAATATATATGATATCCGCCGTTGGCAGTCATAATATGGGCCCGCAAGTCACGAAGAGTTACAATAGTAAATCAAGAATCAAGGTTTCGTTTGGGGGGCATTTTTGGTACGTAATATATCTTAATACATAGGGGAAAACATCTCCAATTGGCACGGGCCTGAAGCTGGGAAAATGGCACAACCGTTTTTACCTTGACGAACTAGCCAAACGAATCCAAATGCCAAATGGCAAAAATAAATAAACAAACAAATGAATAAACATGCACTGTGGTATAGTGCTTGTGACTCAGCCGTGGTAGACTTTGCGAAGCCATTTCGAGAAATTTTCCGACAGTGAATCATCGCATATATTCATCTTTTGGTTACCCCTCAGAAAAAAAATCATGTCCCAATATATCTTATAGAAATAAAGAGTAATATTGTTCCATATAATATAATCATATGTAATCAAAGCCTTCCATATTCATACTTCATACCCCTTGGTTACCCCCGAAAATTGCTTGAAGGATCTGAAACGACGCACAACACATCTGCAGGCCCCCAGATGTCCCGGTTCTCAATGATTGCCGCTTTCTATGGCGATAGATCAGCACTATTGGCCCCAAAATGTGAGGTTTCACTCTGTAAATGACCAAATTCATTGGTCTAGTGCTGCCCCAAGTTGAACGAGGCCCATATCGATGTCAACGCCGGATTCACTTTGGTTGATTATATAATTAGGAGAGTTCCACCCTACCAGTTATGTCATCTGCTACTAAAGTGGTCCCCCCCAAATGGTCAAGAGCCCATATTGATACTGCTCGAACATACCTGTAGGCAGCCGTTTCAGCACGCTGCCAACACTCTCCGTCCACTTTTCTTGGTTGCCTCTTTGAGCACCTCCGCTTTGGTGGGGATTAACCATGCTTGAAAGACAATTTCAAGTTATGGTTCACCTGCTTTGTGCGCAAAGTTCAGCGCCTGTGGCAGTATGAGTGTCACCGCCCGGGCGAGAGCATCACTTCTCGTACAGATGAACCATTCCTGATTTTCTATCTAGAAAACTGGTTAAATCGATGTTTCATTGACCAAACCGAGAAAACTATATACGAATTATAAAAAACGATCATTTATATGTATATATATATACACATATCTATCTATCTATCTATCTATTTATCTATCTATCTATCTATCTAATCTATCTAATCTATCTAATCTATCTAATCTATCTAATCTATCTATCTAATCTATCTAATCTATCTAATCTATCTATCTATCTATCTATCTATCTATCTATCTCTCTCTCTATCTATCTATCTATCTATCTATCTTATCTATCTGATCTATCTTACCGATCGATCTATCTATCTATCTTATCAATCTATCTACCTATCTTATCTATCCATCTATCCATCTATCCATCTATCCATCTATCCATCTATCGATCTATCTATCTAGCTATCTATCTATCTATCTATCTTATCTATCTTATCTATCTTATCTATCTTATCTATCTCATCTATCTCATCTATCTCATCTATCTTATCTATCTCATCTATCTCATCTATCTTATCTATCTTATCTATCTTATCTATCTTATCTATCTTAACTATCTTATCTATCTTATCTATCTTATCTATCTTATCTATCTTATCTATGTTATCTATCTTATCTATCTTATCTATCTTATCTATCTTATCTATCTTATCTATCTATTCTATCGATCTATCGATCTATCGATCTATCGATCTATCGATCTATCGATCTATCGATCTATCGATCTATCGATCTATCCATCTATCCATCTATCCATCTATCCATCTATCCATCTATCCATCTATCCATCTATCCATCTATCCATCTATCCATCTATCGATCTATCGATCTATCGATCTATCGATCTATCGATCTATCGATCTATCGATCTATCGATCTAACTATCTATCGATCTATCTATCTATCTATCTAATCTATCTTATTTATCTTATCTATCTTATCGATCGATCGATCGATCTATCTATCTATCTATCTATCTATCTAATCTATCTTATTTATCTTATCTATCTTATCGATCGATCGATCTATCTATCTATCTATCTATCTATCTATCTATACGTTTGATCTTAAAAACTATGTGTGCCGCGCTTTCTACTTTGAGTCAGCTCGGCAACCGAGACGGCTGGTTTGGCACGGCAAACCTTCTGCAGCGAAGGAATGTTGCATTTTGCATCTGTACTCATTCCAATGGCAACGGCACTGGCATCACTCCGCAGAAGCACCGTATGAACATAGCCTGCAAAAACCTAATTAAAGGCAATTCCCTCATCCAAAGCTGGGATGCTGCATTCTCCTTCTATATTGAGTCCGATGGCGACAGGCGACAGCACTGCTTCCAGCTGGTCGGCCAAGGAAAGAAGCTTCAAAAACTCAGTGCCACCCTTTTCACAAGCCCCTGTAAGCAGCTACCATCTTCAATGGTAGCTGATGCAGTTTATGGGCTAGTAGTACCAGGGTATGTGCCCCCTCCTCCTCCTTCCATTCCTCCTCCCACTTCCTCCATTCCCCCTCCCACTCTTCCAAGGTTGGTGGCACAACACCCTCCCAAACAATTCCATTCTCTGGCCACCACCCAAGGCCACAATCATCACAGTTTCCGCGTGGTTTTCCATACTGAATTCGTAGAGTCACGCAACTCGCCGTCGCTTTGTACTTTGAGTCACGTCAGCGACGGAGGCCTCTGCATTTGTAATGCACAATTCGGCCAACAACTGCCCGTCAGGCAAAATGAGTTCACATTCATTTCGCGTGCAATCTTTTTGTACGCCTCCCAGGCCAAATCAACCCCCTGTGCAGTCAAACGAAAGCGTTCTTCCCCAAACAAACTCGAGCAAATCAGGCTGACGGCATCATCCTCCACCACAGCCTCTAGTTGTAAAACTACGTCTCTGACGCACGTCAAATCGCCAACATAGAAAATTCCCAGTTCTGGCACTGGAATGTCGCATTGTCCATCTGCATTGCCTCCGGTGGCGACAGGATGGCCATCACTCCGCAGAAGCACTGTATGATGCACGCTTGCAGAGGCCATTGCAAGAATCAAGGCTGTTTTCGTCTATCCAATCCCGGAATAACGGAAATAGCGGCAACTTTGAGACACTAATGGTGGAATTTGCAGCGATTTGCTTACACCCTAAAATCCAGACCATCCAACTTAAACTACAACAAAAACTATAAAAAAACAGCAACAAACACACATAGAATCAGATCAACACACGTAACATCACAGAATGCGATGGGAAACATCCTGCAAGAGTTGGTGACTATTGGTGACAATGAATCTATAGTGATGGGGTTATCATGGGGAAAAAACATCTACCAACCGGTGGATTTCGCTGGCCCATCCACAGTATGATCCAAGTGAGAGACCCACATTGGTTCCAAAAGTTCCAATCGCTACTGGGAAACGAAACGCCATGAGTAAACCCTGGGCCATCCTTGGGGTGCATCATTTTTGCATCAAATGAACTCACTATTTCATCAACATCCAAGCTTGACATTGTACCACGGCGATCCATTGGGATGCGTTTTTTTCTCCATGGCCATCTCCAGTATTCCTTTGGGAAATTTCTTGATCTCGAAAAATCTTTAAAGGAGAAGATCACCTGGCAGGCACCAACCACTTACTTGGGCTTGCTGAAAAAAATCCCTCTGGTAAAGTAACATAGCGAACTGGAAATTTACCATTTGGAATAGGTAAATCTGCGAATGAGCCATTTTCAATAGCTATGATAAATTACCAGAGGGTAAGGCCGGCAGGCACCCCAGGAACCAATTTCAAACATTCACACACAAATATCATATGGTCATATGTTTGGCTAGTAGTGATATAGCACTGTTTCCCATATCATATCCCATTTATATCCCATATCATATATAGCAATTTACATCCCACAAATATGTTTGGCTAGTGATGTTTTGCATTGCTTCCCATACCACAGCCCATATCAATATTCCCATATGTTTTGATCCAATCAGCCAGCTGCTATCCCTTTATATATGTGGTGGTAATGCCACATTATGGTTGGTTAAACATCTCATGATGCCATAAGTATGGTTTATTAATTATTAATTACTAGCAATAATTATGGTTTAACTATCGTGATATCCCAGTATTAATTATTGCTAGCTAAATCCTACCCTCTGATAATTTAACATAGCTATTGAAAACGGCAATTTATAGTGGATTTACCAATTGAAAATGGTGACTTTCCATAGTTATGTTAGTTTCCCAGAGGGTATGTCATATCACCATCATGATAGATGATTTGCCCATTGTCTCCCAATATATTGCATCATACTTTTTATTGAAGCCCAATAATCAGGTTCCTTTGATATCATGGCTTTTCACTAATCAAAGTATCATATCTGGTTGCTTACACCCTATTAGTTTCCATATCATATCTCCAGGTTATATCAATTATATCCACCATTTCCAGCTGGTAATCCAATATGGCTATGGAACATGGCCCATTTAGTTCGATGATTCGCCTAGGTTTTTTTTCCACATCAAACTGCTAAATTACCAAAGGGTGTATCCACCTAAACATTAACACTATGGTTCCCATTTTGATCAATATTTGTGGGTGTATCACTTCTTTTTTCATCTATTGTTACCCCATGTTGATTCAATCCATCCACAATCCACTCAAACATCTTAAAACCAAAGACCTCACCGACCCACCTGCAGACTTTGGTGTCACCACTGGCGTCGGCGTCCGGTTCCCTGCTGACAACGCGGCGCGGTGCGCCAGTGCTGGGTCGGGCGGCCGCAGGTGCTCGACTGGCACTGCACCCTGACGTGCCTGGTGGAGCGGGAACCAAACAAAACTAGCAAACATGTCGTGAATAATGGGCTAACTAAGGCTGGTTATATATATATATATATAGCAATGGCTATTATAATTATGGGTCAATGGTTGTAGAACAACGACCAAAAAATCATGGGTTCTTTCTGGTACGATTCAATGACAACATGTTTAAATGTAATAATGAAAATACAATAATGGTTAGATTCCATGTTGAATATTCAAGATAATGGGATCTACCCTCCTAATGTGTCATCAAACACTGGGAAATCCCGAATTGACCATGATGAAGGTAGATGGAACACGTTATGATGATGTCTTTGTTTTGGGGGGAACTGGAAGTCAGTTGTGCTGGGGTGAAATATACAGTATACCCTCCGGTAATCAAACAATGGAAAAATCATCATTTATAAATGATTTCCTATTAAAACTCCATTTAACTATAGCAATAGAAAAAATCCATGATTTTCTGTTGCCACGTTTGATTGCCGGATGGTAATTTCTGCAGATCTTGATGAACACGACATCTTACAACCTAGTCTTCCCACATCTTTCCACATCTTCCCACCTGCAAGATCATTTCAATCACCTCCTCATCTGACCTGGGGGCCAGGTCAGCCAGAATCCACCGGCTTTCGAGGACCCGTGTAGCTTGTACTATGCTATACTCCGTCGATCATTGTAGCTTATAGGGGCCCCGGAACAGATGCCGAAAACATGTTCCAGGATGTTAGTTACTGTTAGTTCGATGTTTCACCCATAATTCCAGGTGTCCAACGTTTCAATTTTTTTGGGGGGGTTGCTGAATATTCTCGTCATTTTGGCGACTTGAAATCCTCCAACTGGGTTCATCTTCAACCCTGCTAGGATCTAAATCTGTAGTTCCTCTGAACTTTCAATATTCCCAAAAAATCTCAAACTTTGCCAAAATCCTTCTCATATTCTGACCAAAATCACGAAAAAAAAACCTAGATTTTCTTGAATCATCCCTTAGATCTCCATTTTTTGGGTGAACAAATCCACCACCGCGACTTCTGCGGCGCCCAGGGACTTCTGCGCCGTTCTCTCGCTGGAGATGCCACGGTCCAAGGCGAAGAAGCGCAGCTCACGCTTGGGCAACAGCCGGAGCCTTTGGGCCCATGGCCCAGCCCAACGTGGCACTGTTTAGATCTGGTGGCTTGGAAGATGGCTATCTATCTAACTAATTCTAACTACCTATGGTGTATAATCATTATAGTGGTTGATATATTATATAATGGTTATTGACGTTATTGGTTAAAGATGGGTTAAGAATGGTAAATAAAAATGATTGTAAAAAAATGGTTAAAGTTAAATAGTAATTTAAAACATGAGTGAATATAGTGCGAAAATCATCAACGGGGATCTCTCGCTCTTTCCATTGCCTGAAAGCGTTTTATACATGAGGATATAATGGACGGTTTTAACATGTTTTAACCATTTTATGTAATGGATATATATCTGGTTGGTGGTTTCAACCATCTTGATAAATATGAGTTCGTCAATGGGAAGGATTACTGTCGATTACTGTATCTCATATATTTTGGGAAATAAAAAATGTTCCACAACGATATAAGCATGGTTTCTTTCTATCATATGGGAGATATTGATCATGCAGGTACCAGGCAGCCCTTGAAGTGAACATGGTTGCCCTGCGAGCTCCAATCAGCATTCTTGCCCTGGATGCCATCATGTCAACCGCCCATCTAAGTCAACATATCAAGAACACATTTAAGTATTCTGAAGTTGCAACCAAAATCCATGCCCCATTAATTTAAGTTCTCCTGATTTTCAGGCAACCACATCAGATCAGGAGGCCTATTTGTATTACCACTGGGAATCTCCGACCGCGTCCGGGCCGCTGCTCCGCGCAGTTGAGGCTGCTCAGGGCTTTTGGGGCACCCATCCGCAAGTACCTGGCGGATCCAACAGATCTGCACCTGGCATTTTGGTCACTTTTTCTTGGGTGTGTGTATATATATATATATTTTTTTTAAAAAAAACATGCATTTATATAAATATATAATGACTATAATGGCTTGCAAACATCCACTCCCATTGTTGTTTTCCTTTTCAGCATGTATATATATATATATATATATATATATGTGCTATGTGTGCAATCCACATATCAGTTCCGAATCAAAGCTGATTCAAGACCAGTAGATCCCTTGACAAGTTGCCAACGTCTTGGCGATCCCTCGCCTTCACAAATGAATGCCCACTATCTTCCCATGAAAAAAATAAGTCCCATTGCCAGGTTAGCCTTCCAAAAAAAAAGTACATCTATCTATACATTTGACATATATATATATATATTAATATAAATTTATAGATATAATATGTACTGTATATATGTGTATTGTATTCCCATTACATGACATATATGCAGTTGTACCGGGGTAAAAATCTTTGACAAGTCCCATCAAAAATCGGTCGTCATCGACGAAACCCCGGTGAATCCACCTGGATTGTCCAATTCCCTGCGAGGCCTTCCCACTATGGTTATACAGTTCTAATAGGGGTTAAAACAATCATAAACCACCCCATTTTTGATGGTTTATAGCACCATATAGCACCTAGAAAAATGGTGATTTGGGGGACACTTTATTGTTGTTTCAAGCCCATAAAACATCGATTAGGTGGTTGTTATACATCTACAACCTGGTTGTTCCAGTCATCACCCATCACCCTGGGTCCAATCACCAGCCCGAGCCACGGTTCCAGATTCACCAGGTACTGCTGTTGGTTGCCATGCACCGTGCCCGGGCGACAGACACGCGACCATCCGATGAAGGAACCTGGGATGCGATCCGATGATTGTGCTGAGAGCCACCAAACATGGGAAAACCATGGGAAAACCACGGGAAAACCATGGAAAAACCATTGGAAAACCATAGGAAAATCCTATTGTTGAGAGGTTTTTAGTGGTACACACCCTCTGGTGATGGAATATGATTTATAACACGGATATCGGGATATCATGGGGTATACCGTACACTGCAAAATCCCCTATAAATGAAAGGTTCATAGCTGGAAAATAATAAACCTTTGTTCGTGGTGGATTTTCCAGCAAGCCACGTTTGATGACACCGGAGGGTATAATATGGGATACAACAATATGGGATATTATCATCTATACGACTTGGAGCTCCGAGCGGTGTCCCATTGTTCACAGGGATTCTCCGTTCATCACTGGATAGTCATCATTCACCATCCTCCCATCGGTCAGATCATCCACATGTAGGGTACGGTCATATCTCAATCTCACCTATATACTCGTAGCTCCGAATTCCCCAAATCTTTGAACATATAAATAAATGACATCATATAGGATATGTATATATATATATAAATATGATCTTCACTGATATACATGGTCAACATCATGTCAGCATCTTCATGAACTATCTTCATATAAGCAGTATTTGAACATCTATGACACATCGGCCACATCTGATTTTAAATGCCGAAAAAAACTGCCGAAATCTCAATGAGGTATTGTAAGTTGGTGTATAGCCCCACGAAACATTGAGTTGGTTATATATATATATATACATTAAAAAATGTGTAAATAAATATATATATATATGCATATACATATATGGTTCTATAATGTTTTATTCCCCAAAAACCATCATAGTTAATCATATTTATGTAATCATAGTTACATCATAGTCATATACATACTATGTATATACATATATATATATATATAGTTAATATTGACAATCCCACCCCCCCCACAAAAAAAAACATCGAAAATTCCGCCTTCACCCAGGCACGCGCGGTGAAGCCGCAGTGCCGTATGGCATAGGCCCCGATCAACGTGGCCGTGCGGCCCAGGCCGCTGCGGCAGTGCACTGCGAAGGCCGTCGACGGCGATGTCAGGGACTCGCAGGTGCTGAGGAAGCGCTGCAAGATGTCCACGGTGGGACAACCTGGTGGAAAAAACTGTAAAAAATGAGATGACAAGATGAGATATGTATGGAATTCTATATGTATATTGTTTATAAATCCGTATAGATATTTATTGTTATATATATAGTAATATACATATGGAGATATATTTGAGATGTAAAGTGCTGATGGATGTTGATGGTGTGACTCAGTGGATTGATTTGAAAGTGGGTGAGTGGGGGTGCTTTTCGATGGTTCGATGGCTGGATGATTGTTTGGCGGGGTGCGAATTCTGTATCATTTTGTGCTATTCGGTGGCGATCTAAGTACTTACATCAGTTGTGAATGATGGTGTGATGATGGTTGGTTGATGATCTACACATATCTACATGATGATGGAGGCTTGCTTTTCTGTGCTATGTTCTGTTCTATTTCATGCTGGCTATAGCAGTTCTTGATGATGGTTTGGTGATGTTTTGGGGCTATCTATCTATCTATCCATCATCCCCAGAAGGATAAACCACTGATTCACCACTGGATAAAGCCTCGATGATGAGTTCCCAGCTATCGACCTTGGGGATACATCTGCAGCAGATAAGTCTCATGAGAAGTCCCATGATATCTCCCAATTTCGGATCTATAACAAACCATGACTGGTTGGTGGTTGAGCCCTAGCCCTCTGAAAAATGATGGAGTGAAAGTCAGTTGGGATGATGACATTCCCAATATATGGAAAGTCATAAAAGCCATGTTCCAAACCAGCAACCAGATGAAATACAAGCATTATGAAACATGAATCATTTGTAATTTACCATTCTTAAGCACCAGTAACATCCATATGGTCCCACTAGCCACGATGAATCCCACCAATCTGCGCCTCCATCTTCGAAGGGAAGCCAAACATGTCCTCAAGGCCAAATGAGGATGGGACTTACCCTGGGAGCTGGATACAGGCTCCGATATTTTTATAAAACAACATTATATTTAAATTTATATATTTATATGTTTATAAATACATATATATATATATATTGTAGATGTAATTCTGCATAATTAAAATCATATAAGATCATCAACAGAATGAATGGTGTGTATATATATATATAATTTGGAAAAATGCCACTTAAAATGGGCCGGCTTTCAGAAACATACGTTAAATGCAGTTTGGACTCCGAGGAATACCATCTATGACGGTCATGGACGGTCCCCAGGATCCTCCAAAAACCGTGTTTGTCTAATGTGGTAAACCATGGGGTTTAGCATCGTGTTTACCATGGTTAACCCAACCCTTTAATGCAGTAAAATGAACAATCAATGCCACAAACCATCCCCGAGATCACCAGAAATGGCTGGGTATTAGCATCATCCGGGAGCCATCACCCTACACCATGCACTAACTGGATTTTCCATTACAATCATCCATTTTTAGTCAGTTTAAAAGGACTTTCCATTACAATCACCATCCAGCGATTGGGAATCCCCCTAATATATAGAACCCCCCAAAAAAAGCGGTAATCCCAAGCATCGGATGCCAAGCCGTTGAAAGCGATTGGGGTCGTAGCAAAGGAGTTCGCGTCGCTGGTTCTGCTCCTCGGCCTCTGGGTTGTTGCACTGGATGATGATACCAACCTGGCAACGGTGTTGCATCCCACGAGGGTCACGGATTGCAAGTGGAAAATGGGTGTTTCTGGGGGGCGAAGAGACGGCTAGTGCACCTTCTTTTGACGCTTTATACTTAATACCTTAATAACCAATGAGTTATAGGTGACTAGGCTTAATACCTTAATAACCAATGAACTGACTAGGATTCGCTGATCTTCTGTGTTTCTGGGGTTATAGTACAGAAACTATAATGATGGTGTCAAAATGGGATAAGCCACGAAGGGTGGGATGATGCTCCAAGAGAGGTTGATGATCAATGGGTTGGCCCCCTGGCCCAAGGGAAAAATGGTGATGATCAACATCAAAAACGTACCATGAACATCGGTGAAAATAGTACTGTTTTGTTTTCCTGGCTATGGAAACGACACGGTATAGAATAATTAAACAGTAATAGCTCTGATTACAATGATTGATGAATAACACTTGAGAATTGCTACATGCTCATCACATTCATCATCATTCATCTTACCCTCCAGGAACAACTCATATAGATATCATATAGATATTGGAACATTCCCAACATATTCCCATGGTAAGCGTCGAGAAATCAAGCATAGAAAGCTTGAAGATCCCAGCGGAAGTGTATTTTTCTCATTAACCATCGACATATCCATAGTCCATGCTATAGTTCTTGGAACAAAAAAGCACATTACCCCCTGGTAAACTAACAGTTTGCTTGAACATGGCCCAGTCGAAATAGTTGATTTACCCATGAACAATGGTGATTTTCCATAGGTTTTTGATGGTTTTTGTATGTTTACCAGGGTAGTGGTCATAAACCGGTCGCCTTGTTCTGCTGGAAGTACGGGACCAAATCCTGAACAAAAACTGGAAAATCGGGTCGCCAGTTTTTTCCAGCGATTCGATGATGATCGATTCACCAAAACAACGGAATTCACCAGCAAAAAGATGCAAAAAGTAGGATGAAGTTTGATGCAATGATATCCAATGTTTAGATTTTAGATGTTGCCAGAAAACTCGCGAATTGTGGTTCGTAAGTGGGGTATATCACAATACATCCCAATTGTCAGGGGTTGTAATCCTCGTAGTAGCCACTGAGCTAATTCTGACAACATCTAAGCGTTTTAAACCATACTGAGAATATCAATTGATTGGGAATGATTCTTCAAAAGTGACACAACTCCTGGGAGCCAAAAAGCAAACAGAAAGGCTTCTTGGCTTTGTGCGCTCGCTTTTTGGATGCAGGATCGCCAGATCATTCCGCAATGAATCAGGGATCTTTCGTCCCAAGTAGTAAAGCGCAACATGAAATGAACAAATCAAACATGAAACCGGGGATCAGGGGATTAAAAACTATAGGTGACTATATGATGCAATATGTCTATATATGTCTCTCATTTCCAGAATTCCTGACAAGTTCCTCTGCAGCACCAAGAAACTGATTGTCAGTTGGTAGGTTCCCCTCAACTGGGATGTTTGTACCAGTTCGTAATTGATGTATATTTGTAGTCATATACAATATGTAATTAATTACTAACTTTAACATGTGTATATATATATATATATTGCATGTGAAATACGCGTATGTGTATATGCATATATGCAACATTCAGCAACATGCAGCATTAAAATATGTATCTCAACACATCCTTCATCCGAAGTATCCCAGGCCTCTGGGGTCAAAACGCGAAGGTTGTCCTCAGTGGGGAGCTAAAATTCACCTTCGAATGTGCGCCATTTAAGAATCATCTTCTATAGCATTCCGTTCAGTAACATTGGAGTACATAGGTGCATGTAAAAAGTTAGGAACATGAACCTATAGTTTTCTATTCATTTTGGGTCATCAATAAAAACCTCACAAACATCTTCAAGCCGTCACAAAAAAGGATCAAACGTTTCCAAAGGGATGCCCTAGATCAGCCAAAGTTTACAGGTGTTTCAGTACATCTTATGGGGAAAAACATGTATTAAGAAAACAATGACTAGATATAAAACTAGATATCTAGTTTATAGTCATGCCCAAATAGATGGACAATTACATCGCAACTAATTTGACAATGGCATAAATTTGGGGATTACTATAAATGATAGTCGTTAGATATCATTCGAAATCATATCATTTTTGCAATGGCTATTTAATAGTAGATATCATGAATTCCCTCTAAAACCCAAAGTTTGTTCCAGAAATATCGAAAAAGTCATCGAACATCACCTTAAAAAAAATCTTTAAAAGATAGGTCAACCATGGTAAATCCATGGTAAATCATCATGGTTTTCTCATCACTTTGCCGTATACGCCGTATTTCTTCCATACCCCGCTGAACAGCGAAGTCGCCGTGTCATAGGGCCGGCCCCAGGGGCTCGCCATGGCCACAGCCTTGCCCTGGCACGGCTGGAAACTGCGATAAAAACTGGGAAATCTATGGAAACTATAACAATTTGAGTCATCATTCACTGGATTGGTTTAAGGGAAAATCTACAGGAAACCATGGTTTTTACCATCAAATATAGGGCTTTCCGGTTAAAATTTTCCCATCATCCAATTCTATGAATCATTCCATTCTGGTTGCTGAAAAATGATCAATCTATTTGCTGAAGATGGTTGAAATTTCCAAGTACCCTCTGGTAATGACTAACATAACTATGGAAAGATCCACCATTGAAAAAATGGGAAAATTCACTATATAGATGGGCCATTTTCCATAGCTATGTTAGTTTACCAGAGGGTAATCACTCTTTAACTATAACTCATCTATATCCCACATAACTGGGCTATTTCGACTGGGTCATTTTCAATAGCAAACTGTAACAAATTACCAGAGGGTCACTCTGGTTGGTGGTGCAATGTGCCCATCCTGAAAAATGATGGAGTTCGTCAATGGGAGGGATGACATCCCATATATGAAATGGACAATAATCCAAATGTTCGAAACAACTTTAGTAACTAGCGTCAATATAGTAACTAAAGTGGCAAATATGTGGCAAGCATTCATTATGATTATGATAAATTATAATTTTAATCGTGGATTAAAACTGATCATTCTGATTTAAAACTGAGACAACGGATTTAACAGCTGGCAAGAGCTGGCAACGGAAGTTCCGCCGCCTGTTCGAAACCCGGATTTCGTGCGCCCTGAAAAACAGAAAGCCGTGATACACAACAAGCAGCTAGCATCAGCTAGCCACAAATCATCCGATAGAAATCGGAAACATGGGTTTCAATGGGTATAAACATAAATAGAAATGATGTTTGAACCCAATCTCACCTACCCACCTACCCAAGCAAGTCCAAATATCCTATCCATCTCTACGTTTGGGAACCTTGATAGATATTTTCACTCACCATGGACTGCTCGCCTTCAACAACCACGTCATATCGCCCCGCTCAGGACGTAGCAAGGCAGCATACTCCTGGCTGACCACGGAATAGAAAACACCTCGGTCATTGAATTGGGCCATTTTAACGGCAATTGACATGTTTATTTGGTATTTTATGATTCCATCACAAGGCAGCTACCCTCTGGGAATGACTAACATAACTATGGAAAATCACCATTTTTACTGGGAAAATCCACGATAAATGGCCATTTTCAATAGCTATTTTGACATAACCAGAGGGTACATGCTCCATCTTTTGTCTTGTTCCCCACACTCCTTTTTGCTGCGCGTCAGCACGATTCAAGGGATCGCCGGGTGGCAGCCATTGGGGTTTCCGAGGGACGCCATCCAGTCGGGTGTGCGCCCAGTGTCATACACCACTCTATGAAGGGGATGGTTCATTCGACTTTATGATCCCACAATTATCATCAATTATCCATGATTATCCCACTACTACATACTATTACCCCATACTAGTCCAAATCATCTCATTAATCTCCTAAGATATCCCCTTATCATTGGCTTATCACCACTATCCCTGAATTGAATTATCCGGAAACTATCCTACAATCATCCACTCTTTACATCTATTTACCACATTACTCATTTGTTTTTCACAATTTTCGACCCAATTTCTCCGCATCAACACTGCCTGAGGGTTGAAGGTCCGATAGTCCAACCAACCCAGATCTCTGGCATGCTGCAGACCTGGCAATTTGGCAAATGAAATCATGGATCTAGATTGACATCTGTGTAAGAAGTGGCCAGGTATTGGATCCATTTATAGTGGTCAATCAAGATATTCCCCATGATTGCTAGTGATTTTCCCAATATGTCAATATATGTATATATGTATATTTAAGGATTCAGCAAAGTTCACCATAGGAGAATCCTGATTTAACCAACAAAACCATAGAACAATCATGGGAAAACCATAGGAAAATGGTGGGTTCCATAAGTGGGGGGATCCTCAAACATGGAAGGTTTATAATGGGAAATCCATCTATAAATGGATGATTTGGAAGTACCCCCATTTTAGGAAACCTCCATATCTGTTGGAGCAATTTAGCCAGAAACCACAGGTGAGGAAAGCTGCGAATTCTGCAGACATCAGCCAAACTATATAATTGCTGTTTGTGTGTCATTTCCAGCCATCAGTGAGACCAGAGTCAAAGATACTTGGCATCAGTTGCGGGGGAACATGCAAAGCCTTGAAAGTTTACAGATCGCCAAGCATCCCCAAAATCTCAAAATATCTCAAAATCCAACTGATGTTTTTTTCCGCCTCTTAAATCCTCGTTCAGAAAATCTTGAAACCAGCCTTTTCCGGGGACTTTTCCGGGGAATTCATATAGAAATTATCCCATCTATTCATCCCCTCTCTTCACCCGATCAGCATCGATCACCTGTGAGCACGTCGATCACTCGCAGCCGGAAGTCCGGTTCCTTGGTGTCCTGCGGTCTCGGAGACGAAAAGTGAAATCCCCAATTTCTACTGGTTATCCTCTGGTGATTAATAGTGAATTAATGCTGATGGTTAATGATGGTGGTTACTGGTGTTTAAAAATTGGGAATTTCATGGAATATCTATGTTTAATGGTGATTAGTAGTGAATTAATGCTGATTAATGGTGATTAAAAAAAGTGGTTAATATGGGAATATCTATGGTTAATGGTGATTAATGGTGGTGTTTTAATGGCTAATAGTGAATTGATGGTGATTAACCTTCTGGTAATGACTGTGACAGTTTGCGAACTGGAAGCCATGGCCCAGTCGAAATAGTTGATTTATGTTGATTTACCCATGAAAAATGGTGATTTTCCATGGTTTTTTGTATGTTTACATCCCACATCGAGATCGGTCCTCAAAGATGCCAACAGCATCACCGCGACAATCCAAGAAATGTGGCAAGGGCAGCTCTGCGAAAGGAGATATGGCGGCAGCCGCGGAAAGGCCCTGGAAGTGACGGTGTTGGGGGGGTTCTAAGCAACGTACATGTTGTGCTTTTCCAAGTGGTACAAAATGTACAAAGTAAAAAAGCAGCTGGTTGTTTGGTTTAAACTCAAACCCTAGAAAATGTCAAAGTCATGGTGTGGAATCATCATCCCAAATTGTGGGAACAAAAGGTATCTGAGAACAAGCCAAGCAGAAAGCCTATTTTGTCATGTTCAATCCGTTAAATGTGTTCATGTCCACCATGTCAGGTTGATTACCCTCCCTCCCTTCATAGCTACTGCATGGCTATTGCCTTCTGAAAAATAAAAGGTGATGCGGTGAAGCCACTAGGCCAAACAAAGCCTCCGGGAATTCTGAACATTGCTCGGGAAAATTGCCAAGTTATATATATATATAACCATATATATATATGTATATGTATATGTATATATATATTATATAATATTATATAATATTATTTAGCTATAAACAGTGGTTGTTGTCCATAGTTGTCCATAGCTATGCCAAGTTACCATAGCTAAATTCCAAGGAGTTACCGTTTTATCCTCTGCTTTGAAGTGGTGTGGCCAGCCTGATCCCCATCCCCATCATCCCCACCTTCCCCAGGACCAGATATGCGCAACACAAGGTCACCGTGTTGCCTCAACGACTGGGAGTCCACTGGTTTTCGTTTCTTCATGGGATTTTTACCCTCCAAAACAAAAGCCGGATGGCCTAGGCTACCGGATGGCTAAGCAAAACCTCCAAGTTTTCGTGGACAATTTCTCCAAACCCTTGCGATCTGTTGACATGTCAAAAACTCCAAAGCCTTTGCGAACCACGCGAAAAAAACTCCACTGAGTCACTCCAGCACTCCAAGGGCTGATCCAATGTCATGTGCGCCAGTACTTTATGTTGCCCCTGTTGGTGCACGCGCACCTGGTTCCGCCGCGGCTGGGAACCAACCACGTTTAGAGCGAAATCTCAGCCGAGCAATTGAAATTCAATGAACCATGAGGAGCTTCCTATAGCACACCTCTGTAAACATGAAAAACATGCAGCCATGGTGATGTGGAAATTTGGGCATCGAAAAATGGATGGATGCTGGACGCTGCTAAAAACGATCAAATTATGGCTGTATGAATTAGACTTGGATGGCGAATGTTCCAGCCGCTCAACATCCGATGGGACCATCCAAAAGCACAGCTGGGAATCACAACAGTTATTGCTTTGCATGGCTCGGTGTTCACGTGTTCATCATTTCATCTTTAGTTCCTATAATCATACTATAATCTCTATTTGACGAATCATTCAGACATCATCACGTTTTTCAGATCTATGACAGCTGCTCATACATATATTCAATATTATTCAATCATAGACATATTTCAGTCCCTAAGTCCGGCCAATTATATCTAGACTACCCTCTGGTAAACGTTAACAAAAAACTATGAAAAATCACCATCTTTAAGTTCGGTAAATCAACTTTTTCGACCGGGCCATGTTCCAGTTCGCAAACTGTCACAGTCATTACCAGAAGGTTAATCACCATCAATTCACTATTAGCCATTAAAACACCACCATTAATCACCATTAACCATAGATATTCCCATATTAACCACTTTTTTTAATCACCATTAATCAGCATTAATTCACTACTAATCACCATTAAACATAGATATTCCATGAAATTCCCAATTTTTAAACACCATTAACCACCATCATTAACCATCATTATTAATTCACTATTAATCACCATTAACCATAGATATTCCCATATTGACCACTATTAACCACCATCATTAACCATCATTAACCATAGATATCTCGACTAAGTCCTGTCCCAATTGATTCCAATCCGGCCATCCAGGGCACCAGGTGATCCATCCATTGGCAGTAGCGCACCGTGGCCGCCAGGTCCAGTGGGCCGAAGTCCCGGCCGCGGTTGAAGGCCTCGTAGGCGAACTCCGCCTTGTCCTTGGCCGACGTGCACCAGAAACCACAAGCCAAAAAGCCATGGAAAATATGGAAAATGCAGGGGAAATGAAGGTGAAATCATGGAACATCAATGGAAAATATGGAAAATGCAGGGGAAATGAAGGTGAAATCGTGGAAAAATCATGGAACATCAATGGAAAATCAATGGAATTTAGAATGGTAAAATGATGGAACATGCATGGAAAATGAGGAGGGCATGATGGAAAACACATGTTTTTTGGCAAGAATGGGATGAGAAAAAACAGTTGGAACAATTTTGACATCTGAATAGGACTCAATGGAGGAACATTGAGTTGATCAACAGAAACCTGCTGAAATGGTGACTCCAAGTCTGTTTGCGCTGACAGTGAAACCTACTAAAAAAAACATGGTTGAAAAGTTCCAAGCTCCGTGTTGGAGGTGGAGGAAAAAGAAGCAAAAGAACACACACACATATATATAATATGTATATATATATATGATTATATATGACAGTGCGAATCAATCCGCACGTCCCGGGACCTACGGAAACCCGGAACAAAAAGGCAGGCCAGGAGGTGTGCCAATCAAAAAGGTAGGAAACGTGGAAATCCAGATTAGGTCGATCAACAGAACAACTATATATATATGTTTATATATATATATATGTTTTTTTTAAATATATATATATATATATTTATTTATAGTTATTTTTATTAAATATATAATAATATATATTATAAATATATGGGATCAGCCCTCAGTTTCACCGACCGTTTCACCGTTTCACCATAGCCCAAGTGACAAACCCAGCTTCAGATGACAAACAGGCATAAACAGGCCATAGCCGCAGTTGGGATCAACCAGGCCATTCAACTATAACATCCCCCCAAAATAAAACGTCCAATCAAATCCTCCAAAATAATGGCAGATCACTGGCCTTTTCGACCATTTGTTCTCTGGGTACTATATGATACTATATGCTAAGCTTACATCCGATTCACACACAGGTTCACCATGCAGTTTGCTAAGCCTCTCATCCAAAAAATGGTAAACCATAAAGATCCATAAACATCCATAAACCACCATCAAATTAAGCAACTACCAGGTAACTACCGGTACTCAAACATGGCAATTGGAAATCCATCATTCATAATTGTCCCCTCAAAACATTCATTTTGTTCGGGGATTTCCCATCCAACCAGGTTGTTTTTTTCCGGACAGAAAACACCAGCTTTATGAAGCTACAATGCGGGGCCCCCAAACGTGATGTGAATGTTGGTTGACTAACAACCCATGAATACATATGAATACTATAGACTATAGTTATAGGTCGGTATCATCAGTGATAAGTTATTTTATAAACCCATAGTTATAGGTGTCAACAAAAACATAGTTATTGGAGTTTATAGTCCACTTTATAGGATGAACATGGTGAACCACTAAGATTTCACAGGGATCCGTGCCGAGCAACATCGGTGGTGAACAGGACCACCTAAGGCTCGGCAGGAAGCGACTGAGATGTCCCTTTTCTGCCTAAATCTCTTCGTTGAGATGATAAGATCACCAGTCTCAAAAACAAACCACGTTGATATCAAAACGCCTTAGCATCAGAAAGATGTATTTTACTGATCAGTAAATCAATATGTTTTTAATGTATAATGTATATTGTTGTATATTTATTTCTATCTATGTTTTATCTCTGTGGCCAACCAAGCCTGAAGCGGCTGCCCCCGCTGCCAGGTGACACCGGGCGGACACGCACTTTGCGTGGTCCAAAGCACCTGCACCTCCCCCTCGCGAAGCCAGCAGATTGGCGATGCCATGGCGACAGGTTTCTGCAGCATGGTGAATCAGAACATAGTAAACTTGCACTGTGAATCTTGGTTCGGTAAACATTCCTGATGATCCTTGCATAAAGTAAAAGGGTATAAAAGGGTGGTATGTTCTTTTCTTGAGCGATGCTTCGGCAGAGACAATGGACATCAAGATACATCAAGGGACTAAAGTGACTAGTGAATAACTTCTTGCACTGCTTGAAACCCTTTACATAATTGTCCCGTGGATCCTCTTCATACCATTCATTTTTGAGTTGCAACCCACATCTCGAATCATCAGCCGTCCCTGAAGCCAGGCGGCGGCAAGCCACTGGTTGGCTGTTGGGAGGTGGCTAATCCGTCTATCCCAAGAAAATAATATGAAAATAATATGTAGAGTTTAGAAGATCTTCATCCCAGGTGTGGAGGAAACCATAGGAAACCCGAAGATCTTTGAAACCAATCACCAGCAAAGGTGCTTTCATCAAATTCTCATTGAAAACACCAAGTCTCCAAGTCCGGCGGTGTTTCCTTGCTTTTGGTCTGTCGATAATCAAACGTGTTCTGGAAAATATCGCACTGTTTTGTTGGTGAGCTTCCTTTCATTTCCTTTCTTTGCCTGAACACCTTCCATGTGCATTCCTGAACTCATCATTTGTGGTTGGGTCATGTGTGTCATCTGCAGAAAATGTGCAGCTCATTTTTCTGTTTTGAAGTCCAAACTGCCCCCAAATCCCCAAATGATTCCTTTTTCTTTGCAACAGCCGCCATTCCGCTGGTCATCATTCCCATTTTCTCATCATTTCCCCTGAACAAAAATCGACCCAACGGCTCGTGGATCTGTCTGGGATGCTGAGCTCCCCCGACGTGGCCAGCTCCTTGAAGAGCGCGGGAGGCCTCAGGCGGTGAAGCTGCACAAAAGATATGGGTTTTTCTTCGCTGGTTATCCCCCAAAAAATATGGCCAAACAACTTATAATTAAGTAAGTTGTATGAAATAGATAACTATGAAGATTAAATTAAAGAAAACAAGGTTGACACAGTGTTCAAACATGAACCATCATTCCTCCAATACTGAACATCTATATGCTATATATGATATATGATATACAGTAATACAGTTAGTAATACATGTATAGTTTGGACACTTGAGCTGAACTGAAATTCATGTTTGATTTCGGCTGGACGTTCGTCGTTTCCCAACATGTCTTGGGTTTCACGGTGCATCCGGCGGATGCACCGGTAATCGAACATGGCAATGTGAAATCCCCCCCTGGGGTGCTGTCCAAATGGGAAAATCATCAGCAAACGATTACCACAGGGTAGATTTTCATCCACTAGTGAATCATCATTACTCCTATGAAAAAAACGCACACACACACACACACATAATATATCTGAATATCTTATCATTTTGTATATCAATGATGGGGTAGAACTACCATGAATATGATGTATTTGGCTGCAGCATTGGGCACCGCACCACTCCGCCGTGCTGTCTCTGCCCCTGCGGATGGTCAAGAAATTCCAGCAGGACGGGATCAGATTTTAAAGAACAAACACGGGAAGTAGAACTAACCAGCCCCCAAATTCGATTAATTATATAACATGAGACGTTCGCAAGATAAACCGAAATTGAACTGCAAAAATACAGCAAGCAAATTATGGAAAAATGAACCTGGGGAGTCACACAAAAAACAGTTGGGTACTTGCCACAAAATCAATCCGTGAGGCAAATCTGCGCATTTTTCTTCCTAGCGGACGGAGCGTTCCATTTTGGGGAATTTCGTTGGTAAAACAACTGTGACGTTCAGAAATTTCATCATGAATCAGTATGAATCCTTGTTGGGGTTCATCATTGTTCAAAAAATCACTTTAAACTTTAAACATCTTTAAACCATCAATGATCTTACCAACAAGGATTGATGGGTTGATCATTGATGGCTGCCAACCTTACACCATCCACCCAGGGGCCATCGTTCCGTGCCTCATCCGTTCCAAGGCGCCAGGCTGCTGGGGTGCCACCTTTTCAGCCTCAGCATTAACAATACGTGTGTGTATATATATATATATGGATGGTAGCCTCCCCCAAAAGTCTACCATTTTCCTGTTTTTACTGGTATTTACTGTGTTTTAATAAGATTTTGGCAGGTATATATCTATATACACATATAGTATACTGTATGAAGTGTATGCATTATTAGAGTCATTTGCTGGAAATCTTTGCATAGATATATAATGTTATAATTAGATAAGAACATATCTGTAAAAACTGGGGTTGTTTCAATTATGGGTGGGTATCCTATTTTGATTGCCATTGATCGCTTTCAATAGCCACTGAATTGTAGGCTTCCCCATGTTTCCACCGATGAAATAAATCATGCTGCTGCACTTCAATAGATGTGTACACCAAAATGGGGAAATAATTATACGGATACTTGTTCTGCTGCGGCTGCGGTAAACTTTGGACATATTGCTTCACAATACCTCATTTCCACAGTCGACCAGTCAAATCAATCTGTCCAATGATTTCAGCCTGTGTTGCGGCCCCTTTTTTTTGCATGAAATATCACGAAATATCATGAAGTATCTATACATATCTATAGCTTGGCAAACCCAAGAAACCCGAGTCTCTTTGTCTCTTTAAGGCTTGTAGAATGACATACGATGCCGCATCCCCCTGCAACCGAGCAGCGATGGGGAAGGAGATGCCTCAGGAAATGATAACTTGATACCCGTGGATCCACAAACATTTTCGGGGAGTCAATTATTGTGACCCAAAAAAGGCCCAAACCCAAACTTAGATACCAACGAAATATGATGTTGCTAGTGGATATCTTCATTTTTCTGCATTTTAGTGCAGAAAGAGCAACGTTTTGAACAACCCAAATCAGATTTATATATTATATATTATATATATATATATTATATATTTTATATATATATTATATATTATATATATATTGCCGGCAGCACGTTCAACCCATGGCTTGCCAGAGAGATCCACATGATGCCTGCTCAAATTCCAAATCTCTGGTTGGTGGTTGACCTACCCCTCTGAAAAATATGAAAGTCAATGGGAAGGATTATCCCATATATGAAATGGAAAATAAAAATGTTTGAAACCACCAACCAGTATTGTGTGTTGGTCAAACGCCAAATCTTTTCTCTACATTTTTCCATATTTTTCCATTCCAGTGTCTATATGTTCAGTAAAAACCTGGTTGTTTCAATCATTGAAGCATCTGTTCCACCATGTTTCCAATATGTTCATTGCCCCACTTCGACCCCGCCGAACTCGGAGCCGGAAGACCATTCTCTACCCAAAATTTGGTGAGTCTCAGGGTCAACTTCAGACAGTTGAGGGGATGTTCAGTCCTATTTGTTCTCCACATTTTTCCGATGACTCTCCACAGTTTTGCAAGTGTAAATCCGATGTTTCTCGGGTTTTGGCCATGATTTCCCCATGTTTCTGCGATGTTTTCTCTCATGTTTTTCGCTGGTTTTCGAACGAAGAAAAACCATGGCACAGCTGAGATCTCCCGACCTCCTGGAACTGTTTGGTCCGTGGCGGAGGGAGCCAGGCCTGGCATCAAAAAACCAGTTGATGTGAAAAATGTGGGAAAGCCAATGCCATAAACATCCATCAACATCCATACTATCATCATTAAACATCTATAAATCATATTCAGAATATTCCAGAATCACCATATTTTTATGGTAGAATAAAGTGTTGGCTGTACCTCATTGCCATGTTTTACCTTGTTTTTACTATGACATCTCGTGCTTCTCGGGCATTTTCACGCCTGTGAGGACCTCCAGCATCACCATGCCAAAGGAGTAGACCTGCGGTGATTTTAGTCACAGAGAATCCACAAATCCAAGGTTTTCCGGTAGAAAAAGTCAAAACAACTACATGGGGATATCATGGAAATATCATGAATCATGACAATATACATATAATATATATATATACACCAAAAAAAAAGTTATTTTACTGTGAAAAAGGATAATTTCCATGAATTTCCCATAGAACCATTTCCGGAGAAAACATGTGTGATGTGATATCAAAACAAATGGGACATTGCTGAAGATGACTGACAAATATCAACGATGCTTTTTTGTGATCAGTGTAAGAAAGTAGACATTTCTTACACATAACACTATACCATACTATACCCAGTATCAATTAGCGGTTTTGTTACGGGACTCATCCGCCAGGTGTTTCTTCAATGTGCTACCGGGCTGCTAACGATTTTTTGTTACGGGACATTGGGCTTTGCAATATCATCACCTGGGGATATCTTTGGGCTTCGGCGGTTGCAACTCGATTCCCCCAATTTGGGATTTTTTAATCAATGGGAACAACAAAAAACACCTTCAGCAAATTCAATTTTCTGTTCATCTATAGGTAATTGTTTGCTAAATGATGGTTATTTTGAAACAATGCACAGTGACTCAGTGAACAATAAAAAACTTCCGATCTTAGTCCTGAACAGTCCTCCTGAAGGTCATGATGTTGATATTTGAAACGAAGGGCGACAAAAACATTCTGATAATGACGATAGTCACTACATGTCACTACCATGGTCATTGTTGAGATGACACTCGTTTGGGCCGTTTGGGCCGTTTGGGCCTCAGTGGCGAGCGCTGCCCCTTGAAGAATGGTCTCATTTGTCTTTCATTGATTGCTTAAATAGTTGACGTCGCAAAATGATTTCTTCATTAATGGCCATTTGCCGATCTCACTACGTAGAAATGCATATATTTAACACACGGTTCCTATATCAATCTATATCATGTCCACTATATGTCTTAACAAATCAGAAGAAATCCCGATTTATCACCTTGGATTCGCTGCAAAGCCACACCTCGGAACCTTCAGTGCAGCAGCCCGAGCGTTCGTACACGGGACCTCGGGCTGCGGCTAAGAACCGCCGCCTGAAGAAAGATGTGGTGCCGGTAAAGCCAAAAGTCATGATGAGTTAAAACAAACAATAAATGAGGATAATGGACAATAATGGATAATCATGGATAATCATGGATAATAATGGATCATAATGGATGTAATCTAACCATCAAAATAGGGATTTAAGATGATTCATTGATCAAATACACACCAGTGTGGCAAACACTGGCAAGCCCAATGCCATAACCATCCCAATAATTTACCATATTCATGTGAGGGGCATGAAAAAATCATCTAGAACATCGGGGCATTTCAATCAATTACACCGAATTTGGGTTTGTTTTATCATGGCTTTTCCTCACTATAAATGGCAATGTTCAATAGCTATGTAACAAATTGCCAGAGGGTAATCATTAATTCACTATTAGCCATTAATAACCACCATTAATCACCACTAATTCACCATTAATGACCATTAATGACCATAAAATTCAGCTTGATTGGTCCAAATTCATCAGCAGATGCGGTTCCCATCCGTTCCCTAAATTGGCACCCCACATTTGTAGCCCGGCGTGCCGCCAATGCTCTTCACCTTTAGTCACTGGGCGAAGTAGCTGGGGATTTCTATGATTTCTTTCCTAGAATAATCAATGGGAATAAAAAAGGATCCTAAAATGCAGGTACTGTTACTGTACCATATTTTTCAGGCTATATTTTGCTGGGGATATTCCAGGATCCAGAAATTCCCATTGTTTTTTTAATAATGGTGAAGAACTATACAATGAGCATCAAGAGCGTGGACAACTTTCATGGAAAAAATGGGGGGGGAAGAGCCACAAAAACAGCACCATTTTAAGCGACTCAGACGACTGGGTCAAGTCAGTCGTTGCGCCGAAGGGACAACAGTTTTTTTTGATTCTTAAACGGTACATCACAATAGAGGGGCCGGGAGCTGGTACACCATCTATCATCATTTACCTGTTGTTAAAGGGGTTTCTTCAAACCCCTCTATTAATCAACCAACCAATGGGAAAAGGACATCTATGGTACATCATGCCGACCTATAAAAAAACATCTAAAACTTTCATGATGCATCCTCAAACCTCCCCTTGTTTGACCCATTGTTTGACCATGTTTGACCCATGTTTGACCAACTATTTTTGCAGGTTCCAAGATCCAAATAAAAACTGCATGTATGAAATATCCTCAAGATCCAACCGGTTGCTTCCACTTGTATGATTTCACCAACAAAAAGACAGTGGATCCAAGGATAAACACCCCAATCCCCCATCACTCCAGTGACGTCGCGACGTTGTCGTGATCAAATGTATCCAAATGATTGATTATATAGCTATCATATACATTAGGTCTGCCAATCCATCCTAATTTTGGATGGTAAACCCAGCATGACCACATTTTTTTCTCCATTTGTTCCCACCAGTTCACCCATTTTGTCCGGGGTCGGCACCGCCACATTGCTGGCGCCGTGCAGACTGGTACAAGCCAGGCCTTAGACGGTGGGATCCAGGAAGCTATGGATGTTGGAAAGATCTATCAGTTATAAAGTGTTGTAATAGATAACCAATGATAAATACAGTTATAATATGTATATGACTATACTATATGAATCAATTAATTATGACTCTCTCTTATATACTTTCTCTTCTCTCTATCGCCATCCCGAAGGTCCTAGTATTAATTTTATGATAATAATAAGTATTATTATTATTGGAATATTTTTTTTTTGAATTTCAAGAGTATAATTACAATAATATACATATACATATTATGAATATAGATACTAGATCTAGATGGCTCATTACATGATGGCTTACAATGGTATATATCTTGCTGGTGTTCACTGGAACTCGTTGGTGTCCTATTGGGCAACCCATGGTAATCCAAAGTCTGTGAGACTGCATTATGGCAACTTTTTGGGGAATTAGTAACTTACATAATCAAACTCAAAACATAAACATCATTGAAATATTAAACATCTTGAATACAAACAAGTCTGAATGCGAAAAACCTCGAAATTGACCACATCTCTGTTAAGACCCCCCATGAAGATCCCTCTCGGACGTGGAACACATCTCTACTATGCAGCTGATGAGTCTGGATCCCCTTTGTAGGTGGCAAAGTATGTTGTACAGCCTTGCTACTTAGATCTACTTCCGACTTGGGTTCTATATGATTTTACAGGAGCCATTTGCTCCATGGTACATTAACATGTGCGACCTGGTCGTTGCCTGTAGGTAAACCAGGACCATGGAGCATCTGGGTGATGGTAGCTATATCACCTCCCACCAGCAGCCCTCTAAGCTGTATCCACATTCACCCCCCCCAACCTACAGGATTATCCGGATTTTTCAATCTTCAGGGCCTATTCAGTTAGATTTCTTTTTGGCTTGTTTAGATAGTATTCCCACAAGTATATACACATGTAAACCCCAGTTAAATCGACAAGTTTCCTTTAGATAGCACCCTGGTAGTCCCCAAAGACCAGCCTGGCCATCGATTTTCCCAGTTCCATAGATCCAGAAAGCCCAGAAAGTGGCGCCATCTGCCGCCATTTTCGACCACCGAATGAACCGATAAAGAGCCCACGTCAGCCTGGCCATGGCAAGGTCAGGCTGAAATCTCTGGGTAGGTTATACAAGTTGTATCGCTGTAAACTATAGCGAAAAAAAAACCAAAAAATGGCTGAAGTCCACATTTTTTACCATTGAAGTGACTGTTGTCAATGGTAGCTTGCACCGGTTCAAGGCATCATTAGTTAGTTATCAAACTTTATCATTAAACTGGGAATAACCACCGGTACATCATTGAAAGCACACCAATACTTTCATATCTCCCCTACCTTCCTTGCCCGCCCTCCGCCCCTCCGCAAAATATTTTTCAAAATTATTTTCAGGGGGTTGATAGAGTCTTCGGTAGTTATACGATGAAACCCTCTTGAGGGTAAAATAATTACCCACGTTGGCCCCCCCCTCCCCCCATCTCAGCGGGCGAACCTTCCTCAAAATTATTTCACTTCACCCCCCGCGGGGTTAATTATTTTACCCCACCCGGACTATCCAATCTTTACATATGTATACTTTGGGACCCCCCTTCCCACCCGACATGATCGCCTTCACAGGTGCACCGGGGATATTCCATCATTTTCCTAAGCAGTGGGCCTACGGATGTGCATATTGGATTATGTGAGTTATAATCTAAGCCTTCAATATACACTGGAAAAACTAGGTTTTGAAATAGTTTTGTATAAATTTTAAGCGGTTGAAAAAAAATAAAAAATGAGCCCCTTGGGAATTACATCAAAATGATGTTCAACCATCATCTTCATCACTGACTCTTTCCTACATATTTCCACTTTTTTCATACTTCCCCGTATTTCTCCCACATTCCCTGAATTTCCTTCCAAAGAACTCTCGGTGGGAATGAGTGCGAAAAGGGAAAGCATTCGGTGTTTATATATTTTTTGTTTTTCAGCTGGCAGCTGCTCACTTTGGTTTTTGAGAAGTGCAGGGTATCTCCAATACCCCTAGAATAACTTCTCCCCTTGGGAAATCTCACAAAATAGTATTCAACCTGGCTCTTTCCTGTAGTGGTTTTCCTATCCTTTCATATTTCCCCTTATTTCTCCCATATTCCCTTCATTTCCTTCCAAAGAACTCTCGGTGGGAAGCGTTCGGTTTTGATAGGTTTTGAACACTTTTCCAGCTTCTGGGCGAGTTGGGTGGTTCTGGGAGCTGCTCACTTTGGTTTTTGAGAAGTGCAGGACATCTCAATACCCCTAAAATAATTTCTCCCCTTGGGAAATCCCAAAATAGTATTCAACCTGGCTCTTTCCTGTAGTGATTTTCCTAACCTTTCATATTTCCCCGTATTTCTCCCATATTCCCTTCATTTTCCTCCAAAGAACTCTTGATGGGAAGCGTTTGGTTTTGATAAGTTTTTCGTTTTTTTCCAGTTTCTGGGCGAGTTGGATGGTTCTGGGCGAGGAGTGCAGGGCATCTCCAATATCCTTTGAATAATTTTTTGAAGAACGTGTTTGGTTTCGGGTTGCAAGTTTTGACGCGTTCTTGCTGCAATTTAAATTGAGGGGAGATTCTGACATGACTAGCAGGGAGCACACATGAAACATGATGTTTGAATTTATTTGCGTTGTAGGATTCGCAACGCATCAATCCTAAAAAAAAAACAAGAAGCAACCTAAAAAATAATAGTAAACCACTTTTGCAAGACCAACATTGTGCAGGATTTCCTGATGATGTACTTTGTGATTTTCTTCAATTCTGCTGTGAGTAACCCCCCTTAGTCCCATTTCACACTGCAACTTCTGTTGTGAGTTGTGCTGCAATCGCACTTCTCGGGGCCACGCCATCGTAAACAACATCATAGAAAACCAAAATTAGTTACTTAGTTTGAAATATTTGTTTCCATTCAGAGTGTTTACGTCAAAATTATTTTAAGGGGTGGTAACCCATCAAAATAAAGTCCAACCAGAAATTATTTTGGTGATGGCAGTTAGACTATATAAATTTATACATCCAACATGTTAGATTTTTGAAATTATGTTGAAATATTTTGGTGGGTAACCGCCCCTGAAATAATTTCATTAAAGTAGGAGGGATACTTTCATGGTAGCAACAGGCCATCATTAGGGTTTGTTTGAAACTGGGACTTGGATATTAGACCATTGCTATTTCCAAAGGGAAACTGACTGCAAAGTCAACATGTCGGCAAGAATCACATAATTATGTCATACTACGTCAACATGTTCTTGTTTCATACGCCTACAGATGTCAATGTCCAATGTGTATGAATTTGTTTCAACATGTTCCAAATCAGTGTGCGCTGTGTTGCACGATGGCTTCATGGGTTAAATTGTTCCAACCTTTCCGCACAACATTTCGCCTCTTCCTGCCGCATGGAGGCCGATATGGCCGATTTCGAAGCCGCCGATCTCGTAGTTGGCACGCTACCAGTAGCGGGTTGAAGGGACCGCAACTGTAGCTACCAGTAGCTGATCTCGTTCCACATGGTTGAACGAGATAAAGCAAACAATAATTATATGCCATATTCTGTCCCAGTATCCCATGACTTATTTACCAATTGGTTCATAGTCCCCATTTCAAACCCATCATAAATGGTGGCTTTACTATCAAAAATGACACGTTTTACCATGTTTTACCATTTTCGGGTGGGTTTTACCATGTTTTACAGTGTTTTACCACTAAGAATGGTGGTTTACCCCGCGCCATCTTCCCCGAGCAGCCTCAGCAGCCCTACTAGGCCCAGCGCAAGCGGCAGCCGCAGGCGGCGCAGGGCGTGGTGGTAGGCATTGGGGCAGAGACGCTGCCAGGTGCGGCGAAGGGAAGACCTGCGGAAGGGCGTAACTCATAAATCACCATGAAAATCATAGGTAAATCATGATTAGTTTGGATATCATATAGGTAAATCATGGGTTTTTGTCGTTTATCAATGGATACATGGATCATTAGTATCTATCATAATTCATGGCATAGCTGCATAGCTTGATAGGATCAATCATTTATATTTTATCATCTACCAATGGGCCATCTAATCTATAACATAGCTAAATTAAATAACCGGAGGGTAACTTTATTTCAATACATATAGACATTTCATGTTCATGTAAGCCCCTTGAAAAATGATGAAACGGTAAGAATGATACTATTGGATACTATTGGCAATAATGCAGAGACTTTGCATAGGGTGTGAAATAGTTTTAGGATTTTTTTTTTGAGCAGGTTTGGGATTTTTTTTTGGATTTCTTGGCTGGTACCATTTGCCTAGTGTTTGCAACGGTTTGGAACTTGAATTTGTCATTTTGCATGGTATTTGCCACATTTGGGCATGTTCACCTTCCATTTTGCATGGGATTTACTACATGTGGGCATGTTCACCTTCCATTTTGTATGGTATTTGCCACATTTTGGCATGTTCACCTTCCATTTTGCATGGGATTTCCTACATGTGGGCATGTTCACCTTCCATTTTGTATGGTATTTGCCACATTTTGGCATGTTCACCTTCCATTTTGCATGGGATGTTCTACATGTGAGCATGTTCACCCAAATATTTACAGATGCGGAAGCTTGGGATTAGATAAAAAGCGGGTGGGGGGATTGAGGGAGGGCGCTAGCTATCTATCCAGCTAGCTAGCTATCTAGCTATCTATCTAGCAAGCTATCTATCTAGCAAGCTCTCTATCTATCTAGCTATCTATCTACCTATCTAGCTAGCTATCTTGCTAGCTATCTATCTACCTATCTAGCTATGTA